GATCCAGCCCGGGGATGTTGACATGCTTGGATGGCTCACCCTTAGTTGGCATGAGAAAGTTATTGGCCTTTTCAGCTGGTCTGTATTTTGCGCCAGGGGACATCAGCTGATCGGGAAGATCCAAAACTCTGTGCAGAGTAGGCCACATTGGTCGCAGGGCTATTCTAACACTGTTGTGATAATCTGTGGTGACATCGCGCTCGGAGAAGATTTGGCGCAAAAGACTGGCCAATAGTTTTGCGAAAGGTTCAAATGGGACACGTTTGGCTCGGTCAAGACGAGTGATTGCTATGCATCCGATCTTGCGAACTGTTGGCTGTATCCGATTTAAAAGGTCCGTTTTTCCAATCCCAGAGGGACCGCTAATTGTAATCACTTCACAACGCTCGTTGCGGCGAGACTTCCCACTATTCTTCGGTTTATTCAAGGAATGCAGTGATCCCGGTTGACTAACGGTATGGTTTGTTGATTGTTGGCTGGGAGGACCGATGGAGTGGTGACTATCGCGGTCTGTATTATGGGAAGACCGAGAATGCGATGGGCTCTTGACTCTGCTGGAAGCTGCTCCTGGGCTTTGACTATACACCTCGGGGACAATTGTATGCTTCTGAGTGGAGAACGACGTCTCACTACCTGGCACAGATTCATGACTGTTTACCTGTGCGATATGATAACTGGTGACGTTCGAAGAAGATCGAGGGGGCATATGGAAGGAGCCAGAATCGCTAGAGACAGAAGCAAACTCGAGGCTTTCGATACGGCTTTCAGAGAGAGACGAAGCCGACGTGAGAGCGTGCGTAGTACCGGGACTTTGGGTTCCAGATTTAGCCAAGGCAGCCGCCTGACGCTTATTCACCTTTTCGATGATACTGATAATCTTGTCATATTCTTCTTGCCGTCCGAACATGTACGTTGGGAGAGTGAAAAAGGAAGACACGTCTCCTTGCGCGACTTGGAAATTGCTCAATGCTTCACTGTCACCATCACCGAGCAATTTAGCAATATTGGTCAAGTCTCTCTTCACAGATGAGATTGTGTGGTAGCGATCATGAACCACCTTTTGGGTCATTTTTTGGATCACAGCCGAGAGAGCATCTGGAACATCCATTCGTTTCCCAGATACTGGTACCAATCTCTTGCCTAGTACATTTTGTACCACATCAACAGGATCGGTTCCTTCAAATGGTAGTCTTCCAACCAGCATGGACCAGAAAAAGAGGCCCAGCGCATAAATATCAGTGCGGCTATCTGGCTCTGTAGGCATCCTTCCAGTCTGCTCTGGGGCAATAAATTGCAGCTTGTACTTGGCCCCAAGCTCGCGCGAAACGGAGGACCAGCCCTCGCTGAGAACGTTATCAAACGACCTAGCACCGTTTCCGGTGTTCGCGAGCTTCACTGCACCGGTTTCTGCACAAAAATGGAACGCATCGCCTCTGATTTCGCCGTGCACTGTCTTCAGGCCATAGTGTAGAATCTCCAAGCAATCGCATGCTCCAATTGCGAAATCAAAAAAGGCTTGTAAGGAGACCTGCTCGCTGGGGGTGACATTGTTGTCTTCACCTTTGGACCCTGCGGCAAATGAGGCAGGGCCGAATGTGACCAGATCTCGCAACCTATCATGGCCTGGAGACTCAAAAATCGCAACCAGCAGCGTCTTCGAGTGCCCGTCATCGGGTTGTAGCCTGATCAAGTCGACTGGTCGTATTGTATGATTGCAATCCGGATCTGACGATTGTACAATTGACCTAAGCATGTGAAACTCTCGTTCGAGCCGGATAATGTTCGTGGAGATTCGTGCGATGACCGGTAACCATGTTTGATCTGTCTCCAGGCTGTGTTGGTTGGATAATGAGATTTCACTGCTGGTTTCGCTAACGCTCAATCTTCGCAAGGCACGGGCAGATGGTCGAGCTTCTGTGCGCGGGGAGAAGCGTGTGAGACTGGACGGTCCGGAGGAAGCGGGATTGGAGGAATTTGCAAGAGGAGTTAAAACATCCGGCTCCAGGGCATGACGGTATCCTGAGATATGCCAGTGATTGTATGTCGAGTGAAACGGTTCGATCGTCTGATCCCAGGTATAGCCAGGTAACTGACCTAATCGTTCGAAAAGTCGAGCCGGTGGAAGCGGCAAGTCGTCGCCGAAAAGGGTACTCTCCTCCATCTCTCAAGTTATTGAGTCGTGTCCGCCCGACTTACTACCATGAACACGTCCCGAGGCGATGGGGCAAATTGAGTAGTGGGTGAGTGGGGGGATGAGAATGGGACGATGGGGAAAGCGGACATGAAAGATTGCATCCACAAGATAGATTCTGCTCAGTAAAACATACAGTACAAAGGCGGAGAAGCTTCGCCTTGAGGCGTGCAAAGTGAAGACATCAAAAACCAAAGGGCCTGAAACAAATGGTAGTTTTAGAGTTGAAGATCATGAAAATGTTGGCCTGAGGCTTATGATTAGTCATCTATCACAAGTCCGGATTAGGGCAGCCGATTGGTTCTGGTCTTACATCTGCTAGATCAATGCTGTATGATTGAATATGATATTCCTAGGAATATGAGGGCGTTCACGTTCTGATATCGTGTTAGAAATATCCCGGCTGTTGTCATCGGATATGAAGCCACAGAACTACATACTTGGTTGGGGTGGTACTCTAATAAGGGACGACGACGGCATTGTATGCCCATTTACCACGCGATGTCAAGTCTTGTGGTTGTTATAAGCGTTTTTTTTCCACAGCTTAATGCTGCAATATCATATGTTCAGAGTAATGCTACCTAGGTACATGTGATGCAGGTCATAACCGGCATAATCTGGTAGCTTGGCAACCTACTGGTAAGTCAGATGAAGTACACTAAAGCAAAGCCGTCATGATATATATAATGATCAATCATATCATAAATCAACGAAAAGAATATCAATACTACATACGGAGTACACATTGAAGCAATTCAGAATTAGGGCTTGTGGGTACCAATGATCCACGGACCTCGGCACTGACGCCACTCAGGAACTAAAACCAGTTTAGCATCTTCCAAGGTTAAGATCTTGAGGTCTTTCTCTCCCACCTCCCTTTTCGTTATTTCGCAAAAGCCAGTCCTCAAAGTTGCCACCTTCGCACTATGAGCTCGCTGAGGGAAACTCTCGCTCTCTTGAAGGTGCTGCTGGTGCGCATCCCGCTAATCCTCAAGACCATCCTCCTCCATGGCATTCAAATGTCCCCCGTCAAGGGGAAACAGGACATGCGCACCGAATTAACCGTCGCCATTATTCGCTCATTCATGTCAACAAAAGCTCCACTTGGTAAAACCCAGAGACAAGGCATACGCGACCCTGGAGTGAAGGGCCCCATGTGGGTGTCCAAAGTGACCCTCCCACAGCCCGAGGTCGACGTGCGCGATGCGGTAATACGCGCAATTGAAGACCTCAAGACCGACAATGAGACATACGATATCCCCGCAACTATCGCCGTCGAAGCTGAATGGACCGGTTATCGCGCCGGGGTTGGAAAGAAAACACCGGAGCCCGATCTCTCAGAAGAGGAGAAATACCACAAGCTGCGCCAGGAATCGCCGTCTGATATGATGATCTTGTATTTCCACGGAGGAGCGTATTTGTGAGTGTCGCTCGACCCTCTTACAACCGTGCGCATAGCTAACGCATCCAAAAAAAAAGCCTTATGGATCCCTGCAGCCACCGCGTCCCCGTCGCACGCCTGTCCCACTTGACCGGCGCCCCCGTCTTATCCGTCCGATATCGCCTTGCTCCTCAAAATCCATTCCCAGCCGCGCTTGTCGACGCCTTAACGGCATACCTCTCACTCCTCCACCCCCCTCCAGGCTCCCTTCACAAACCCGTGCCAGCCAACAAGATCGTATTCGCTGGGGATTCCGCCGGCGGGAACCTCTCACTGGTCCTCCTCCAAACACTCTTGACCCTCGACCGCGCATCTCACACTATCCGCTTCCACGGCAAAGATGTGCCTATAGAACTGCCCGCAGGCGTCGCAACCATCTCTCCCTGGTGCGATGTGTCTCGCTCCATGCCATCTACCAGCGGCAATGCATACCTCGATTATCTCGAAGCGCCGGCTACGCCCCCTAACGACCCAGCTGTCAAGACTCTATTTACTACTCCGGTCCATGTCATACCAGACGATGTTTGGCCCACGTCCCCACCTCGCGCTGACATCTACTGCAACGCCAGCATGCTGAGCCACCCATTAGTATCTCCGCTCGCTACCCCGGCTGATCTATGGAAGAACGCACCGCCTATCTGGATCTCGACTGGCGAGGAAGGTCTCACAGACGAAGATCTCATTCTAGCGCGCCGTGTCCACCAAGCCGGTGCGCCTCTCGTCGCGGAATTGTTCGAGGGTATGCCGCACTGCCACGGTATACTCATGATGGATAGGCCAGCTAGCCATCGTTTTTTCGAGAGCTTTGCTGGGTTCTGCCGTGATGCTGTTGCTGGCCGGATTGTGTCAACCGGGAACCTCACCTGGTTGGGCTTCAAGCTGCAGTTGACAAAGGAAATACCGATTGAAAAGGCCTGTGAAGTCAGTGATGAGCAGGTTGAGGCCCTCATGCAGCGAATGACTGCTTGGAAAATGGAGGGAGAGATCGAATTGCAGAAGCAATGGCGCGCGACAGCGCGGTTGTGAGTGGTTTTGTATGGTTTGCTTCTTTCCTTTTGCTTTATAATACCCTATTTGTATTTTTAATGATCCTCGTGACGAACCATTTCTGTGATAGATGGGCGATAGCCCTGGAGAGCCAGTCGCGCGATCTTACACGTGTTGGGCGTTTATGGCTATCCAGAAGACTATATCACTTATTACTTTGTTAACTAGAGATTATAGCAATGAATCGCTACATTAGATAGCATCTCAAACTACGAATTAGAATCATGATAACACACAAGTCCAGCTCATATGAGCAAAATGATGATTCGGAGCGAAACGTGCAAAGCAAATCTCTGGGGAATTTAGAAGAAACCTTGAGAACTAAAGATATTCATCATCGTCCATTATATCCTCCCCCAACAGCTGGTCATTGTCCCACCTCTGCGGGGGCGGGTCCCGAACCGACCAGACAGGCTGCGTTTGCACAGGCTGCTGTGTATAGTAGACCTGCTGTGGTTGAGGCACAATGTTCTCAGGCGTGGGGGCTGATAGCCAAGGGAACGCGACTGGTGTTCCGTTGATGCGGATTTCGCCAACGATATTTCCAAGTTCCGGCGCGTCGTCGACGTAGCCATCCGAGAGACCCATCAATTGCGCCACGAGTCGAGAGAAAGCAACACAGAGAGCAAAAATAGGCGTGAAAATAGTCGATAGATGTGACCAGCGCCACAACATCGTGACAGTTACCCAGGGATACAAAGGCGCATCGGGCTGCAGGCAGTAACCTTCGCAGCTTTCTGATATCTCGGGATGACTATACCGGTCCCACATCAGACATTCGATGATATACCACGAGAGCGAAATAATGATGAACCAGCCGAGCTTGGTTGGCCGAAGGCGTTGGGATCGTGGGCTCCCCGTCCACAGCCGAGGGAGAGGTATCGCGGCGTAGACCCGTCCATCAGAGGGAGTGGTACCACGGCCTGTGCCGGAATCGCTTGTGTGCAGGTGTAATGACTGGAGGCTCTTCTTGTTTAAGGAGCTTGCCTCCGACACAATGGCGGTGTCTTGTGTAACGTAATTTTCCAGGCCGTCAAGCCCTTTCTTGACCTCATCAATATGTCTCATTAAAGAGTTGAGCTTGGCATTCAATGAATCCAAATTGCCTGCATTATTTTCTTTTGAACTGCCGTTTTCGAGCTGGGCGAGGACGGCCTTTTCGTAAGCTTCGTCGTCTTCCTCTATTTTAGGTTCACCTGGCCCGTCCATAAATGCTTGAAGAGACTCGATGGTATCTTCTCCGAATTCGACATCTTTGCCAGAGCTAGCATCCTCAATGACTGTCTCCAATGCACTTTTAGGTAGATGGGGTCGCGGCAACGCGGGCCTCGACTGCTTTCCAGAAAGTGGTTCAGAAAGAGGCTCTTTTTCGCTAGTCTGCGCGGGCTTCGGTTCACCGGGTTTCGATTCGACCTCCATGAGTTTCGTAGGTGCAGTATCCTTAGGATCATCCGTTATGCGTGGAGGAATGATATCTTTCGTCAGATCTTCGGGAAGCTCGACCTTCTCAGCCACCCGCTGGGTCATAGGAGTATCGATCCACGCGCCAGTTACTCGAGGGGTTTTGTCATAGACTTTGCTTTGAAACAGTTTGAGTGGCTCGGGAGTCTGGACATGTTCAATTTTGGGGGTTTCAGTCCTTGAGAGTTTGCGTAGTAAATCCCGGGAGTCGCGCTTGCTGAGGCTGGGCCTTGCGAATGACGCGTTTTTGAATACTGTGATAGGGGAATTTGGAATTGGCTCGCCACCGCTAGTAGGCGAAGTCGGCTTTGGACCAGACTGCGCTTCCCCGTAGTCCTCCCGTATTGCCTGCATATGCGGATTGGCGGTGCGTTCCTCAAGCGCGCTTCTAGCAGAAAGTGCTCGCGCCGGAGAACGAGGGGAGGTACGCGTAGACCTGGGGGCTTGGATTTCTTCCGTCATTGGCGACCAGCGTCGACGCGCTTTTTCCTTCTCCTCTTCGGAGATACTAGGCTGGGTAGGCTTTCTCTCCCATTCTTGTCGATAACCTGCGCGATGACCCCAACCACTGGGTACATTCGGCGAAGGAACACCGTTCATGTCAGCCTCTAGCATCTGCTGATCCACCTCAGTCTTATCCTCCATTCGTCTCCTCAGATTATCTGCCGTCAGGGCATCCCGTCCGACCTGCGCCCTGCTGAAAACCGGCGAGCGTTGGCCCGTGACCCGCTTTAGGCGCTCTTCATCCTTGGTATAATCCCTACTCTTGCGCGCTCGATGATCGCCGAGGTCATCGCCAAAACTAGCGTCGGAGATGGATCGTCCATTGGCAGATGCTCGACCGCCGTTTGTGTACTTTGCTCGGGGGGACGGGGGGCGATTTCGGCTTCCGGGGCGTGCGCTGAATTGTGGCTCCCAGTCATAGTCGCGCACGAGATCGGCTAGGGCGTCATCTTCATCAATTCGCCTATATGCATCTTCTAGTTCTTGGGGGGGAGGAGAGGTCTGAGATATTGGCGATAACGCGTTAATCGCCTGTCGCTTCGATCGCGGGCTTGGTGTGGTCACATAGTTATATTCTTCGTATGTGGAGGACATTGCGTGTTTTGATGCGTCTCGATACGCATCGACTAGAGATCGTGGGCGAATAGCGTGTCGTGGATGCGGACCATCTTCTTGAGGGGGTGATGGGAGTTTCGCAGGTATATCGTGATGGTCGAATTTCGAGGCGCGTCGGAAAGGTGAGGGTTGTCTATCTTGCGAGACTCGATTGTTTCTATCGAGAGCCATGGCTGAAATACCCCTTGCAGCCTGCAGAGGATTTACATGTAGAAAGGTAGGGGAAAAGGAGAAAGACGCGGTTCTCCTGCGCCGTGAAGAAATGACGGAGGTAAATACGCTCCCATTCCCGAATGTGGTTAGGCCGTCTGGATTTCTTCCGCATTACGTCGACTCTTCAAGCACTGACAACTTGCCATTTCAACTTGTCTTTACTTATATTTACGCTGAGGACCTTATCAGGAGATAATTTTCTAACCTCGTCGTGCTCAAATGTCCCTCACTTTATCTTGACATGTGACACGTTTAGTCGCCACATCCTTAAGAGCTTCGACGAAAGCAGCAAACTCACATTTTAATTAAGCCTTTGAGAAAAACTCAAACTCAGATCATATCCAGCAATTCAGTGGAATATCCATCTATCAACCCCGCCATGGCAAAATCATCACGGCGCTCAGGTCGCGGCAAGACGCCATCTTCATCCGGAGCCTCGACACCAAGCTCCGCCTCCTCAGGCCCGATCCCACCATTCACCAAAGTTCCGCAAGCCTTGCAACCGTTCGTCGAGCAACTCTCCCCGGACGAAGTATACCTAGTGCACATCGACACCACAGCAGAGGAACTGAAACGACAGACCTTCACCGTACCCCTTATCGTCAACCTGATAGTAACTGCTATACTTGGCCTACGGGTGTACATGGGAATTAGTACGTATCCAGCGCTCGTGGGAACATTGATCGGGCTCAAAAATTCCATGACTGTGGACACGTCTACCCCGTGGCCAGAAGCGGTACGAATCATCCTGTGGCGGACTGGAAATATATGCGTCGACTACTTCCTCGTGTCCCTGCTGTGGTCGTGGCCTGTTAATTTCGTCAGAGGGCCGTTGCACTGGCGTCGTGCCATCGGTTTCCTTGAGCGAGAAATCATCGTCCGCCGCAGTAACCGCAGTTGGAGCAAGGAGCTAGAGCGCAACCGGTGGATCCGCGACGACGAGGCGCGTCGCGATAAGATCGTCGCCGCGGTGACTCCCGAGCGAATCGCCAAGACTGGTTACTTGCTCGTGGACGAGGATTGGAATTTAGACTATGCGGCTATGGTTCGTGCTCATGGTCTTGTTGAGCGCACTCGCAGAACCGATGGTGTGAAGATGGATGAATTCCGCACTGCCGTGCTGGTTAACACTGATGCTGACGGTTGGTTGATCTGGCGTGTTGGGGATGATAATACCCCCACCAGCCAAAAAGACTCCGTTCAGCGCGACCAACTCCTTGCCTTCAAGGACAAGTTGGCCGATATGGGCAAGGAGGATCTCTTCCTGCGTTGGGTCGAGCTAATTCAATGGGAGAGCTCGCGGCCTGGTGGTTTCACTGTGGAACGGCAACGGTCTGCGATGATGCAAGCGAAGCAGATGTTTGAAGACGAGAACGTGGATTTCAGCCAATTTTGGCATGACATGGGTGGCATGGAAGGCGTGGAAGGATTAGACCCGGGTTCCAGTTGAGACTAGTTAACTATTCAATTTTCTTTTCTTTTTTTTTTTTTTTTTCATTCATCAACCTCGGCTTACCTGCTATGTAAATTATCTTTGTGTTTGAGTATATTTTGACGTACGTTTCATAAAGCTCAACCGGCAACTTGTGCCCTATACCACTTCAAGTAGATTAATATATTCAAGTATAGATTGCATTGCTGGGTATCTGGACTAAATCAATGTCAAAAGCAAATGGGACACGTATATGTCCAGGAAGAACCGAAAAGAAACCAAAGAACAATGCCACGTCTTAGTACGCCAGAGCTTATAAATAAATAAAAATAAAAAACCAGTCTATGGTGCGCCACCCTCGAGTCGATAGTCAAGAGACCACAATTTCTCCCACGGACGAGATCGGCCGTTGTGTCGACGATCAGACGCCGGCCGAGAGGGTAAAGAAGCGGTGCTACTTATGTTTGGCTGAACCGATGCAGAGACAGGATCCTAAGCCAAAGGAAAACGATTAGTACCGGTATCAAATTATATAAAAAACAGACCCGGAAAAGTCGGAAGATAAATAAGTCCTACTTTTCACGGGCCGGAGGGCAGGTTACGGCGAACCTCGTCGAAGGTCGGAGCAGCCTCTCGAGGCTGTGTGCCGGCATCACCTTCGGCAAGGCGGACAAGATCGGTCGTGGAGTCCGCAGCGTGCTGCGACGGCGCGGGCGTGCCCCGCTTGGAATTTGAACTCTCGCGGCGGCTATCAAGGCTCCTAGATAGGGTTTTGGCAATAGCGCCCTCGTCCGTAGCACGCTTGAGGCGGATGCTACCCTTGGCATCGACGTGCGCTGATGCAACTGTGCTCTTCGCTAGCCCCGGTGTGGCAGGCGCACCGGGCTTCTCTTCTACAGCATCGAGGAGATACCAACGGAGGCCATCTGAAAGCTCGAACGGATTCTCGTCGGCCAGAGAGGTGACGTCGCTGGCGGCCCCGAGGGAGCGACGGTCTGGGGCGATACCGTTCATTGATTTGGACAGATCTACAACTCGTTCCTCGATCTTGGTGATGCGGGCGAGAAGCCAGTCTCGAGCTTGTAGTTTGTGTGAATCTTGTTCGCGAAGGAAATAGTGCGGCGCGCCAACGTTGAAGGCTGCCCAGGAGCGAATGGCTTGATTCCGTGTGGGAAGGAAGAGAGCAAGATCGCCTTCTTTAAATGATCTGTAGGCGATCTTGTCATGGGCCTCGCTCTGAACTCGGTGGTATTTTTCACGATAGCCTCGAGCTTCCTTTTGCCATTTGCGAGCTAGGAGTTCGATGTCCTTGACGCGTTTGACAACAACATCACCAAATAGGGCCACGTCGAACTGAGCTAGGCTTTCCATGAAAGCCGAGAATTTTTTCTCTTCATCCTCCAGGCTTTCGGCTTTCATCCAGTCTAGGAGCGCGGTATCCGGCTTCAGGGATACAATACCGGACTGTGCGAGGCTTTCGCCTAGGGCCAATGATGCACTAAGCTTTGAAGCTCGTTGAACAAGGAGCTGACCATCTTGCTGAATGATGGTGAACCCCAATTGTTCGAGCATCCGACCCAGCTTCTCAACCTGGGTGAAGAGCTGACTAGAAAGCTCGAAGGACTTAGTACCTCGAGCTTCGGACCGCGCGACAGCCCGTTTCTCAGTCTCCGAAGGACTCCCTGATTTTTTCTCCCATTCCGCAGCCTGATCTTTCAAATTTCGGGCTTCACTCTCAGCTTCAGCCAGTTTCCGCGACATCTCTGCCTGTTTCTGTTGCTCTTCGGCGATCTGTTCACGCAGCGCATCGGAGCCACTCTCTCCAGTAATTTGAGAGTGCAAGGAATTGTACTTGGATCGCTCTTTGTCCAGTTCACTAGTCAAGTCATTCGACTTTGACTGCGCGCGTGACAGCTCTGTAGTTAGTCGCGACAATTCGGCCTCGCGTTCATCGAAGCTCTTCGTCCGCTCTTCTGCCTCCGATTCGAGTTTGGCAATCTGTTCTTCAAGGGCCTTACTCTCGGCCATTGCCTGAGATGCACTCGATTCCGCACTCTTGGCGTGGATCGACAGACCCTCGGAGAGAACTTCAATGGCTTTGATTAGGTCGGGAATTTCGACAGGCACAATACCCCCAGGTGAGAGGTTCATGAAGATAACTTGGAGGGCTTGGTAACTTTCCTGCTGCTTTTGCTCGAACTCCATTTGTTGGTGCTCGAGTTTATCAATCTTAGCCTGGAGGCCTTCTTCTCGCTCTTGCCGAGTTTGAATCTGTGCGTTAAGATCAATGATTTTCTGTGCGTCCTCGGCGGAATTGGCGTGAGCATGTTCAAGGTCGACTTCGAGCTGGTGCATCCGGTCGTCAAGTTCTTGTTTTCCATGCTCTCTGCTGTCCATAAGTCGATCAAGCTCTTCTTCCATTTCCTCAGTACGGAGTCTGAACTTCTTTAGCTCTGAGTCCAGATATCGGCGCTCGTCTTCAAATTCACGCTGGCGCGCTTCAAGGTTTCCTATGAGATCCTTTTTGGTGGATTGGGCTTCTTGGAACTTGTCGGAGTTGGTTTGCCGCTCGGCGTGGGCTTCCTTATGGAGTCGCTGGACCGCATCTCTCTCGGCCGCCAACTCTGCTTCAAGCGTAACAATGCGCTGGACAAGTGCTTTCTCTTCGGGAGACTGAGTCGCAGAGACTCTCCTCGAAGACATTGATGACCGTCTAGAGAATGTATCAGGGTGAGGAGATGCAGGTGAACCGGGGAAGTCGGGGCCGAAAGTGCCGCTCGATGGCCGGCTGAGCTGACTCTGTCGGTGCAAAAGGTCTTCCAATTTGCGGACGCGACTGTCAGATCCCTTGATCCTTTCTTCTAGCTTTGTCTTTTCTTCTTGTAAGCTACGGACGGAGTCATCGGCGCGTAATATAGAGCTCCGGCTCAAGTCAAATACGCTGCCTTGTTTGAACGCTTTGGCCCGACGTCTTTGTTGCCGAGTTGGTGCATCTAGCGCCTTGAGCTGCTGGGTGAGCTCTTCCGCTAAGTTGGTCAAGGAATGAGTGGTTTTTAAATCGTCGATGTAATACTCGATCTCTTTCCGGGCTACTTCGGGCCATTCCTCATCCTGACCTTGAAGGTTGACTTCGATTCCCGGTGTGGTGGAATCAGTCACAGTCATATAGTCCCCCATATTCTTTAACCACTTTTTTCTGCGACGTTGCTCTTCGTCCCTCAAAATGGCCATCTCCTCGGCCAGCGTCAAGGAGTCAGTCTTAATCTTCTCACTCCATTCTCGCCGCCGCACGGATTCGATAAGGATCGACCCATATACCATTGGCATTTGGAAGACAGAGTATATAACCTCAAAGGCATTACTCCCTATGTCCAGATTGACCATTCGTGCATTGGCGTCGGCAAGTCTGGACTCAAGAGAGGAAATCGTGCGCATATGCTGAATGGCCGCTTTCTCCGCGGCCCCTCGGCGTTGCACAGCGTGCTCTAGCGCAGCTTGAAGCTCGACGCTGATCTCCACTAGCGATGGAAGAAGGTCTTGCGTATGGCTGAGTGCAAGTCTTGATATATTGGCCAACGTTTTCTGGTTGTTCGGCAGGCCGAGGACATGCTCATAATCAGACTCGATCTTCTTCGCAATAGTCTCCACTTCTTCCAGCCACCCATCCACCCCGTCGAAATTTGAGGCAAGGGCATCTTCTACTAATTGTTGAGTGTCCGAGGCGATGTCGCCGATTGCCTTTTCAATTTCATGGACGCTAGCAACAAAGTCCGCCGACACAGTTGCTGCCTCTGATCCAGCCCGTTGGACCTCGCCTACATCGACAAAGTCGCGCAGCGTTCCGGTTGGTCGATCCTCGTCCATTTTAGGCGTGGACGGGCGTCCAAGAAGAGGGAAATCCTTACGTGCCGGGATGTTATCCAGTGTGGAGAGAGCTCGTTGCCAACCATCTAAAGCGGCCTGCTGCTCTTCTAAAAGGCTATTCGCCCATGTCTGCGCCTCTTGGAACCGATGCTCTAAGTTACCCACATGCGACTTGAGATTCTCCAGGGCCACGCCCACCGCGCGATTTATAACATCGGTTCGCTCGTTATGTTCTCGGAGGTTCTTATCAATCGACCCACAGCGGCTAGACAAGTCCAGCGCCCAGTTGCGCCGTGCCATATATAGGTTCCGCCATGCCTGAAGGTCGTTCGAGTCTTTCAGTGTAGCCGGGGGACTACCGGGTCGGAATGGTTCAGGAGGAGGTCGTTCCGGAAACTCGACGTCACCTGGTTCACTGACGTATTGTCGGTCATATACAAAGATCTCATTCTGCGATAGTTGCCTATGAGTTAGCCGATTTCCAGGTTATGATTGATATTCGTAATATAGTACCTCGGTAGCAAGCGTTTGGATTTTGACATTCTTTCCCCGGGCGGTCATCAAGATCTGCCGTGGTGGCGGAATAGATGTATTTCGAACGATCCATGACTTCAAAGCATCGGGACTAATAGAAATGCACAAGCGTCAGCTGGAGTTCAGATAGATCTGATCAACATAGATGAATAGCAATGAAGATAGTGGAGACATACGAAGCAAATGCCACTGGATCGGCCAGGAAATGCTCCCCGGTGTGAGCAATGTAGATGTGCAACGACATTACCTTCCTCCGCACCAGGCGAGCTTAGATGCTCAGTAGAGAGAAAAGTGAGAAGTATTTCCCAAAAAGGAGACACCTGCCTGTAAGGAAAGAAAGAAAAGAATGAAAGTCCTGAAGCCCCGGTCAGGCTGGTCAGTACGTTGAAGGTTGCTCCGCAACCTGTGGCCGGGGAAGCTCGCCCACCGCCTCCGGTCTCATCTTCATATCACCAGATAGGCCCGCATTCATGGGATCTACATCGATGGCTGCAAAACATGGCCAGTCGCTGCCTCACCTACAATCTGGTGAGGTGACACTATTAGATTATGCTGCAGATGACTATCGCGATGTCGTGACTCTATCGGATAAAGAGGCCTTGGTGCTGCAGCTCTACAACCAGATCCAGGAACAGCAGCTAGAAAAGGCATTTCTCGAACAAGGTATATGCTTGTTTTCTTTTCTTTAATTTTTTGTTTCCTTTCTAATCACTTTTGTTCTATTAGAACTGGAATCATATTCGGGCGCGGATGCTGAAGAACAGCTCGCAATCGCGGAACGTGAGCTTCTAGAGGCCCGATCTACTTATACAGTCAGGAGGAAGGCCGTTCGCACCATCCTCATGACTGAGCCTATTCTTAAAGCTGTCCACCTGAAGGCTGCAACCCCTGCTGAGAGGTATGTACCCATGAAGAGCCCTTAAACTAGACCGAAGTCTAACAAAGATACGCAGAGCCATTCTTTGTCTGGTGAATCGTCGCGATGTGCTTGCCCTTGCACACGAGAACCTCGCGTCGGCACATGACTTGGTGATGAGGCAGCTCTCAAACCTACAAGTAAAGAATCTCCAGATCAATCGCGAAAACCAGGAACTAGTGCGCCAGCTACTAGAGCTCACGAAAGAAGATTCATCATGGAGAGAGAAGCTTGAAGACCCCGAGCTGTTATCGCGCCTGGACAAGTCTGAAACTGATTTCAAGGCGCGCAAAGCTCAGTGGGAAACTATGAAGTCCATCGCAAGTGCTGTAGTTGTTGCCAGTGGACTAAATTGGGCTGATGACGACATGTTGCGCGCGTTGGTGCTGGATGAAAGTGATGACTGATGTTTGTTCTTTTTTGCGACGCGGCTTGCCCGTTTTCTACATTTCTTAATTCCGACCATCAACTGTACATGTACTTAAGGAGCACAGGCGCTATACGATATTACCCAAGTCTCCGGGACATTTGATTTCTGTTTCTAGAAGAAGAAAAAAAGAGAATGGTAATTTTAGCCGAATAACTAATGTGGACTGGATAATAATTATTACACCTGGGCAATGTGTTCCATCAGTACTGCAATTATGACGGCTATACACAGCGGTGTACTCTGGTCGCGTCTGAGAAGTAAGGGCTCTACGCTCGGATAATTGCATAACTATCACTTTTAAATTAGCTAGCGATGAGATATCAATTTGGAGTCCACAATACACTTTCCTGTCGGAAGGCGTGGAACTGTACAGAGTACTCCGTACATTACGGAGTACAGGTGGATTAGCCCTCCTTACACATCCACAGTACTGCAGTATCAACGGTATGTGTAAGAAAGAAGGGTTTCTTTCAGGGAACACCAGAATGTCCATGCGTGGTCTATGCGTTTGGACTTGACAATGTCTACAGTACAAGTACGGACTTTTGCTTTTAATCTGTCTGCCAACTCTACAATATTGTACTAGTCTGGTATCTGCAAGTTAAAGGAGCAATCTGAGGCATTTGACGGATTGGAGCACATTACCCCATAGATGGAATATCCATGCAGTCTACTCATATTGGAAAAGATATCCAGGCTGGATTTAGCTTGTGATGATGGTGTGATCCGGCTCTGTAAGGAAGGAGTCTAACCTTTAAGCCGTCCCATGCCCATACCGTCTCACTTTGTAACCTATCAGTCTAGGCGTGGATAATGCTCGGACTAAGAAAATAGCGATAACTCTATGCCACATTATGCCACATTCATCCATGCTAGTTAGGGTCTAGAACACGTATGCCCTTTATCAACAGGTCTAACAGGCCCCTTCCTAAGTACCTGCCCAGCCGAGTTTCCAATTGAGGTTACGCTAAAAGGAAGCGCAACGATTATGATTGAGCGACCAGTCAGTCGCCCTTGCCTGAGGATGATAGTTGAGTACTTGGTACGAGTACTCACACTGTTGTGTACACACGTCTAGACACGCGTTGCGTGCGTGATGATTAGGGTTTGTGTCATTACACAGAGTTCTCAACCGAATGATATTGACACCGAGAGCTTAAGTAGACCGTGTTTTCGGAATTCTTATTCTATCGACCAGGGGAATAATGATACAATACCCCGTAGTAAACTAGGATCTGTCTTTCTAGAACCGCAAAGTACCCCGTACAATAATAATATGTACCTGCACATGACCTTGCGACTCGCGACCAAAGCCACTATACGCTATACCCTATGGAAGCAAGTCCATGATATTCCATGCCTGTACACAACAAACCCTGCCCGACCTAAATACATGGAAATGCTCGATTCTATTTGTACCTTCGTCCAGGGGTTCTCCGGACTCTTTATGACATACATCGTAGCCTACTTGCCACAACTGTAGGCATCATTGCGGCCTTATTATTAGCATAATGTTACAATATAAGCCATATTGTACGAAGTATGTATATCAAATCAATGGCAAACACTCCACGGTAATGACAAGTACGAGGTACTTGCCGAGCAGATACTTCCACTATGGAGTTACCGCGTACCGTGTACCTGTACGTTTGCGCGGTTATTAATATGACGGAGCGCAATCCACAAGTCCCAAGTGCCGGAATGATGGTCTCGTTTCATAACCCGTGGACGCCGTATTGAATTTTCTAATCGGTACAGCCGCCCACAAAGTCTTGCTAAAAAAAAAAAAAAAAAGGAATGTACATGAATATATCATAGCAAACGATCTAAATGGAAATTCTGACGGTAACCTGGGGGAAATAATACGTAAATTTCCAGAAATCAGTGACGAATAGTATGGTGGACGGCGTAAGTTACGGGTATTGATCATACGTTTTCTCCCAGCCAGTCAGCGAAACCAGTGCCTTTCCCTTGCTGTGGCCCCCCTCTCTTTGCTACTACTACGGCCCTCCCCCCTCTACTCTTCTCTTCTCTTACTATCTTCCTACACTACCAACTCCCCATACAAAAACTCCCCTTACAAAAAAAGGTACTGCATATACCCCGAGTTCTATAAATCAACACTTCGCAATCGAATTTCCTCCACCACAACCACCACCCCCTTTTTTTTTCAGTTCTTTTGGTCCTTGCAATCCTTTATTTTCACCTCATTGCCTGTCTTTTTTTTTCCCAATTTGCGCCGACCTTGCGATCGCGCGCTGCACCTCGATCTATGTTTTTGTCCACCTCAACTAACTCGCAATCGCACAGTCCTTTTTCTTTTCAAAACATATTCCTAATTTGTGATCATCAAATTCATGTGAGTTGGTCTCATCCCTATCATCTCAAAGCTCTGTTTTGCCTCGGTCGCAAGTGGTTGGTTGCGCGCAACGCGTCTAGCCAACACTCGCGTCTGCCCTTCTCATCTCCCACCTCCACTCCGATCTCATTAAATGTTATGTCAATTGCGCATATAAACCTTCACTTGACTCAATCGCGCCTTTCGTTTCTCCCGCATATTATCTATTGTGCCAAGAATCCTCGGAAACCACATCTAACCTTCGACAGTCATCATGCCTAAGGAGACCACTACCAAGACCACCCGCAAGGCCCCCGAGAAGCGCGTCCAGCGCCGCAAGAAGGGTAAGTTCGACATGGAAGTAACCTCGTCGTCAACGGCTTGTACTAATTGACTTAGACCCCAACGCGCCCAAGCGTGGTCTGTCCGCTTACATGTTCTTCGCCAATGACAACCGTGATAAGGTCCGCGAGGAGAACCCCGGCATCAGCTTCGGTCAGTGAATTGATTCCCCAACTCCATTGTACTTATCTAACACCCCCACAGGCCAGGTTGGCAAGCAGCTCGGTGACAAGTGGAAGGCTCTGAGCGAGACCGACCGCAAGCCCTACGATGCTAAGGCCGCCGCCGACAAGAAGCGCTACGAAGAGGAGAAGGCCGCCTACCTCGCCAAGGCTGAGGAGGAGGAAGAGGAGGAATCCTCTTAAACGCCCTCTAGCTTCACTTCGTCTTTTGCCTCTGGGCGTTTGTGTTTCTCTAATGGTTCTCCTGATGTTTTTTTCGGACGGTTTCGTGCACGGTTTCTGGGTTTGGAGGACGGCTGGGGTTTACTTGCTTCTGAACTGTTCCTCTTTGCTCTTATCGAGGGTATTAAGTTATCAATGGGAAATCTCAACCTTTTTTTAATTAGTGTCAAGGCCAGTTCCATTAAGCTTTCAATGGTTGTAAAAATAGCAAGCAAGTCTTGGCAATATCACTAGCTTATGGGGATGATTCAAAATCAGGATTTATTCTGTTGTGCGAGGGGTCTTGTGTGCCGCGTTCAGATTCGCCTCACTTTAGGTCTGATCTTCGGCTGTCGAGCTTCGGGGAAGCTTCGGGAGCTCTCCAGAGCTCTTGAGCTTTTTTGCCCCGCAAAATCGGGCGTGTCTCACCGCCTGCGTCATTCACCGCCCTAAGAATCCGGGGTCGAAGCTCGAAGCTCGAAGCTTAACTTTGGATTTGTTTCAGATGCTGGAAGAGTTCCAACCAATGTTTCTGCATTTACTGACCGGAAATTTCATTGGAGAGTCTAAATCTATGTTGCAGAAGTCGAACAAATGCCACCTGGATCGATCACAAGGCGGTATCTAAAACTACGATGTACACTATCTGCAGCTTGGGTTCGTGAGACCTCCGATCCTAAGCTCTCGATCCCGATCGATGGCTTTCTCCCTTCCGTTTTGATGCTCAAGCTTTCTTCACTACCCATCACCGTATCATTACGTGATCCAGATGGCTGATCGGTTTAAACGATCGTAAAATTCATACAGCTTTCCCAGAACTTCGAAATCAACGCTTTCCGTATAATTTGGTGGAATTGAGATTAATTCAGTGGGTATATATTTCCTTTTCTTCTTTGGGGGTAACAGATTACCTTCCATGACCAGTTTCGAGAGTTGACTGCAATATTTCGTCGTTTAGAGACACGCAAAATCAACTGTTTCTCGCGATTGCATCTGACTCCCACTTCTGTCAGATACCATTTTTTAGACATCAGTTGTCGCGGCCTCTCGCCTGCTGAATTAGGCTGGTCTATCATGTTTCGCCCCAGCTGCTTCGAGCAGGGAAGGAACCATCCCATCTAGGACTCTTGATCGATCAGCAAACATCGACTAGGCCCGTTTCTCGTGTGCCTTCTCTTTTATTCACTCGCAATGATCACACGGTGCGTTCATTTTAATGTTGTCTATAGGCAAAGAAGCCGAAGACCTCGCATTCGCCAGCAGCGCTCCGTCACCTTACGAAGGGCTGACTGTCCAGGATAATCGCGCTACCTCAAGCTATACCTCTTCATATGCCGAATTCAACGATAACATCCGCTAGTAGAGCGGGACATTTGTTGGGTCTATAGTGTCCTAAAGTCGGCCTCATAGAGTCTAGCATCGTCTGTATGTGAAGAGCGGTGTCTGGTATTTCGCGGGTTTCTTCCAACCAGGGAATGTGTAACTCGCTATGGCATAAATCACTGGGGATATGAAGTGGGGATTAACGACACCATCGGACCTCGCAAAAGCCCGCTCAGGGACCCGTAATTCGGTGGTACTTGCTCGACATTACCTATATATAGACTTCTGGTTGTGGGGTATAGAAGTCCGGCAAGAAGCGCATTTATCTAGAGATTTCAAGGAAACCAATTAACTTGGTAGGATTGGCTTTCTGTTACTTAATTTCACTGACTTTGATATCATATGCAAGCAAACCGGGAAAGAGTTTATCTGGAACATATGTATGCCACGTATTTTACCTAGTGGGGCTAGTTATATCGGGCATATCTCATGTTAGACAGTTTATTCCCTCTCCATATGGAGTATTACCCCAAAGCGCTCCTATGATTGGTCTAACTGAGAGCCATAAGCATAAAATTGACCACTTCTCCGCATTTAGGGCCGGGACGACCCTATGAACTGAAGCTTATACCGAGCTTATAAGAGTATACAGAGCCATTCTCTATATTCGCTACATCCTCCATACATCCGTGAACAAGCGGTCTATGAGAAAAGCGAAAGAGATGACGAGGAGACCAAGACTCCACAAGCCCCGCCATTCGGGCGTGAACACGTCGGTCCTGGGACAACCCTGTCTCGAGAGCCTCATGGGCAAAGATTTTTTCTTTTCCCGCTTCTTATCTCGAGGGCTTTCTTTCCGTTTTCGTTTTGTCTTTTCTAAATAATGTTAATTGTGCGCATGTGAGCCTATTGGCCTATTGTTTAGTTCCTAATTTTTTCCCTAGCCCCCTCCCCCTTCGAGAGAGCCCTCCCCACCAGATCCCTCCGCACCTCCCCCAAGAAAATCACCAACCCGTATATGGCCTAACCCTGTACTATAAGATGGCTCAGGCTCTGCGCGCGTCTCGTGAGAGCGCCGACGACGTGGCGGCTGGTTTTTATACATTCCGAGACCCTCTCCCAGAACACATGAGCGAGATCTCGGCGCTCTTGTCCGAGTTATTCGCCATCAGCTCATCCTTGTCCGCTTTGCAACATCTAGCAGAAGATCCCCGAAATCGCCGCTATTTTGAAATGATCAAACCCGATTTGACCGTGGTGCAAGCCAGTTTCACATATACGATTGAGGATATCGGCGATATTTTCAGACGTCTTGATGGCCCAGATGCTAGTCCAGCGATGTACAAGCGCACATGGGCATTTATGAGTCGGTTCTTTTGGGATCAATCAAACTACTCCCTGGCAGCCCGCCTAGCCAAGTATAAGACGGCCTTTAAAGAGTTCTATGACTTGGTAAGAGAGTAGGTGCTCCGCCAGGCAAAACTAGTAGACAAGCGCATGCGTGTACTTATTCCTGGTCGTTGTTAGTGGTCACTATACCTCGTCAACCCTCGTGATGCTCGTCAATCAATTCAAGGCCTTACTCTCCATACAAGATGGTCTGTTCGCTGCTCGCTTTGAAGGCATGACACTCCGCCCGGATGACTCGCCTATCGGCCACCGCCCAGCGACTCCCCCGAGCCCGGTAAGGGAGCGCCTCCCAAGGGAGCGCCCGGTGAGGGAACGTCCGACGAGTGGCCGCCCGGTTATTGACCTGAACAGACGGCGCCGGAGGTCATTCGAGCGCGCTCGGCCGTCGCATATGTCTCCTCCGCCAATGTCGCCTTCCTCCGGCACTTCTTCGGATTTCCCGCCGTCTGTCCCGGATATCCCGCTCTCGCCGTTCACTTCGACATCCGCTAGTACTAGCGCGGATGTTATTCAAGAACACTGGGCCAAGGATACATTCGGGTGTAATACTACCAACACTCCTCTACCGTCTTCGAGAGAAAAGTGAGTTATAGATAGCTTGGTTTAGTTCTCAGAATTTGGCTAACATATTTTGGCAATAGGTCACGCTGCTGCGGAGAATCTCAACCTGGCATTAAACAATCAATTAAAGACAAGGGCTATGAGGAACTCATCCACCTGCAAGTTGCGAAATTTTACTCCTTTGAGCATACATTTTAACACAGTATAGATGCCTAAACGACGAGTCCGATATGCGTGTGGCCTTTTATCTAAGGAAAACAGACCATCGTGTCCGCATCCTTTGCAAGAAGCCCCACCGGACGGGGCCTAGCGACTACTACTGCTTGCCGCTGAATTTACTCGAGCTCATGCGAGATGGCTCTTGCCTCCGACTGTGCAGGCGGCGGAATCATGGAACAGAGCTTGTTTTATGGACCCTGTTGAAGTTCAGCACATTGGAAGGTCAGCAATGCTAATCTGAAAACCCCGCCTTGGGCTGTTGAAGTGACATACTTACAGCTTTATCTTTCAGATCTAGTGCTATTCCATAACGTATTCCTCGCCTTGCGCTCCCAGGATGCAGGCCATCCTATAGGAGAAATCCTAGACCACGAGCTGACACACGAACAGCAACGCTTTGGAGCGTGAGCAATCCACACCATACCAAGGATAATTGAGTTCAGACAGGCTGATATCTTCTAGCCCGATCACCGACGATGGGTACATGCATGCGCTGCGCGTATACAAAGACACGGTGACTGGAGCCGTAAGAATGCAGGCGTCAGTCCACCTAGGCGAGATGAATCAGTATGTCAAGCGTCAATTGTACGAATTAAACATCGAAAATGAATTCTAATGAAAATGAACACAGCACACCCGTCTGGACAGCATTCGTCACCCACAACCTTGGGAAACGCAGTTGGCTTAAGTTGCAGGGTTCCAAAACGGTGATTGTGCGTGATATCAAGCCCATCATATTTATGTCTGTCGATGATTACGACCCCCCGCAGACCTCACAAGGTTATCATATCCTGGAGTTCACGCGCTCTTCTGGTAAGTGGTTGGACGCAACAGTCTCGGGTATTGTTGACTGATTGGACGTTTGTTTAGATGCTCGGATGTTCGTGGATGTCATGGATGAACTGGGCGATTGAGTTATGATAGGAACAGTTGGACTGATGGTTTTTAATTGGAATCTCTGTTCTGACATGATGATTTATGAGTTATGTTGATATGATTGCGATGATTCAAGATTTCAAGAGCCGTGGATTTCTTTCTAGTAGTCCGGATTGCTAGTTTGGTACCTCTTTGGACATATGTATGTCTATAATGGATTGTCCTCGCCGTGGAACCTCTACAGCTCCATGGCTTCTTCGCTCCCATATTTCTGCTAGGCCTAAACGTAGACTAGGTTCAACCAAAACCATTGTTTAGAAATAAATTTAAGCCAACTTACTAGGGGTATCACATATACAAAAGAAACGCAAAGTAGAAACCAGAAAGCACATTGAAGCGCGAGCAGATGCGATGGAAAGGTGATGAGGAATCACTTGGCCACATGCGGAACATCATGAAAGAAACTTACGAAGTGTCCATATCCTTTGCAGCGTTGTTATCCCCTGCAAAGCCAGCGATATCGTCTGGTTCAGGATGATCCATGAACATGTAACGTTGTGCCAGTGGGCATGTAGTCCAGTCATACGGGGGGTCGGACTCAGGGTACAGCCATTTTGAGGGGGGTGGTTTAGGTGGAGGGGCTACCTTTGGCTCGGGGTTGCGTTCGGCTTCAAGGTCCTCTAGGCGCCACGTCTCCAAATTTTCCTTAGAAAGTCTTTGAATCTCTTCGCATCGCCACTGTAAATGGGCCTTGCGCTCAGCCATCCGTTCCTCGTCCGTTTTCCGCTTGGATAAAGTTTCCTCTCGCAGAACTCGGAGTTCTTCCATCTGCTGCTTGCGCTCCCCCTCATCGGTGGAAAAGCTATAGAATCCAGTTCCACGGTTGCGAATCTCCGCTTCAGCCTCGTAATGCTTCTTCTCCGGCGGGGTAGGCGAGCGGTCACGACGAGCGGCGAGATGGGACATGTGCGACGCAATGTTGGCATCAGGATTGAAGGCTTCGGTCTGAACGGCCTCTCCGTAAATCAAATTGTCAGGACGAGCAGGGCGCCAGCGTTCTTGGGCAGCTTTGGCACCCGCTTCTTCATCCATGGCGCGAGAAGCTTCGGCGGCTTCGGCGCGAGTGCCACGGCGAGACCGGCCAAATTCGTCTTCGTACGAAACAATGGATGCATTGTCGTCATCGGACTCATCTTGCTTGAGTTGCTCCTCGCTTGCGTGCTTGAGATCGAAATCAACCAATACGTCCTTCTCCTTGCGTCTTAGTCGGGCTAGGTAGGCGTCCGGATCGGATGGATCAGCCGACATGTCATCATCATCATCACTATCACCGGCAAGATGTAATCCCTTCTTCATATCTTCGTAGAGGCGCGCCTTTTCCTGCATTCGACGTCGAGACCGGCCCAGTGTGATGGCGTCAACAGAGCCAATGTCCTGGGTGCTCCTGTGAACTTGCTTGAGAGCCCTGTTGTCATCTGCAAGATCGGCAGCTGCACGCTTCTGAGTACCTTTGTTGTGCTTTGAAAAGATATCAGACTTCGGATTCTTGGAGGGACGGTGGCGTCCCCGCGACGAAGCGGAGGTCGCATCTTGGGCGATGAGTGAAGAGAGCTGAGAGGTGAAGGCGAGGCTTGAGGAGGTGACTTGTTCGGTTTTGGTCTTTTTTTGGCGCGGCTGCCCGTAGAGGGAATCCTGATCAGCAGGCATGATAATGTGAATGATACACGTGTAGTGTTAAGAAGTTACAGGTTTCACGCGCGGAGTTTACCGTATTTCCTACAGCCACCGGCTTATCGATAAGCCAATATACACCGCCAACCCTTATGTCATTTTCTGCCGCTCTTAATGACTAATGCCGATATTCGGGGCAGCCCCGCACCCCCACTACTCAGGTGAATCGATTGCGCCGTGAGTCAATTGATTGTTCTCTTAGTTTTGATCTGATATTGGACTCTTGACTGAGAATCAGAAAGTTAAGCTGATCGAAATAATCAAGAAAAAAAATCATCAATCAGCAATATGTCGGCTAGTCCTATCTACCTTGGTGTCATTGGTAGGTGTCCCTCACTACTGAGCTTTAAAAGTCCAACCAATTGAGTACTAACGATTTTATCAATTAGGTGTCGGAGGCGTTGGTACGGCCTTCCTCCAACAGCTCGCTCGTCTCCCCAATGCACCCCAGCTTGTCCTCCTTGCCCGTTCCTCCCAGACCCTCCTTTCCCCGAGTCCCGCCTATTCGCCGGCCATCCCCGCCGCCGATTGGGCCACTGCTGCTGCCGCACCATCGCTGACCAAGAGCGGTGCCCTCCAGGCCGAAGAAATCGCTACATACCTCGCCTCCGCACCTGGCCGAGCCATTTTGGTCGATAACACTTCTGACATTAGCCTCGCCCGGCAATACCCCACATTCCTCAAGAAGGGCATCTCAGTGGTGACACCCAACAAGAAGGGATTCTCCGATGACCTGTCCTTGTGGAAGGATATCTTTGCCTCTGCGGCTGAGGGTAAGGCTCTCGTGTACCACGAGAGCACCGTGGGCGCCGGCCTGCCCGTGTTGTCGACCTTGAAGGACCTGGTTGCTACCGGCGATGAGGTCACCCGCATTGAGGGTGTCTTCTCTGGCACTCTCTCCTTCCTCTTCAACACCTTTGCCCCTGCATCAGGTGCTTCTGATGCCCAGTGGAGTGCTGTCGTCGCCCAGGCTAAGGAGCTGGGCTACACCGAGCCGGATCCTCGTGATGACCTGAACGGCATGGACGTTGCACGCAAGCTGACCATCCTGGCCCGTATTGCTGGTCTGGAGGTTTCCCGCCCTGACTCTTTCCCTATTGAGTCGCTGATCCCCGCTGAGCTCGCATCTCTGCCTTCATCCGCGGACGGCATTACTCAGTTCATGACTCGTCTCCCTGAGTTCGATGCCCAAATGGCCAACATCAAGGATACTGCCGAGAAGCAGGGCAAGGTTGTGCGTTACGTTGGAAGCATTGATGTCGCCGCCAAGGCTGTCAAGGTTGGTCTGCAGTACTTTGATAAGGACAGCGCCATCGCTGGTCTGAAGGGCAGTGACAACATCATCAGCTTTTACACTAAGCGCTACGGTGCCAATCCCCTGATTGTGCAGGGTGCCGGTGCCGGTGGTGAAGTTACCGCTATGGGTGTTTCGGCCGATCTTATCAAGGTTGTCGAGCGCCTCCGCTAAATTGCGAGCATTGGAGGCCTAAAAGAATCAAACCAAAAATTTGACAATGCATATAAATAAAGAAACGCCCTTTCTGAGTCCAAGCCTGGTGTCATATATACCATATAATTCATGTATCTTGCGCAGAACTCCAACATACTGAAGTGTCTAAGTCCTTAGGAAGTCTTTCAATGCTTCTCCCCACACATCTCCCTTCTTATAAATATGCATTCCTGGCACATTACCCCTCTTCAAGCCATCGACCGCGTTCGCAAGGTCCTCACCAGAACCCTCATCCTTAATCTGCTTAATTGGATAAAGATAAGTGTGGACGGTAAAGACGAGAGCCTTGGACACCGGCAGCCGATGCAACGTCTGACGCTCACATCGGAGACAAGTCTTTAGTGATATCAGCACTATCCGATCAAATGGACTTCCTCGAAGCCAACATACCTGATCAACATTCAATTTCCCGGGCTCAATAGCCTCCTCTTTTTTCCCCGGCTCAGCATGTGTCCCACCAAAAGCAGCAAAGAGACCCGTGTCAATAGTAATACTCCAATTAGCCCGTTTCACAAACCTCCCAACCTCAATGCGCGCAAAGAACCGATCCATGCTGCGTCCAATCTTTTCCTGATACCCCGGGACCGGCACATGAATATCGGCTAAACGCTGCCCGAGTTTCTCGCTCATGTTGAAGCCAGCCGGGAAACAGATCGCATATGCCTGTAGTACGGATTTCGGCTGTTCCTCATTTTCGGGGAATAACTCAGGGAGCAGGATCAGGAAATCCTCGTCTACCGTCTGGGTCAGGATTTCCAGGGCTTGGATTGTTGGCGTCGTTGGCGACAGCGTTGTCGGCCACGTTGCGCCTGTTACCAGGTTGTGGAAGAGCGAGCTTCCAACGGTTAGACGGAACATGCTCGGATATCGGGTTGGTAGGTATGTTCCCAGAACATAATTGTATAGTTCGCTAATGGCGGGACGGATGCGAGGATCCTCCTCTGGGGTTTGGTCGTTGTTGATTCCCACCACGATGTCGTGGTGCTGGTCGATTACGGACTCGCGGAGAGCTAGTCGGTCCTTGTATGTTTTGTCCATTGGGATGAGCTCGGACGGATCAAGGCTTTCAAGTGCTGATATAGATTAGTCTCGATATGTGTCGAGTGGTGTAGTATGGTATATTTGTATAGCATCAGACGAGGGACTCACCCATGGTCAAGTTGTATTTGTCTTTCCCTTTAAACGGCCGGAATTGTAACGGCTCGGTCTCCTCCCAGTTGAATCCTTCAAGAGGTATGATGGGGGATGTCTTATTGTCCGAGAAAGTTGTCTTCGTCCTCCCGTATGCATTAGCCTTACGGGATTGTCGAACCCTCCACACAGCAGCACATGTGCCCACGATAAGAGCAAAGAACAGATATATGGAGAATGGAGGCCATGGTGTATCAATGGCTTTGTATAGAATGCGTGCCATCCTGCTCAAATCACTATGGGGTGGATCTAAGCTGTCGAAGTTTAGATCCCTGCTCAACGGAGAGTTTTATCCTTGAACAACCTCCTACTCCGCATGAACTCCTCACTAGAAAGCGAACTTGGCTTGGAGAGTCGTGTTGGAGCTTATCTCTCCCCACTTTGAGTGGCCGAACTGTCCGTCCATTGTTCTCTGATTGACTCACACGGCCGAGATGTCGGGACCTGCGGGGTTGGCACTTTCAAGATAAGACAGTTGGGGTATTGTAAGATTGGCTACTCATTATCTAGGGCTTTGTATAATAGATTGTAGGTTATACTCTGGAAGTATCATACAATCTTCGATGTATAGGTATATAAGTCTTCTCACACACAACCTGGGAAGACGAGACGAGCAATAAAAGAAATGTATGCTTGCTCATATAGTCAAAGCGACAAGAGACAACAATAACACAAGATTCATAAACATCATCACTATTCCAAAGGAGACGCAATCCAATCATCATATCTGCCCCGAGCTCCTTTGTTTCAAGACACCATCTCCACTCAAATGTGGATTTAATGCTTGGACAACAACAGGGCTCACATTCTCCTTCTGAGAGTCGTCACGATCTTTCTCCCCCTTTCGCCCTGGAGAATCATCTTGATTTTCTCCCTCGCTGCTCCCGGTATCCGTCTCCACGCCGCGCAGTCCAAATGCCCTCCGTTGCCCGTCCGGGCGTTCATTCAAGCTCGGCGCGCGAGGGCGCTGGCGACCACGTGCTCGTCCACCAATCCAGGGGACCTCCCAAAGGGTCATACGATATATCCAGATGGTTGCGTCTAGGAGTACGAGGAAGGCCCAGGGGCCAATGGTGATGAGACCGAGGAAGAACTGCGAATCCGGGGTAGGTCAGCGACTGCGTCATAAGGGGTGCGTCACGAGGGGGGGTAAAGTCGGAGAGGAAAGAGGGAAACTCACGAAGATGCGAGCTAACCAGGTCTCGAGTTCGGTGAGTCCCGGCGGGAGGATGGAGTACCACGCCATTATTTTGCTGTGTATTAGAGCGCTCGTGAGCCTCGGGAGGTTGCGGTTGTTGGTGGGTTGGAGCTGTGTCGGTGCTTTGGCGCGCTGCGACTCGGACCACCCACTGCTGACAGCTCTTTTTTCACGGTTGGTTCATTTTTTAGGGTCAGGCTTTGGTTCTCAGTAAATGAACTGTAGAGAGTCAAATTGCACTTGCTCGGCTTGGATTCCACGATTGGGGTACTTTGATCTGATTGGCTGGACCCTGAATACTCACGTGAGGCTTAACCGTGTGTTTATGGCTGGCATTGATCTGAAGATGTGTTGAATGGGTTTGTAAAAGTTTGATATTTTGATATTAAATATGATATTTAAATTGTCCACTTCGTGTAAATGGTGATTTCCAAGATGTGCCTTGAGCAGAGCAAAAAAATAAATCGTGACCTTCGTGTTTAGAAATGACGCTGAGTCCCCCCGAGAAATGTTGTAGAATACAAAACTATACAGATGCAAATGTTTCGCCCAGCAGGGCTAATATGACCGAACAGCTTACCCATGTGAACGGTAAGCGTCGTAAGAAGTATACGAGGGCTCGTCTTCCTGGTCGACTGGTCCATAACCACCGGTCCTCCAGCGACCGAGCGGATTCGTGATATCCGTCTGCCCAGGAGCCTGTGCATTGCTGAGGAGTCCGGACTCCGACTCGTCTGCGTTTGCAGCCGACCTGCCACTGTTGCCCCGCGATAGCGGCACACGGAAGGCCGGGTGGATAAGCCCGGTCGGGTCGGAGTGTTCGTGTTCGTAACCCTTGTGCATGTTCAGCGGCATTGATGGCAGAGAGGGTGCGGGTGATGAGGCACGAGATGAGCCGGGAGACCACTCGCCTCGCAAAGTACTGCGGGGTGTATGTGACCGCTCTGTCATCAGGTCATCAGGCCGGCCGTAGATGCCGCCTCCGAACTCGTCTCGGAAGTCTGCTCGATCCTTGTAGTAGGAGAAGTCTAGATGGTTCTCCGGGACGACCTCGAAGGGCGCGGGTTCGGCAGACTTGCCGGGCTGGGAGGCCAGCATCGGGTTCATTGCAATGTCTGAGTACTCGCCGCCCATGTCACCCTGGTCCAGACGACCTTGGTAGATTTCTTTTAGTGCTGCGGCTGCCTTGGCGTGCACCATGGGTGTCAAAAGTGGTTTGTACAGGGCAGGGTGTCCGAACTTGGTATTCAGACGGTCTGACGCTTTCTTGTCTGAGGTGTTCACACCTAAGGCCTCGGCATCGCTTAGATTTGCACGGTTTACAAACTCGCAATCGGAGTCAAACGTCTTCATGCAATAGATCTTGAATCCAATCATCAAGAAAGGCAGGGGAATCACGCAGAACACCATGTTCCACGTGCCGCTCGATTTGGCCACGAGAGCGATGATCACGTTCGCAAGAATAGTAGCGAAGATCATGCGATTGAATAACACACGCCAAAACGCACCACCAGACTCATTCTTAGTCACGAACACGTACATCAATAGATACTTCTTCAACATGGCATCCACACCAAAATACAATGCTGTCACCGGCAGTACGATGGGTTGCAAGGTAGCGAAACAGAAAGCCACGGTGGCATAGAAGAGGAAGTAGTTGTAGTAACTGGCGTAGTCGAATGATGGCGGTGCGGTCCACTCAATTGCCTGTCGGGGTGTGGGTGAGAGGAACGTCTTGGCGAACCAGACCCAAGCCATGGTAACGAACTGCACCAGATCAATAGCAGCGCCGAGATTACGCTGCAAAAGATACGTCACCCAGAACGGTGACACGGTGCAGAGAGCGCTTACCAATTTGGCATACATCCGGCTTTCCAAGATGGCTTGCCAAGCGTCTTCGTGGTTTTTGGTTTTGTCAACCACGAACGACACGAAGTACCAAGCAGCCGAGAAAAGTGAGAAGACGATCAGATTGTTGAAAACGAAGAATGCATACAGATGCCCCAGCACGTGGCGCTCTCGAGATGTTTTAGTCTTGCTACCACCTTGGATAGAAAGTCGACGGAAGATCACCGGAAGCGCCAGATACACGAGCGAAGTTAGTGCGGGCGATGCAATACCCTGGACAGCAGCCCAAACGTTTGGGTTCATTGCCAGCGAAGTCTGGAACGCCGGCCATACCAAGCCCAGATTGGACAGATTGGACAAGAAAATGGCAATCAAACCGTTAGGAACAATCCACACCAGTGTCAAGCCTGTCACCCAGATAAAATTGATCAGTCGCTTCCACTTGCGCGCGGATTTTGAAAGCGGAAGGTTTTCCCATATGATATCGCTGGGCCGCGGCGCAAGAGCAATAGTAGTGCCCTCAGGGCGTTTGCGGCGAGCGTTCCATGCCACAGCATGCGCGTGCTCGATATTGTCCCAGCTGGCAAAGCCGTACGGCATCGCGTTTCGGCGATCAATCGATGCCCGGCCATGCTTGATTTCCTCTTCCAAGACGCGAATCCGCACGGATAGATAATCTATCGCGTCCACTTTGCCGCCGGGGAATTGTTTGCGTTGTCGGCGAGGGGGATGTAGGGTCGGTCGTTTCGCTGGCAATCGGTCCGGGTTCTTAAGATACTTGGCCAAAACGGACTCGAGTTCTCGGACAACCTCTTCATGTTCCTTGATGAGGCGAGGCAAATCCCTGACATTGCGGCCAATAGCAGCTCGTGGGAGGGCCGAGGTGGGATTGACCTTGTCGGTTAGCCGCAGAATACCTTCATCGGTACGACTATTGACAGGGATGTCCGTGATCATCAAGGTTCTGGCATGCAGACTGCGCTGGTATTCAGCGCTTTGGAAATATGTCCTCCGCAGGTTCCGCACAGCGCGATAGTTCCTCCATAAGAAGAAAGCAACAATAAGATCAAAAGCCCAGGCGCATACCACTTGACTCCAAATGGCCATGGGGTTGGTGATGTTGAGGGGCGTCATCATGTTGAAGGCGGCAGACGCCGTCGAGTCAGTAGAATTCTTGCTCTGTGTAATATTGACCGGTATCATGACGAGGCAGCCGATTATACTGAGAAAGATGAAGATGTTGCGGCACATTTTTGTAAAGCGGAGGAAGATTGCGGCGTCCAGCCCGACTGACTCGATCAGCTGCGGTTCCCGTGTATTGATCACCGGCTTGACCCAGGCGAAGAAGCCCTTGCCCACCGGCGGCGGGGTGTGTTTGAGGTCTGCATGCTTGACTTTGGGCGCATAGACAAGCGAGTGACGGGGTCGAACTAGGGAGAAGAGGAGAGCGAGGAGGACGGTGACGCCGATCGAGGTGCCTAGCGAGGCCCAAATAGCAGTGACTGTAAACTATAGCTTGTCAATGTGGTGTTCCTCCTCGCAAACAATTTCGACTTACTGCAGACCGAAATGGATTTGCAATGAGCTCAAGGAAGGTATCTGTCCCATCCGTGCGGGCATGCAAGCCCAATTGTTGTAGATCCATTACGTCAAAGCAGTAACGAATGACTATCCGGCATGAACGAGGGGCCGGAGTAGATCAAGAGCCCAGCATGAAGTCGAAATAAAATAGATTAAACGAGGGGAACGGGGCGATTGAATGGGAAAGACAAGCGGATGTGAGACAAAGATAATGCGCACGAATGAAAGAGAAAAAAAAGGTGGACTTTAGTGGACTTTGGTAAACTTTGGTCTGGACTAGTTATAATTAGAATTGGGTCATGGATATAATGCTGATCACCGTTGGAAAAGGGAGCCACAACGTAGCCACTTGTCTTCATGAAGTCCTCATACATAGGTATGTACTCCGTATAATTTGTTGTTTCCACGGCACTGGAGATCAGATTTTGCGTCAGCATCGACTAGCTTTTCCTGTGGCACCCCTAACACGTTTCAACTCGTTGCCGACCCATCTACCAGGGTCTCATTGGCAGTCCACCAGTCTGTGTCAAGTGGTACGCCAATCAGTTAATGCAGTCTAGAACATCGGGATTGTCAGATCCAAGGTAGCACTGAGGACGTGGGGTCATGTAGGTACAGGTACAGTTGTGCCTGTGGACCTGTTTGAGATATTCTCCAGGGGTTCCAAGGTTGTTTGAGAAGTTTGTCTTTGGTTTGATGCCTGAGGCCATTGTTGATGCCTGAGTACGTCTCCTCGAGCCCTATTGACGAGACATCGCAAGTGAACGATTTTAAGGTCGATTCAGTCCTAGTTCCAAGATAAATTACTAGGTAGGAATGGTCAGTCATAGCAATTTAACCGCACAGTATTTGATAGCCTCCGAGGTCAAGATAATAAATAGCTGTGGTTTACCACTCTCCTTCCCAAGTTGCAAGAGCTACTCTGCCAGCAATTGAAACAAATATCCCTGCTAGAAACCTTGGTAATTTGTCCACCCTTCAGTACTCAAAGGTGCTTTGGCGAGCGCCACGAGGCTCCGGCGCGGCCAAGCATGGTGACCAATTTCACCCCTTACATGTTGTTTTGCACTTGAAGCTCGAGGTCATGTCCGGATCCTTCTTGTCACATGGGCAGGTGGTCGACTGCGACTTGAGGATGTGGCCGCAGCTATATGTTATCATGTTATAACACATCGTGTTGGGAGGTAGGTAATAGCCCTAGAGGTATCACATTAGCTATGTGTAAAATCTTTACCTAGAATAGTGTAGTAAGACAGCCTAAACTTACTATGTCGGTACTATTAGGGTTTAATTTCGGATGCAAGAGTCCTGAGAGATTGAATCTAAGAAGGAGTGGGTGGTTTTCTTGCCGTTTATATATTCAGAATAACCAAGCACTGGTAATAGATAACATCTTTACCCTGGCAAATGGTCATAAGCCCGAATCAATTTACTTGCTTCATAGTTTGAGCCAATTACTTGTTGGATGGCTGGACCCCGCTATCCTGGCAAGAGCAGAGCAGCTAAGTGGGGTGAGAACTTCAGACCATAAACAAGGACAACGCACGCTCAAGGCTGCTTACATGCATGAAGTCTCTTATCGTAAGACCAGTAAGAAGCTAGTAGTCCTCATTCTGATTCATGCATCCTGGCAAGAGCAGTCGAGCAGGGTGAACAGGGTAAACCGGGTGAGTAGGGATCGCAGAGCTTTATACCATGATCCAACTCTGACAACGCATGCCCAAGGCTGCTTATATGCATAAAGCCTCTTATCACAAGTCCGGTCATAATCCAGAAGTCCCGATTCCGATTCATGCATTCTAATCATGAGTCTAGCCAGCGCCGACCACCCAATAACACTAGAACAAGCACCCACCATCTTCGGTATATGGCCGATAGGCTCTGCGCTAGTTTCCAAATATACCACGTGGCCAAGTGGTGCTGTTTGTTATGGGAGAGTGCCAAAGGTTTATATTTTGTAAATTCGATTTGCAGGCAAGCTCATGTCAACGCACATGTCAGTCATTTTTACAACTTCTACGCGAGGTCAAGTATATGCCTCATAATTAATTACTAAAAGTCTATCTGTAGATATTGTGAATGTCGTAAATTGTAGATGGTATTGTTCGCTAACTATTTACTTCGTCAAATCATCAAAAGACCGGAATTCCGTCTAGATGGTGTACATAACAAGTGAAGGTGACACTTTAGTGCTTGGCAGCCTCTGGAATGTTGTTAGTGCCGTTTTAGAGCAGTTTTGTTCGATAATTCCAGCTTACCCTTGTGGACATCGGCCTTGGTGTTGTGTTCAACCTCGTCCGTCTTGTCGCCAAGTGCATCCTTGGCAGCGCTGGCGCGGGTGGTGAACTTGGCATCGCTGTCCTTGGCGACGCTCTTGTTAGCCTCCTTAGAAGCCTCCGCACCAGTTCCCTGGATGGTCTCAGAGACGTAGTTAACGACGTTCTATAATTGTTGGTTAGTTAATGATAAAGCAAATACCAAGAGATCTTGGTTGATCACGAACCTTGGCGGTCTCCATTGTGAAGTTGAGCGTTTGGTTGTTTGAAAAGTTATTTGAGATAGTAGAGGATGAGTTGAGATAGTAGAGGATGAGTTGTGATGAAGAATAGGTTAACTTCAAGGGAAGTAGAAGGCTACTTATGCTGTCTGGAGTCCCACCGGGGCAGGGGCAATGATATGATGACATCACCGTGGTATCTCACAGTTTCCTTAGGTCACGTACATCGCCAAGGTTGGCTGCATTGTAAACATCGGAATCTTGGAATCTTGGAATCTTGGTTGCCGTAGCCCCCCGGCTCTATCCACAGTTTACAGTTCCTAACCTTCCTGACCTCATCGTAGTAGGAAGACAAAGCGTTCGATTTACAGTTATAATGCACACGTGAACATTATTTGAGGCTCTCAAAAACATAGCCAACTCAAACTTTCCATCTACTTCCAAAGCCCGTTCGTTCAAATGTTATTCCACATATGCGTCGGTTGAGATCAATCTAAACTATCCCCGGACCCACACATCTGGCTGCATGACGTATGAACGGGCACCTTTACCCCATTAATGTAGCTATCCCAAGAGCATACATAGTTGTCCATGGAATAATATGCTGTCATGATCATTATTATAGGGAATCAACAATACTACGCACCTAAATTGACACAGAGTAATGTGTCTCTCTGAGGTAAGATTTATTTTGTTGCTCTTAACCTCCGTATTGCCTTCACGATACAGGAAATGCGTTACACGTGCTTATTCAAACAGCCCTTACTTTTCTAGAAGATGTGATTTTGTCTAAAAGTAAACTCGTCATTAACACCTAATGTGGCTATGCACGACTGCGGGGTTGGACCTGGCTGATTTGCTGTCCGATCCTATGCAAGTCATACGTTACTGTATTAGCCCCAGGCTTCTTGTCTAGGCCTATGACGTAGTTCATCCGAGTGTCCCACGTACGCCTCCAACATCTCTTGCTTACATAGACTACGTTTAGAAGCACAGCTCGGCCAGTGGGAGTCACCCGGTATCTAGATCCACCAATGATAATGACACATTAACTCCAACCTGTACGTTATTGTAGTTCCTCACTGAGGTAAAAAATGTCGTCTTTGGGGTTTCAAGCAAGGAAGATTTCAATTATGGTAACCTACCTCGGCAGAGAAGTCATTACGCTTCCGCCCGAAAACCAGGGGCTATTCTGGCTTTCAAGGATGAGGCCAAAACATAGATATGGGTAGTTTGTGCTTTGGCTAAGTGTTGGATTCATGGAAATATATATATTGCAGTGGGGAAAGCTGGAATCCTCAAGTAGTGGCCTTATCTTTCAGGCAGAGAGAAAATCTCTGGGCCTTCATGTGCACCAGAATCCTGAAGGGGAGAAGACAGTCCAATCACCACTCACAGAATGAGAAGGGAGCTTATAGGATGTTGCTACATTAAGAGATAAGGATGTCTACTACGGTCTGTGTAATCCCCATGCTTGCTAGCCGACCAAGGTCAGACTGCTCTTCGATATATAACTAGACAACAATATTTTCATTTATTTCTCATCACCCTGCTCACCGCGACAAAATAAATTCTACAAGGAATAAAACTTCCAGGACGGCTTGTGCTCACGCGATAACGAGTGATCCTGCATCAAGGCTCGTGCCAACTCTATTGGCATACAATTCTCTTTCAAAAACCGGTCATGGAATTCCTTCTCAGCAAGAAGCCCCGTCTCGACAGTCTCCTTCCGCAGTGCATATATTTGTAACGCACCCAGCATATACCCGGCCTGATATAATGGCGAATAATCGCCATTTAATGATCGCCTCACTTCCCCTTCTGCAGTGGCACGTTCGTGTCCGACTTGATCGACAAGTAGATCAATGCACTCCTCAGGAGCCATCTGGCCAAGATGGAACTTGATGGAGAATATAATTCGGGCGCATCGATGAAGCCGCCAAAATAGCATCCCGATCCGGTTCTGCGGCGTCTTTCTGAACCGTTCGTCATTCCACAGAATGAACTCCCAGTACAGAGCCCATCCTTCAATCCAAAACGGGGTGTCAAATAGGCGGCGGTAGGGTCTGTATCTCGCGATCATGTGCATCTGCAAATGGTGCCCGGGTATCATCTCATGGAATACCGTAGCGCGGGAGAAATGGATGTTGTTCCCGCGCATCCCCATCAGCTTGGCTTCATGATCCATCTGGTCGGTTGGATACGAGACAATTATACACTCGCCGCCGAGGAAGAAGGGGTTTACTTTCTGGCGCTCAGGCGACATCATAAACATCTGCCAATTCTCCTTGGCGACCGGCGGAACGGTGACGAGTTGGTGATCTTCGACAAAGGAGATTGCCTCCACCGTGAGATCTCGGACTAATCCAGTTTGTTTTCCAGGCTCGACAAAATCATTCTTGACTTCTTCTAGGGCCTGCTTCCAATTGTCCTGGAACCCCATGCTGCGTGATGCCTTCTTCAGTTCGCCAACACACCATTTGAACTCTTTCTCTCCGATCGAGATTAGTTCCTCCGGTGTGTAGGCAATCATTTCACCCAAGAGCTCGCTAAGCAACCCCTCTCGACCGATAGGATCGCCCACTATCGCATCATCGTTGTCTGGGCGGATGCCAGCCAAGTTCTCTCGAATACTTGCTGAGACATCTTTCAATCCTTTTTCCACAACCCCATATGGATGTGACACCCACCAATTGAACGACGGATCGTAGCCTTTGTAGAATTCGAACCATTCTTTCAGGTTATCGTGCAATGAGTCTATATTTCTCGCCGCTCTAAATGCAATTGTTTTCTCCATCCGGAACTTGGTCGAATCGCCCTTGACCATGTCTATCACGGCTGAGATTTGAGCCTGGGATTCAACAAGCTTCTGGGCAGCATCTTTTGCATTCATCGATAACACCATAACGCGAGCTTCACACAGCTCCAGCAGCTTGCCTGAGAATGGTAGAAGCAGTGCGGTTTTTTCATCCTGTTTACAGTCGAGTTCCAACTCGCGGAGTTGCCTTTCTAGGTAGTTTTTCATGAGAATATAATCTACCTTCCCTTGCTGATCATAAAGATCAAAGGGCTGGCTGCGGAGTGAGTCGAGCTCGGATGTAAGGAACTGGCGTAACTTTTGTGTTCTCCTCGGAGATATCTTGATGGGGAAAAATTCCTTGATATCTTTGAGGTCCTCGGTGATGCGCTCAATCCTGTCGCGTATTGTGTCGACTTGTGCACGCTGGATGGCAATGCCCCTGGGTGACGTGACAGATACCATGTCAGGCAGAATGCGGCTCGCTCTGTTTCGCTCGAAAATAGCTAAACTTTGCCTGTTGTTTGTTTTAAAAAAAGTATCTTTGTTTAAATTGACTCCCAGGGGTAGGAAATCGGAACAAGAAGACATGTGAAATGGATAAGAAACTCTTTCCTGGGACTAGACAGAAAAACAAAAAGATAGGCTTGTGTAAACGAACACAGACCATTGTAGCGCCCTAGATTAAAATGAATAAGTCCTACCACAAGTTACTACATCGGGTGGTGTCTCCGACATTATATCCCCTGTCGCTGATCGGTCCGAATGGTTGGTTTTTGTTCATATCGCATGGACTAAACTAGCTCATAAAGTTGCGCGGCCTTTCTCCGCATTTATACCTAAAGCAGGTAGATTGTTATCTTGACGGAAGAATAGCAAGCGCGATTAGGGCTGGAATGCGGGGAATAAATCAAAATCTACATTGTCTTTCAAGAAACTTATCATCTTAACGGCTAGACCGGCAACAGGATCCGGCTCGGGTTGGACTTGTCTACATACATACACCTACATTGGTAGTATAGCCATTTCCTAGTTGAGATAAGAAAACTCAAGCTCAACTGATGCTTTGTACGGAGTATAGGCCTCGGCCATTTGCTGTGATAGATAATCTCCTTTAATATCTCCTTTCATCTCTCTCTTTTTGTATTTATTCCAGCCCTGCTGCCATGTCTAGAAGTTTTTAACTCTAAGCCGATATCTCATTTAGACCCTAACCAGGTTACCTGTTGCCCTATTGTTGCAGAATGAGTTCGCATCTACCTGTCACGGAGGGCCTTGACCCATCCCAGCTCGACATGCCAAACGATAAGAAGTCAGTAACCAATACGATCCAAGAGTTACACAAGGTCCAACTCTCCCACCAGTGGGATCCAAATTTGCCACAGGAGAAGATTGATGCTATCAACGAGGCAGTCAAGACAGATGATCAAGAGAGGGCCCTCGAGTTAGAAAAGACTCTCGCCCATGAGTCCCAGTATGAGTCTGTTCGTGCCGCGGTGCGCAACTCAGATGGCGGAGAAGTTGCCAACACCGTGCGCGCGTGGGTGCTGGGCATGTTCTTCACTACTCTTGGAAGTGGTCTCAATATGTTTCTGAGCATGAGGTGAGATTTGGTTCTGCGGTCTATAAGTAGGGGATAATTTACTCATCGTGTATTAGGAGCCCTGCCATCTCGTTCCCTGCTATTGTCGTTCAGTTGCTGGTCTATCCGATAGGTTGTTTGTGGGCCAAGACAATGCCGACTCGGAAGTTCAATACATTTGGAGTGAAATGGACGTTGAATACTGGTCCGTTCACTATCAAAGAGCATGCGGTTATCACAGTAAGCTCTTGAAAGTTGGTGTTCAAATCAATTAAGCTGACCTTTTGTTCTCAGATCATGGCAAAGTCGGTAGTTCTTGATAAACTTTGATATCAATGCTAAGCAATATATAGTGTGTCGATCGGCTATGCTTATTGTACAGATGCCCTCTTGGCATTGAAAGCGAAGCGTAAGCAACATCTCTGCGTCAATTCAATATTGTCTAACGCACTTTCCAGCACTATATAATATGGAACTTGGATGGGGTTTCCAACTATTATTCGCTTTGAGCAGTCAGGTAATTGGTATGTCCCTGGCAGGCATTTTCCGCCGTTTCCTCGTCTGGTAAGTTGGAACCTTTCCTGCCAAGAGCCCCAAAAACTCACGATGTCAAGGCCCGCTGCTATGATGTGGCCTAGTCAATTTGCGAACACTTCCCTGTTTTATGCTCTTCACGACTGGAGCTCCTCGGATGAATCAGAGACCCACGGATGGAGCATTTCACGCTACCGATATTTTCTATATGTGACAATTGGGTCTTTTATCTGGTATTGGTAAGTCTATCTTGTTCTAATTTGAACTGCATATACTGATTTCTTCGAACTGCAGGGTACCGGGAGTCCTATGGCAAGGACTCTCTGTGTTTGCTTTTGTCACATGTAAGATCCCGTTGACTCGTTTCATTCCTGACTTGCGGTGACTCTTTTTGCCTGTAGGGATCCGACCCAACAATGTGGTTTTGAACCAGTTGTTCGGAGGCTTCACAGGACTCTCCCTCATTCCTATCACGTTTGATTGGACGTAAGATTCCCGTCAATGGTATACATGCTGGAAAGATGTAAAGCTAATTACAACCAGCTATGTTTCTGCATATCTCGGAGATCCACTCTTGGCACCTGTCCATGCTCTTGTCAACACCTTCATCGGGCTTGTGGTTTTTGTAATCATCACCACAATCGGGATCTCTTACTCTGGGGCTTTGTATGCTGAAACATCTCACCACAATCATTTCAAAGCTGACACAATATAGGTACTCCGCCTATCTCCCTATCAACACGTCTAGCACCTATGACAACACGCAAAGCGCCTATAATGTGACCAGAATCCTAGGTTCTGGTTTCTCTTTTGATGAGGAAAAATACAAGGCATATTCGCCGATGTTCCTAGCTCCGACATTTGCCTTGAACTACGGATTGTCGTTTGCGGCCCTTACAGCAGCTATTGTACATGTTATTCTCTTCCATCGAAAGGAGATATGGCATCAATTCAGGGCTTCTCGGAATCAGGAACCCGACATTCATCTTATCATGATGAAAAAGTACAAAGAAGCCCCCGACTGGTGGTATGCGACACTATTCCTATGCTCGATCGCACTAGGGCTTGCAGGCATTCTGGCATATGATTCGCAGCTCCCTTGTATGCAATACTCCTCGAGATCTGATGATCAAATCTAATCAAACATAGGGTGGGGCTTTTTTGTCTCAATTATCATTGCCGTCGTCTTTATAGTACGTTTTGTCATGGCCACTGGAAGGTTCTTTCTGACTCATCCAACAGATTCCGACTTGCGTGATCCTCGGCATCACCAATATTATGCTTTGTACGTGCGGTCTCGACCTTTTTGTGGGTGCAACGCTAATTTATATAGCGCTCAATGTCTTATCGCCTTTTCTGGCAGGTTTCATGATTCCAGGAAAGCCGATTGCGGTCATGGTATTCAAGGTCTTTAGCACCATCACCTTGGGACAAGCGTAAGGTTCAATCCTCTCTTCCCAGAATAGTGACTGACCTTGTCAATAGTCAAGTATACTGTTCGGATCTCAAAGTAAGGGACTTCCTCTCCATGTCAGTGGACCAAATTGTTGACTTTTCTTCAACAACAGCTGGCCCATTATATGAAAGTGCCACCCCGCGTCACCTTTATGTGTCAAGTTGTTGCAACGGTATGGGCAAGTATTGTTCAGATTGCAGTCATGAACTGGACCCTGAACAATATCGATGAAGTTTGCACAACGTATGTTATGCACATCTTTGAAAGAGAACATGTATTAACCATCTATGAAAATAGTACTCAGTCGGGGAATTTTACATGCCCGAATGGAAGAGCATTCTTTTCATCCAGCATTGTGTGGGGTCAGTTTGTTCTATCTCAGGGATGTATCAACATATTACTGACTTCTTATTTAGGTGTCATTGGTCCACGACGTATGTTTGGACCTGGCGGCATGTACATGCAAATACAATGGTTCTGGTTGATTGGTGCTCTTCTTCCGGTGGTATTCTATGTCTTGATAAGAATGCGCCCTCGGTCTAAGCTCAGGTTCCTAAACGCACCTGTGTAAGTCGCGGAAGCTCATCTTTGGTGAAATGTGCTAATTGTATCAATAGGATGCTAGGTGCTATGGCCTGGCTGCCTCCGTAAGTCTACAACACTCCCGATGCTATTGTTCACGGTTGCCTCTTACTGATCATTTCACAGGGCCACCCCATTGAGCTTCTCTTCATGGGTTATCTTTGGCCTCATATTCAACTACTGGATTCGACGCCGATGGGGCGGTTGGTGGCATACTTACAACTATATCACCGCCGCAGGACTTGACTCGGGCCTCATTCTGTCCACCATTGTTATTTTCTTTGCGATTATTCTGCCAAATGTCTCGATACCCCAATGGTGGGGAAATATTGCTCCATACGAGACCATGGTACGTAACTATATCCCGCCATTTATTGACGTGGGTCCTAACGAGGAACATAGGACTCTCTTTATACGGCAGTTCGAAAGACTGTCGCAGATGGAGAGACTTTCGGACCAAAAGAGTGGTGATATACTCATTACTCGCCTCAGCCATGCTCTTTTTGAATATTCCATTATATAAATGCAGACTTATAACGTTGTGTACCCTGACCTCGAGATATTTATAGTACCTGGACACACGTGACCATGGCTAATGAACGTTCCATTAGTAGTTCCAGTTCCTCAGCGTTGCACGTAGCCAGGTGGTGACGTGGTCACAGTAGCATTTATATGCATGTCAATAGTGTTCCCTAGAAAATAAACAGTAAGCTAAAAAAAAACTAAAGAATTAGAAAATTACTCCAAAAAAAAGGGGCATAATCGGGGGTGAAGCCCAGCCTCAAACAGAATTTGGGTATCAACTCGAGAGCTTAGTTACCAACCTTGCAAGTGTCGCCCCTAGATGATCTCCGCATCCCAACCTCCTCTTACTCTTAACCCCCACCATCTCGTCCTTTCAGTATCACCATCTTTCATCGCGTTCGCGTTACGAGATTTGTTTCATTCTGTGAAACCCTCCTCGCACCGCTAGAACTGTGCTCGGGCCGAGTCCTGGCTGCGGCTTCCCTCATCTCTCCCCACTCCTTTGACCGCTCCAAATCCCTCAAAGAGAGCCCCATCCACAATGTCAGTACCGACCACTAACGCACCAACTGTGGTCCGCAGCCACTCAACTACTTCTCGTCCTTCTCGAGCCCCATCGGATCTCCCCCATCGGACGCGCAGTGTGGCAGTTCGACCATCCAATACGTCCCAGCCTCCTACGCCAACCAACTTGTCATATTCGAAAACTCCTTCCGAAGACCGGCGTCCTCCCTCAAACCATTCTGCACTCGAGGGTGTAGCCCGACGAGAATCAGAGGCGTCTAATGTTGCGCGCATTCCTTCTCGTCGGGAAACGTCATCGGACCGATCTCAGGAACGCCCCTCTACCGCTCGAACCGAAACTGCCCGAAGACACCAAAGAAACCCCTCATCGCAGAGCCGTCTACGAGACAGTGTTGATATGACACCAAGCTCGGCTTCACAGCCGCCGCCGCCGCAGCATGCGACCGCAACCACTGCTCCCGCCGCCGCAGCCGCGCCTAGGCGACGGACTACAATCACGACGCCGACGGGTCAATGGGCTTTAGGCAAAACAATAGGTGCCGGAAGTATGGGAAAAGTCAAATTAGCCAAAAATACGGAGACCGGAGAACAAGTACAAATATTCAACTCTTTGTTGTCTTAAAACAATACTGATTACGGTCGCAGGTTGCCATTAAAATCGTGCCACGACTCTCGACAGAGGAACATCGCACTACTCGGGAGACAGAGAGAGCCGATCGCTCAAAGGAGATTCGGACAGCCCGAGAAGCCGCCATTGTCAGCCTAGTGAACCATCCGTATATCTGCGGCATGCGGGACGTTGTTCGAACGTCATACCATTGGTACATGCTGTTTGAATATGTCAATGGTGGTCAAATGCTCGATTATATCATCTCTCACGGCAAACTGAAGGAAAAGCAAGCACGCAAGTTCGCACGACAGATCGCCAGCGCATTGGATTACTGCCACCGTAACAGCATCGTGCATCGCGATCTGAAGATTGAGAACATCCTTATCAGCAAGACCGGTGATATCAAAATCATTGATTTTGGTCTTAGCAACTTGTTCTCCCCAAGAAGCCTTCTGAAGACATTCTGCGGTAGTCTGTATTTCGCTGCTCCGGAATTGCTTCAGGCCAGACAATACACGGGACCCGAAGTTGATGTTTGGAGCTTTGGAATTGTCCTTTATGTCTTGGTTTGTGGGAAGGTACCTTTCGATGACCAGAGTATGCCTCAGCTGCATGCCAAAATCAAGAAAGGTGTGGTGGAGTACCCGCCAGGTCTCACCGCTGGTAAGTCAACTTTGCAGGATGCTTTCTCTAATTCCATTGCTGATCGTGTTTCGCAGAGTGTCGACACATTATATCCCGCATGCTGGTCACTGACCCCAAGCAGCGTGCTAGCTTGGCCGAGATCATGAACCATCCCTGGATGAACAAGGGTTTTAGTAACCCTCCGGAGAATTACCTCCCCCAGCGTGAGCCATTACAGCTACCTCTAGATCCAGAGGTTATTGAAAAGATGACCGGGTTTGACTTTGGGCCTCCGGAGTACATTACAGCTCAGTTGACCAAGGTATTGGAGTCCGAAGATTACCAACATGCTATCCGGCTGTACTTCCGCGAACTACAACAGCCTGTTTCCAATCACACAGAGCGCAAACGAGGAGTGTTCGATTTCTACAAACGACGAAACTCTGCGGCCAGTCGTGATACCCTTTCCGCCCCTTCAGCGGAGGCTGTGCAACTGGGCAACGACCCTTTAAATGCTTACAGTCCGTTGGTGTCCACATATCATCTAGTCAAAGAAAAACTTGACCGAGAGCGGGCCGAAGCACGACCTGGTGCCCTTGATCTTCGTCAAACCCACAGTGAAGTTCAGGTGCCTGAGCTGCGGCCTCCGGAAGCCGCCCACACCAATCAGTACCAGTTGGCAGGAGACAAGGATACAGGACGACGATCTCGGCCACGGGCCCGCACTCATGGCGAAGACGAAGCCTCAGAAGGATTGAAGATATTCCATTCTTCCACGCCATCTGCGCACGCGGTCCCTACCTCGCACCCCGACACACCTGCCAAGAAAGAAAGCACTGCTGCTGGAATCTTGAGACGATTTAGCACTCGCAGGGCCAAAGATCGCAGCCGCGATGTGGACCGTGAACGCATCAGCACTCCCAACACACCCACACTCAATGTCCAACCTCCTGCAGATTCAGCATCTCCGATGCACCGTGGCTTCAGTGTAAGGAGAACTCGCCGGGCAGAACCATCTCCAGGCGAGACCTCTTCGAATGACAGCCGGCCACAGCAGGATCTTCTAGCGGCGCCAGAATCGGAACGCAATGCACGGTCCAACAAATTCCTGGAGAGATCTACCAGTGTCAATTCGGCAGACTACCGAACTCGGAGAGCCGGACGGAGAAGTGATGCAGATGCTTCGGACGTTACTGCAGACCGTCAACCGCCGTCTACCAGTGACTCTGATCAGGTTGTTCCGAATAACCAGAAAGTTCCGGCCAGCGCGAGGACTGGTGGGCGCACGCATACGGCGCGTACCATGTCGCTGGGACACGCTCGGCGAGAAAGTATTCAGGCACGCCGGGCCCGGCGAGACGCTACCCGAGAGGCCAATGTGCCCGAAGAGACCGATGCTGACATTTCTGGCGCGGGAACGGCACTGGAGAGCGCCAACGAGGGAGAAGATCTGTCCAAACCAGTGTTCCTAAAGGGTCTTTTCAGTGTCTCCACCACCAGCAGCAAACCTTTGCCCGTTATCCGGGCTGACATTATTCGGGTCCTGAGGCAGCTCGCGGTTGAGTATGTCGAGATCAAGGGTGGGTTTAGCTGCCGCCACGCCCCCAGCATCGACCTCGACAAGGTAGTTGATGTTGCCCCCTCCAGTCCAGAACGACAGGGGCAGGTATCAGGGCACCGCCGTCGTATCAGCTTTGGCGGCCTCCTCAGCCACGAGGATAGCCGAGACGAGAGCCGCACTGGGTCCTCTAGACATCGTCGAGCTCACGCTGCGCCGGATCGCAGTTTCACCACGAACTCGGACGGCTCAGATGAATATGTTGCACGGGAACATGGTGGTCCGGTCGGCGAACGTGTCCTTGGCGAAACCACTACCCGTGTACAGAGCGACACCGGAGAGAACCTCGTCCTTCGATTTGAAATCCTGATCGTGAAGGTACCTCTGTTCTCCCTCCATGGTATTCAATTCAAAAAGGTATCAGGCGGGATGTGGCAATATCGAGAGATGGCGAAGAAGATCCTCGATGCATTGAAACTGTGACCTGTCCCATTTGACGTAGGATCCTTGGCCAAGGAGCACATTCCATGCCAAGACCCCCTTCCCTTGTCTTTGTGGCACATAGTTGGCGATTTATTCGCTTTGTTTTGAGTTACGTCCACTTACGACGCATCCGCACACACGAGTATTCATCGATTCTGCCCCGTTATCATTGCATGTCCATTGCTATCCTTGCTTTCCTCCCGTCTCTCATAGAGGGATCATTTATCTTCATTAGCCCGTCATTTGCTCTTTTCGTCCTGAACCTAAGTACTGCTCGCCTATTTCAATACTCATTGGCCTAGCTAGACTTGCTCTGGTCTTCATGGTGTACACTAGAATCGAGTGAGAATGATTTGGTTGCTAGCGTTTTGCTTTAGCTTTTGCTTTCCCCACCGTTCTCTATTGCTGTTGTGGCCTAGGGGGATGGTGTTGTACCTACAGTTGATTATGAACTTTATGTTGTGCCTACAAATACAAAATGGTTGCGGCAATTTTCCGTAGAGTTCTTTGGTCGTAAGCTATCGCATACTGCGCAAACAAGTTCAAGTCAATTGTTATTGTTGTAATTCAACGATGTATGTTGGCTTGCTTTCCCCACATCCCGTGTAGGTCATACATACAGGGCCTTCACCTATCCATGGACCATGGTTCGGTTGCTGGTGGTTCCCGAGGTCTTTAAACGGAACTTTATCTTGACTTCGGCCTAAAATAGCTAGATCGAACGTCGAGGCCGAGCCAACATCAGATATCGCTTGACAATCCAGCTAAGCTAGCGTTAACACCCTAAATTCTAGTCTAGGGGCTCGAAATCAAACCTGGCCATGGTGGCATATGTATTTACGTAGACGGAGGTCTGTCTTGAGCTACGCACTTTGGCTGCTTCTAATACTTGGTCAACCTAATAGATCTGCCAGCCCTGCATGAACTACCAGAACTACCAGATGTCCCTCGATCCTGCCGATCAACCTCTGGCGATCACGGACAAGGCTGCGGTTGGCAACGATATTCCGATGCGACAGCATGACACCCTTAGGCACACCCGTAGTCCCGGAAGAATAAACCAAGAAAGCTACATCCTTCGCGGGAGTGATCTTCTGCTTGCGGTAGCGAGTAGCACCAGAAGTATTGCGCACAGAGCTAATATGCTTAAAATGGAATGGAAAGGAGATATCCGGAGCCATGTCACAGATAACTTGTGCAGTACTATATATATATATTGGTCCTAGACATGCCAGAGCGAGAGCTCTGATATAATGGTCTTTTGGCCGAGCAGGAGAATGTGCGCCCAGACATATCCTTTACACGAAGTCAAGCATATACATGCAATAAAGGAAAAAGAGGGTATACAAGGTAAATACATGAATGTCAATTTGATAGTGTGATCCTAGACCCCTGTCATGTGATCATCTACGGCCCATCACGGGACCGATTTTGCACTCATAGGTATTCCCAGCCCCCGTACTGAATAGTACTTGTTGTTGGATTACCCAACTGATACAAACCATGCGATCTTCTCCGTAACTCAATAGTTCGTTGCTAATACCGGTAAACCAGTGGGACCGAACACCAGGAGCACCACCCGCAGAGGGCCGCAGTTGTGCACTACCTGCTGTTGTGGGCCGTGGCACGGCAGGGCTCGGGGTCCAAGGCCCGCCAGTTAAGTTGGTGTGTAACCCGCACCTGCCCGAACTTAGGAACAGGCGGGGGTGTCGGGGGTATGTCGGTGCGCCCGGGCGCCCGACCGAACTGGTCAGTTGGCGGAAGTAACCCGAAAACGAACACTGCCCCCGAGCAACTAAGATCGCTAAATCTTCAGAGCTCCTGATACCTCCTAAATAAACCGAATAAAAAAGTAATTAACTACAGACAGAGCTTCTCCATAAGCAAAATTATTCATTACATCTTAGAGGATTTTGAAAAAAATTCGGTTTATAAATTGCAAGTAGGGCCCGGGGCGACCAAAACTTTAGATTTTCTATAATTATGGACTCTTACTACGGAGTAGTACTGGGTGATTTGGGCTTTAGCCTTTAGGTCATGAACATTGAAGACTTAAGTCACTGACTGCATGGCTGTGTGTTTAAGAGCCATGGCCAAATGGTTGTACTCGGAGATCTAAAACGAGAGAATCGAGATCGTATACGGGGGCGGGTAACGGGGCATCGCAAATGGGACAATGGGACATCATTAATGGGACCCGGAGTCCCCGGTCCCGGCCATCGGTAATGGGAGAACGGTGCCTATGTGACTAGGGACTTCTACGGTCTACCCCTGGTCCCCTGCGCCCATGCGACAAGTTCAACACCAACTCTAGCCCCTGGGCCCTGAGCCCTAAGTTTTAACACAGTCTGCCAAAAAGACAGCCTTTCGGATTTCTTGGGAGCCAAACGCCCCTGGTAAGCTAAAAGTCGACCGGATGCACCGGAATTTCTTCCGGGTTGTGCAGATCCGTCACGTGTGATTACTAATATATTACTAATCCTACCTAGAGGTTACCACTTTATACACACGCGACGCCTGCATATTGCTAATAATCCGACCTATAACCCGTTTATAATATCGTATATAGGATTCTAGATAATTATACTATCAAATCTCTCCAAAATAGGCGACCCCCTGCGCTGAGTCATCAATAACGTAGCGCGTTGATTGGATGAAGTGAGGTCCGCTGCGGCCCGCATGGTCCGATATTGATGCCAAGAATTTGCAACAGTCAAAACTTCAAAGCTCTCTAGACGGCGGTATACGCTGTTCCCCACATCTAATCTAGCTGATAAATATATCAATCGATAGCAGGCACTGAGCTCTATAATTTGGAGCTTTTCCCCTGCATTTCTAGCCTCCTCTCGGGCCTGGAAGCTATGGGAATCAAATAAAGACCCATAATTCTTCCCGGCGCTGTTCCCGCACTTCCTGACAACTCCCTTTTGATCACCAATCAGCAGCCGCTAACCGAAATACCCCATCAACCCAAAACACAGCAAACTGGAAACATACAAGGTAAAATCAATTCATTGGATAGTGAGAATCATGAGCATCTCAAAAATCATAATACGGACATGTTTCTCTTCGAATTGAGGCCACAAAGACGCTAACACACATGGCGATCATTGCCTATTTAGGTAATGTGGACCAAGGTGCTGAGTCAGCATATATTGCCCCACCACATGATATTGCCGTCCTCATTTTCTCGACCTCACCTCTTCACCACCTCCAGTCCTCCATCTTCTATCACGTCTCCCATCCGCCACAGACGTTGGATCTTCTTCTAGGTTCTTTTAGTTTTACGGGCGCTTCTTGGAGATTTTGTTTCTCCCTTTTTCTTCATCTCCAGACGTTGTTTTCTCGAATCTCCTCTCCGGGATTCCTTTTACCTAGCTCTTTAGGCTAGAATCCTCGACTCGTCGACACCCCAAGCATCTCAATAGTCTTAGCAGCCTGTTCTCCAACACTCTCCTTGTCCAGTCCTGAAAGGGATTGAAATTGCGAGGCTCGACGCGCTTTCGCACGCGTTCTTTAGTTTGTTACAATTTACCCTACCGCACCTACGCGTGGCTTTAGATGGCGGGACGCGCTCCCCCTGGCTCGGGGGCTAATCAGAACCGAGTGTTCATTGACCTAACCAATGAGATTGAATTGGGTAATTCTGAGCTGGTAAGTGCTTGTTCGCGTTCACCTCGACCTTCCAAAGACTGAGCCCACTACATTTCTCCTGGCCCCACTATGCCGTTCTCTGTCTGGTCCAATTCCCTTCGCCCCTTAAGCCAACTGTTTATCTCACTATCAATCTGGCAATCCGGCAATCCGGCACTACGTACATAACCTACTTGGATTGTTTACTAAACATCACTTCTAGCCAAAGAAATCAGTTCAGGCCAAACTTCCCTTTGTGACAACGTTAACTTATCGACCACCAACTGTGCCATTGAAAAGGAAAAGCGTGGAGGTATCGCTATCTGATGATACCTCAGATTCGTCATCGTCGAGCGATGTTCACAAGTTTGCACGATATAGGCGGTCACATGCTCACCCTTATCCATCCGGGTGGTGTCCATCCTCGCTGAGTCCAGCGCCAAGCATAACGCCATCTCACATTAGCGTTGTGATTCCATCACCAACAGCAAAGCAAAGGCGGGAGATCGCAATCGCGCGAGATGTCTCTAAAGTTAATGGAATGGATAGTGATATATTTCCTACAACCGACGAAGAGGAAAGAGTTACAAAAGCTGCATATCCTACTTCTAGGGCTCGTGTTGACCGTCGTTCTGTCGCATTGTCATTCAGATCAAGCTCGGCTCTCAACACTCTCAACCCACCATCGTCCACGGAACAAAATTATCTTTCAAAACTCCGCCACACTCTTGACGAGAAGCTTAGGCGCATCAATGGGCCTACGGTCATTCCGAAAGTTGATTCCCCAAAGCGTCTTGCTAAACTAGCCGATAACTTCGAGTTCGTCAACAGTTATCAGTACCGCGCAGGTGTTGAACGGATTCCGGATGATTCTGAATTCAACATCGGCTGTGCTTGTACTGAAACTGGCGGCTGCAATCGACTCGAATGCGATTGCCTCAGCAAGGAAGAAGATTCAGAAGATCGAATCGTCCCTTACCAGATCTGCGAAAGCAATCCTAAATTGATTGTGGCGACTAAAAGTTTCCTTAATCGCAAGGCGATCATCTATGAATGCAACTCCCGTTGTGGCTGCAGTGGAAAAAAATGCTGGAATCACGTCGTTCAGAAAGGAAGGACTGTTAGACTGGAGATCTTTGACACTGGAGCTCGGGGCTTTGGTTCGTCTCCCTTCACTCCTATTCCCCTATATATGTACTAATTATGATTTTTATTAGGTCTTCGGTCCCCTGACTTGATTCACCGTGGGCAATTCATCGACCTCTACCTCGGCGAGGTAATTACAAAGCTTGAAGCTGACGAGCGCGAGAGCCTCACCGATGGTTCTCATACGCAATCATACCTTTTCTCTTTGGACTGGTATGTGAAGGATGACGACGATGAAGAGCAAAACATGAAAGTCGTCGACGGCCGCAAGTTTGGCTCGCCAACTCGGTTTATGAACCACTCATGCAATCCTAATTGCAAGATCGTCCCTGTTTGCACCACGAATCATGCCGACGAATATCTGTACAACCTTGCATTTTTCGCGTACAACGACATTCCCTCCGGCACTGAATTAACTTTTGACTATAATCAGGGCGAGGAGAACACAACTCCTCAAAAGATTGACCCTGAGGCTGTCCAGTGCCTGTGTGGTGAAAGTAAGTGCCGAGGTCAATTATGGCCAAACAAGCGCAAGGGCCAGGGATCCAAGCCTAATTAGGCTTTCCTTCCGCTAATATCCTCGCTTTTCTGCTTTTGCGATTTTTCATACCCCCATCATGATTCATGTCTAATTAGCGACTTGGCGTTTTTACACAATCATGACCATAACGCAAGTGCATAAGGCGCCTCTTCCAATCTCTTTCATCTTGGCATCTTTTTTTTTTTTTTTGCCTTTGCCATATGTTAGCTTCACAATACCCTGACAAGAATTATGTATAATTAACAACAGATAACAAACAACAAAGACTAATTTCAAACTACTTTCAAGTCCTTTGATTTAGCCCTTGTGGACGTGCTCTCATAATTCATTACGTAGCATCCTCGCCTATCCAATAGATAAGAGGGAAGTGGGTATATAGCTGAATCTAGTATTTCGATAGAGTAAAGGAAGTATAAAAAGTTCTAGCTGGCTGGCGCACTGACGGTCGAGTTAGGAGACGAGGTGGGACCGTAGCCTGTGGTCCGTGGGAGACGAATTAAGAGGATAGTCCTGCAAATATAGGGTCGAGACCCAGGCCCAACCTAGGCCCAACCCAGAGAGTCAGAGACCAGGCTCTCCCAGACCCAGGGACGGTCCCGGGAACCCCAGTTTGGGCCCTCAGTTCCACTCAATTTGTGCATGAATTAGGGTCTTGGCGACAATGAAATCAGCGGAATTATACCCAAAGCTTGTGACCCAATTTGACTCCCTAGCAATACTAGGCACAGTGGGCAGTGGGTCGTGCGGAAATCTATACATGACCACCTAGTTCCTAGGTAGGTATAGTTATAGACATGTTTCGAATGGATTTCATATTTATAAGCCCTTGAACCGGGGGTCTAGTCAACTAGTTAACGGTTGCTAACTAGTTAGTTAACTAGTTAGGGCTTGTCCAGGAATAAATTACATAAGCGAACTGGAAGAGTCCAGTTTGGGCTGGAACCAGGTGCCTAATCTGCTGCAAAGCACTCAATGAGTCAAGAGGCCACATATGCATGGGTTAAAGCGGCATATAAAAACCCCAGGCTCCCCGGAATAAAAGCACAAGAAAAGTACTGATACCACGTCCTCACTGGAAGAAACAACAACTTTATAACCATCCCTAGTTTCTGCCATCAGGAAAGACATATAAGCCATTTACTGATGCCACAGCAGGCAGGTATGTGATGATAGACCTGAACAATCAACCAAGGGTCCCATGGCAGCTACAGATTGTTAGGGGCCAGCGGCTTACGGCAGCCCGTCTCGTACCTACCCTTGCTCCACAGACCACAGCACTAGGTAGTTTGTGGATGTGGTCGAGGACGAAGTGAGTTGCTCGGGGACATACAGGGATCCCGGATAGCTAGGAGAAGATGAAAGCCGTAGGGCTGCTTCCGCGATCATGGCCAGGCCGAGAATGCAAACGGGGAGGGTAGTAAGGGAGGAATTATAAATGAAGATAAGTGTCGCAAAATGGCCCCCAATTTGGTCTTCTCCGGAAGTCTATGGCTATGTTTCTCGGACCGGAGATTAGGGCCAAGCATGGGGCTTGATGCTTCACTTCTCCAGGCTGATCTAGCCCTTCCCCGGAGAAAGATGTGGAGTATAGAATGCAGGCTAGTCCGGTCCGGCATTACCCGCTTTTGCATTTGACTCTTGATAGAAGTATAAAATGGATGAACCTTAAAAAGAAAGTACTATGCATTAGCTAGGGACATAGACATGAACGATATTAGGCAAAACAACCTTGAGACATTGAATATTGGGTAGCTAGTTCCGCAAGGGCTCAAATATAACCAAAAAATATGTAACATATATCCAATATCGAGCCACTATACATATTCCCTTGTATCTCACATTCCTTTCCGGAAGCAGACAATCCAACTTCTAGTATGAAAAATACAAAGGCAATTAAAACAAATAGAGTATCACAGCATAAACCAAAAAAAAAAGAAAAAGAAAAAGAAAGAAAGAACAATATTGTAGAAAACAAAGTAAAGCCTAAGCCCGCCCCTCCATAACCTCAAAGATGCCGCCCATCACGAAGTTAGGCTTTACCTCCCCAATCCCCAGATCCACCGGCCGGGGCTCCATCAGCCCCAACCCCTGCCGCTCAATAGCGTCCTCGTCACATCGCGACCGCTCTTCACTCAGCGCCAGGTCGATCTTAGACAATCGTCGGCGGATAACCATCGCTGAGCGGCCACGTAGGACCGCGCAGGGGAGCACGCTGACGGCGTTGGAATTGTGTGGGCCGTCGGAGGCCGGGCGGGGGCGGGCTGAATTTCCGGGGCTAGTATTTGTGTGCCTGGCACTGTCGGGGTGCCCTCGGAATATGTGCTGGGCTTTGGAGGTGTGGAAGGATAGGTTGAACAGGTGGTGTGGTGAGCTCTGGGGCGAGTGGGTGGACGTTGGAGAGGAGGGTGGTGAGGTCGTTGTTGAACTTGGGCTCGAGCTGTCGCTGCCTGATTTGGGGCTTCTGGAGCGGAAAGATGTGCTCAAAGAGAGAAATGGCGAGGCGATGTGCATTGTTGCTTTTGTTATATTATGGAATGTGAGGCTTTTGTGAAGTTTTTGATTTGATTGTTGGACTATGTCATAGTAGAGCAGGATACGAGGATTGAATTGGTTATTTGTAGAGCGAAGAATAGAGAATTGTCCTAGGTATTTACTTTTTTTCTTAATCCTATAACGGGTTGACTGCAAGGACTATTGCTGCAGGGAGGGTTAAGACACGGATTGAACGCGGGTGAACGCATGCGGATGAATGTGATTGTCCCTGCAAACGGATACACAATGGCTTTAGGGCTGGAGTTCTTTTGCTAGTTTTGTATTCTCCATATGTAAAGGTATGTACTTATCTAAAAGTAGATGTATTCATAGCCATATACGGTCATATCTCATCTTTTTCTCGATTCCCTCCTCCGTCGCCAATAGTAACCAATCCGACCCACTTTGGCCCATGCAGTCTTCTATAGATAGTTGGAATAATCGTCTCTTTTAATGTCCGATATGCAATAATCAATCGTGTATCCAAGTCTATGGAAAAATATTGAAATGGAATCCCACGCCGCTGCTATGCAAAATGCTCCCACGCTAAGGAGAGTGAGTAGTATAAAGCACCAAAAATCAGAAAAATGGGCCAAACAGGCCATAAAACATAGACAAAATCCCCAATCTATTCGAGGGGAATGCTAAAGAATAGAAAAAAGAGTAGAAAACCAAACCACGCTCTATCCACTCACTTCATGATAACATCCAAAATCAGACACATCAATAGGCACAGCATTTCATTCAGAACTGTGATCGCCTGATCGCCGCTGTGTAAAGCTTCGCCGGATACTCTCACCCCAGGCGGAGTTGTCCAGAGAATGCATAACATCCTGTACATGACGCGAAGTATCGGTGGCCGAAGGCGCCTCGTGTGTTTCGCTGGTGTCGAGCGGGGTGTGCTCCCCATACATTTGACGCGGTGTGATTGAAGGACTGATACTCGACCACTCCCTCGTAGGTGTGCTGCAGCTAGATACTGACCCGCTCAAATTGGTATTGAGGCGAGGCAGAGCACTGCGGTTTCCAGTTGGGCTGGACTCCGCTCGTCTGTGGTGCAAGGAGACCGGTGAGAGCATAGGAGGGAAGTTTGCATCCAAGTCTGGTTGTGTCCGTGGAGTCATTGCACCGGAACCTGGCTGGTCGTGCTCCTCGGGGTCGTCGCCTGGATTGTCGACAAAGATCTCCGGCACAGTGAATGTCGGGACAATGCTCAACCGGCCGTTTTTCTTGCGGTCAATCTTGCGGCGGAATTCGCGTGACCAGTATAGGGTATCAAAGAAGCCGACGACGGTGTTTCGACGGACAGCCTCTTCCACCCGCTGCAGCCGTGCCCGACGACGTAGAAATTCCTCGAGGCGCAGACTCTTACTATCACTAATCACATTGTAATGTGCGAGAATCATCAAGCACTGATGGAAGGAAATACCGCGGTCGGGATCTGCTGACACAAGGATTTCTTCGTAGAAAGCATTCAATCGTCTGCGCCGCTCTCGGATGCTTTGAACTGGAATCCGCGATATGATCCGACTGAGCTCGTCGAGATCTACACCAGACGAGACACGAGAGTTCGGCCACATTGATTGTCGTGGCTGAACCAGCGATACCGTCGAATTTCTTGCGAAAGAACCTATCGAGTTTCTCTGAGGGTCGACCCGGCATTTTTCCAGGATACTTCCAACCGTGAACTCTCCCTCGTAGATTCGCATCGCAAAGACACCAGAGAGCTCACCGAGTAGGCGAGGGAACCGCTCCGTGGATATAAAGCCCGTCCCATCTGGATCATACGTGGCCCACGCTTGCTTGAACCGACGGATCTCATCACGACTGATCGCGTACAGTCCACTGCTCCGCTGATAAACATAGGAGAAACTTTCGAAAATCAATGAAACAAACAGCGAGACAAAGATGTACATGCTGATCAGGTTCCATGCAATGAAAAGAGTACGGGCCCACGGCGCACTTCCACAGTCATCATCGAGGAAGTTGGAATTTTGTGTGCACAAGGGCGGAGTCATAGTCGCAAAGTCCTCCATGAACTCATTCCACCCTTCTCCGCAACTTGCTCGGAAAAGCAGGATCAGGGATTTGGGCACATCGCGGAAATTCTGGTTGTGATCCTCATTTTCGCCGAACTTGGTAAGGCCAAACGCCTGGTTCATCGCAATGCCAAACACTAAGAATAGAACGAACCAGGTAGCTAGAAGATTTCCAATCACGGACAGACTAGCTGCCGCTGTCTTAAAAAGCTGATCAAGCTGGTTGTTCCTTGGGATAAGCAGCAGGGCAACAGACACGAGGAAAAGCTTGTTGAGCTCCACCACGACATGAGTTCTTTCGCGGTATGAAATGTCAAGGACGGAGCTGATGAAAGCGCCGGGGACAGCGATGAGAGAGTACAGATCCCATGAACTCCGGCTAAATCGATGCCACCCAAGACCAATTAGTCGGATTAAGACATTCACAACGTAGACAAGCATGAATGCCAAGAATATAATGGCTAGATTGACCAATTAATAACATGTAACATTCGAGTCTGGCCAAAAACTTACCTCGAAGCATCTCCCACCAGGCAGGTTCGGGATAGTATTCCAGCACAAGTAATAGTAGATGAACTACAAGGGCGCAAGTCACGAACCACGCCCACCGGCCATGCTTCTTAACTGAAATTCGATAACACCACAGCCGCAATTTCTTGCTCTCGTCATCAAAAGATCGTTTCGAGGGCGATACCTGTCGGAGAAGTTTCCGCAATTCCAACCAGGAACGTTGCTCGGCGGTCAGGAAGGCGACACCAGTTTGTTCCGTGTAATTACGCATGAACACAGACACAAACAGGGTTAGAACAAACACGGCGCCAAGTAAGTTGAATACCACGAAGAAAAGCCCGTTCTCCGGTGCCACTAGATCTTGTGGTTGGGTCATCTTTCCAGTGATACTCATTGCAGTTTCTTGTACGCTGATCCAACCTTCTTGGGAGACAATTTGGAACAGGATGAAGAGGGAGTCACCGAAATTGTCGAAGTCATAATAAGAGTTCCCCGCCACTCGTGGAGCAAGCACGTCCCAATTGTATGGCGAGCTGGAATATTCATTGACGCAGTTGGTCAAGTTCCCAGAAAACCCACCGTCATTGCAGCTGGCCATCTGCCCGTTGAACAGATTGACTCCATAGATTGCGAATGGTATGAGGAAACTCATAGAAACTGCAGCAGCAGCAATGACCTTCCATCCCCCGACAATGATGACAGAGTGGAAGGTGTCCTTGGCGCTGTCACTGACGTTCAAAAGACGCAACGCCCTTAGCGCTTTAAAGGCGCCGATTGCTCTGGAAACACTCCAGTCCTGTTTGAGCGAGCCACCGACACTGACCCACAACGTGATCAACACGACTCCGTCAATAAATCCCCAGGAACTGCGGAAAAATGCATTCGGCGTCCAGAAGAAACCATCGGCAATCACTTTAATCGTTGCTTCAATAGTAAACACAACGGCAAAGCCCAAGTCAGTATAGACGAACCAGTTGCGGTCAGTGCGGAAATACTGCCGCTGATACAAGGGTGTTGTAATGCAGGCGAGAAGCACCATGGCAACAATGGCTGCATAAATGAAAGCAGAGAATGCATACCATAGTGGCTTGTATGGATCCACACCCTCAACTCGTTGGCTGCCACGTCCTGGGCCGACAATCCGTTGACAAAATTTCCGAACAATATTATCCGGCGGAAAAAGAAACAGTGATTTGTTATAATTAGGATGTTTCACGAGGTATGCTCGCTGGTCCCGTTTTCTCTGCTCTGCCGCAGTAACAACTTCTCTTGCCATGGTTCTCGGATCCAACTCCTCGTAAGCACGTGAGAACTTCAGCTTCGAGTAGAAAGGATTTGGCTCCCTCCGCATAACAAGTGTGGTGGCCTTCGTCCATAGAAGTGAGATCCAGCCTGGTTGGACAGTCTCTTGAGTCGCGCCTAGTGGCATCGTGCTCACCCTTCGGGAGTCCTTCGGCCTTTGCCGTTCTTGTTGCCTAGTTTCTTCATCGTCGAGGAACTCTTGCACCACGGCGTCTTTCAGCAACATTTCCAATGCGGCAGGACCATGGTCGAGTGGATCTTTATAACGGGCGGAATCTCGGCCAATGCGAAGGATTTTCGAGAGTGCTAAGTTTCCTTGGGGTGCTCCATGGACTTGTTTCTGTTCCAAAAAAGCCCTGACCTGATGCATTCGTTTTTCGTCTTCTGAAACATCGAAGCTTTCCTGAATGACAGCAATGAACATGTTTAAGATGATAAAGTTGGACACAATGAACCAAAGAATAATGAATGCTGCCGAGATCCAGGCTGTGTTGAAGTCGGTCGTGTATGCGGTTGCATTGTAAAGAATCGTGGTCCAATTTTCACTCGACAAAATTTGATACATTCCCAGAAATGAGTTGTAGATATTCGAAAACGTGATCATGATCGTCGTGCCACTTGGATCTGAATCTGGGATCTGGCTTCGAAAAAGCTGTGTAGCGAAAATGGCAGATAAAAAGGTCATCAAGAATAGGAAAAATATCAAGTTGAGCAGACCGACAGTATTGCGGAACACAATCACGATCAGCTTTCTGGTCACAGAGAAAGCCAATACCACTCGGTAGACCCGAAGGATCTGGAACAAGGTGAGAACTGTGTATGCGCGACCTGAGTTCCTGATAGGTGGTAGCTGGATGATGCAGGTAACGATTACAAGCAAAAGGTCTGTCAAGTTACGACGCCTTCGATGAAACATGCGCCAATCCGAGACGAATCGCAAAATAATCTCGACTAGGAAAATGATAGTGAGAACAGTCTCAGTAGTATCAATAAATCGCGTTCGACGGGCAGACATAGCCGAGCTTCTCAGTGCTTGCACGATAAGGTCGAATATGATGAGGCAGATCCAAATCCACTCAGTTTTATCATGTATGCGCTTTAGAGGACTGACTTTGTGAGACACTGTCTCGTCTTCGTCGACAGCATCAAGTTTTTGCACAGCAAAAGCGCTGCGTTTGCTCTCTTCTCGGATCACTTGGAATGAGTGAGTGATGACCGCAACCAGCAAGTTCACCAACCACAAGCTCAAAATGACAAACCCACAGGCAAAGAACAGAGCCGTAGCGAGATAGTCAGTGTCAGCGGTATAGTATAGCAGATCGGTAAATGTATTAGAGCTCATGATCACAAACACCAACTCCAGGGAGTGCAGGATGTTGTCAAAGCTCATAGTCCCCTTATAAGGATTGACGCCTTCCATGCATACAGAACCTTGAGGACAAAGATATCCTTTAGGGCTGTACCCTGCGTCCATACCATCGGAGTTAAGCCATGGCATTTCTCCACCCGTCTGGTTGAGATACCCGCCACAAAACTGTAATGTGTCCCATGGATCATTCAACGTGTAATTGCTCTGGCCTGCAGGATCAATCCAGACACAAGTTCTCCTGAGACTGGATTTGAAACTCTGGATGCCAATGATGGCGAAAAGAAGCCAAAAGAAACCGATAAGAAATGAGACATGGACAAGCAGAGGGGCTGCTCGCTTGAGACTTCGAAGAATTACCTAGAAGTAATTGGTCAGTATCTCGAAAGCCACATCATCGCAACGGAAGACTTACCGAAGTGCCGTTAGTCATGGCAAGGAGACGTAGAATTCTGAGACAGCTTAACATGCGAAAGATGTACAGTTGGTGTGATTTCTCAACGCCAGAAATTGAAAGAAAAAAGGATATCCAAAAAGCGACCACGGCTACAAAATCAAGCCGGTTAAAAGAGTGTCGAAGAAACGCACGATGGGCAAGCCTAATGCGACGTTTGTGTAGAGGATCATCAAAGACTTCAGGGTCTAGTCCGTTCATTCCTGTAAATGTTCGCAGGATTGAAGCTTGGGGCTCAGCCTGGAGCGTAGATGTTTTCTTGATCGTTGGCTGCCGATGCGGTGTGATCAGGTTCCTGCCCTTCTCTGCGATTGCCTTCCTGATGCCGAGGTTGCGATTGAGTGTGCTGTACTCGACGGGGTTGAGAATAAATCCAGACACCAAAATCTTAGAGCCTATCTCAAGTGTATAAATGACAAAAATGGCTAAGAAAACCCAGTCAAACTTGCTGCTTCCCCACCTCACTGAATTCGTGGAATTAGGAAGCGCATCTTCAACTGTCAACAAGATGGTCTGGATGACAATAACAATCAAGATGAAGGGCTCCATGAACGGGTTTACTAGGATATCACACAGCCAGAGTCGGAGAGGATGATTTGGTCCCAGGATTCCAAGTGACCTGCCTTTGAATGGACTGTTCCGATCCCTCCATAATCTGCTGGAGGAACGCTTCTCTCGGGGTGGCTGAGTGTGTTGGTCGTTGTCATAGTCTGTCATCGCAGGCAAGACTGGCGGTCCATCCATTCGTGCATTTTTATCAAGCTCCTGCCTCTCAATCGTTTGCTGTACGACTTCCGGTTCGTTACTCAGATTGACCACTCGCTGCGACATGGATTTGACCATAGAGCTGGCGCGTTGCAGAGCCCCGCTAGACGCCGATGGAGACAAAGAGCGCGACCGAGCCCGAGCAGTGCTGCCACGACGGCTTCCCATCCCATCCTCCAGGTGAGGAAGATCATCGCCCAGTCTTGCACCACCAAAATTCGCGGAGTGACCGGTGTCAGTGCTGCGTCGCCCTTCTACACTGGTAGCACCGCTCATCGGTTGTAAGTATCGAGGATCGGTCAACCGTACTGTATCATCTTCGTCTGCTGGGGGGTTGTAGCCATGGGGGTCGTGGGGATCGAAATTGTCTAGAGGTACGACGTCAAGGTCCGAAGCAGCATCGTCAAAGCCACGGCTCTCTGATTGGTACGAGGGCGATGCCCTTGATTGAGGGCCATCAAAACTGAGACCAATCGATGACATCGCTTGCGCGAAACCACCCAGGTCATCAATCGGGGAAGCAACCTCTGTATAGCTCGTTTTTGACGGTTGGAATGGACTCCTGCTCGGTCCAGCCGAATCGATTGGAGACTCTTTCGCAACACTCTCATAATTGCTCCGCGACCCCCTCCCGATCAATGATCGTCGTGAGAAGAGGCCGGTTCCCGCGCGGCTTCTCCCGCGCTCGTTGGGAGCATCGGCCGGTTTTGAGAGATCTTGGAGAGGGATGTGGTTCGGCGGAGCGTTTTCGTCGTTTTCAAGGTTCTGGCTATCTGGTGCCATCGTCAGGCAGGATCGGATATTACCGAATCGCAGACATCGCAGGCTGGACGGGGGGGTTTATCGGACACGACACGGTGGCGACACGTGTTGACGGGAGAAAATATGTATAATATAGGAAATAAAGAGAGTGTGAATCCAACACAAATCAAAAGAAGAGACAGGCTTCCAAAGCTGAATTCGGGCCAAGGGCGTTCGGATCGCAATTGCACTAAAAATTGACAAGTCCCGGCATGCGCATGGATATTCAACGTTGTCGTGGCTGACATACCGCGGCAGGATACGAGCCATATACATCGTACATCGTATTTTTATTATTTTCTGCCTACATAACAGCTGGCTTATCCTCCAATTCCAGCTCCTGGAATGAAAATTACAACGGTTTTAACCAGACGCTGACGCAGCCTTGCTTGAACAATGTTCCCTAGTGGGGTTCCCTTTTTTCCAAAAATAGTTCTACACCTTTGAAAAGTTTCCGAATGTCTTCTCTTCTCCGAGTAAATGTATTGATAGTGATTCAATCAGTATCCATCTGAGATTCCTTTTCTTTAACGTGTTGCCGAACACCATCCAGGAACGCGTCTACCGCATCGCCACCACCAAGGGGTACTCCACCTCTCCGCATAAAGCCTCCATTAGCCACGGGGATTTGCAAAGCCTCACTGATACTCGGAAGCCCACCATCACGAAGGGCTACAGTAAGACTGGCCAAGCTTTGCATGAATTGGGGAGAACGAAGCACTTTTCGGAGAATATCTTTTTTCTGGGAGAGGTCGAGGGACAGGAGAGCAGCTTGGGCAAGTTCCGGGTCCGTGTCAGCTTCCGAAGCCTCAGCGTTGCCCTGGGCCAGTAGAAGTAGTGCGGGCGGTAAGAAGCTCAGAAGGTGATCGGCAGTAGTGGTATCAGCAGAATCAATAAATTGCAACGTGGTCGAGGGCGGAAGGAGTTCTTGAAGTGTCGTAGATGGTCGTTCAGGATCTTGGGATTCGCTCTGGCTCTGGCGGCCGCCCAGAGACTTCAAAAAGTCCTGGACAACCGACGCGGAATCTTGCTCGGCAGTTGCTCTGCAAATGAGGCAAAAGGCAAATTAGCTTAGATGGCCCGAATCAAGGCTGTCGGAGATATGTACCTACGCTCGTCCACCATCGGCACCACCTTCTCGCGACTCTTGTCCCTCCTCACGCACGTCGCCACCGGTCGCATCGGGGCCAGCGCCGCCGCTACCTGCGCTGTGGTATCGGTTGCGATCATGATCGGTGCCTTCCACGTCCTCCATGGTCTCATCGTCATCACCGCCCGAAGGCCGGCGGGGAAGATTGGCGATCTCGTGCTCTACGTCAACCTCCTCGCCCTGCAGCAGAACATCGACAATTTCTCCAAGCTTCAAGTCACGGGGACTGAACCAACTTGGGTCGCCGTCCTCGTGCTGGGATTGGGACTGCATCCAGAACAGGTATCGCTGAGAGCTAGATGAAAACTTCAGGACAAATATCCGGCCATTCGTAGCGTCCCTGCCGGATGGCTTGTAGGGAGTAAAGCTGCCATCTGAAGGGATCATCACCAGGTCGAGCTCGGGCTCGTCTAGTGAGGCGCTACGCGAGCGCCAGCAGAAGTGGATAAGGTCATCTTCGGAGTAAAGGTAGACATAGCCTGGGGTTGGCTTCGGCTTTACGGCGGGAGGAGTGCTAGAGATCTGATTGAAGCTGTCAGTAAAGTTGCAATGTAAATATGGGTATATCCGGATGATGGTATCCGGAAAGCTAAGCTCACGTACATCCAGGTCGCAGATACCTGCTTTGAAGGTGATGATCGGAGCTATCGACATGTTGGGGAATTTGATTCTGAACAAAGATCCAATAATAGAGGATACTGTATTGACAGAATTCGCTCCCTCCAGGTAGATAAAGAAAAGAGTCGAGAGGATGTTAAGACAGAGTATAGAAAGAGAGAGAGAGGCTGCGAGCGGTATACGTCAGTTGTTTGTGTCGAGCAATGCTTCTGCATAAGTGGTTTTACAGTCGCCCGTATATTGTGGCCTTACAGATATGGCATCAGCGTGCTAAGTTACCGCTTTCCAAAAGTGGCTAGGGCTGTCGGTTAAACACGTGATAGGGCTTCCTACACACAACCCTCGACGAATTCCCGCACTGGAGCCGACTCCGCTTAGCAGTCCAAGTCCTCACTCAAATCTCCAACAACCACCCCGACAACCATTCATCCTTCGCCAGCAGCCATCATGTCGGACGGCCAGACGAAGCAGTTCGGGAAGAGCCAGAGGGTCGTGCCCACCGACAAGGCCCAGAAGTGGTACCCCGTGGACGATCAGTCGCAGCCCAAGAAAGTCAGTACACCCTGTGAAAATGGGACGGCACAAAAAAGAGGAGGACATACGACCCGGCACGCATCCGCCCCGATGATTGCGACGATGGCACCGGTATTCTGAGGAAGAGCCTTTGTGAATTACGGGGCGACATCCAGCCAGACACCGGTGTCAATCGACGACACAGTTCATCAAATCTTGTGATCTTGTGCGAATCGCATATCATCTGGGGAGGATGCGGCTATGGCGATGGGAGATACTTGCGGATTCACGGGAATCGCTAGGATTTGTGTGGCATCAGAGACTAACTACTTTGTGTGTTTACAGGTTCGCAAGACCCTGCGTCCCGCCAAGGTCCGCGAGACCCTCGTTCCCGGCACCATCCTGATCCTCCTCGCTGGCCGTTTCCGTGGCAAGCGTGTCATCCTCCTCAAGTCCCTCGACCAGGGTGTCCTCCTTGTCACCGGTCCTTTCAAGATCAACGGTGTCCCTCTCCGTCGCGTGAACTCCCGCTACGTGATTGCCACCTCCAAGCGTGTCGACATCAGCGGTGTTGACGCCAAGGCCATTGAGAAGACCTCCGCTCCCGGATACTTCACCAAGGACAAGAAGGCTGAGAAGAAGACCGAAGAGGCTTTCTTCAAGCAGGGCGAGAAGGCTGAGGTACGCATCTTGTCTACACTATCACATTTGCAGTGATGAAATGCTAATTACTTTTTTGTCTTTACAGAAGAAGGTTGTTGCCAGCGCTCGCGCCAGCGACCAGAAGGCTATCGACCAGGCTATCCTTGCCTCCATCAAGAAGGAGGATTTCCTCGGCAGCTACCTCGCTACCACCTTCAGCCTCCGAAACGGCGACAAGCCCCACGAGATGAAGTGGTAAATGTGTGGTAGCCGCGGGTTCGGTAGATAGTTGGGGAGGACCATTTTTCCAACGAGGGGCGGCTCGATTGCAGATCGGCATCCTTTCGCGACTTTCGGGGGTCGGTTTCATGAACCATGTCATGTAATTCCTACGGGATCCGTCAAAACACGTTTTTCACTTTTCTTATGATTTGCGGTTACTTCGGACAACCCGATGTCGTTCTCATGTTTCAAGAAACCCGTTCCTTTTGCGCGTGGCTGATTTTGCATGAAGCTGCGTTATGAAGAAAGACTTCAAGCAAAAAAAAAAAGATTAAAAGTCACCTCGTTCCAGCAGGCGGGCTGGATTCTCTTTTATGTTCAGTATGACCAACTCCCATTTCCAGGTTCAGGCGGCAATCCAATTGGGCAATTCCTTCGATTCATCTAAGCGTCGTGTAATCTCTGTAAGACACTAAAATATAAGGTTGCTGGGCCTTGTCATGAATGTGGATATCCGGATTGTGTGGAACTAGAGTAGAGATCTCGAGATCTAGGCGTGGACTACGGAGTAAGAAGTATATAAATATCTTCTTGACACCTTTTGAGATAATCAATGGATGCATGTTATAATAACTGCTCGGCTATATCACCGTAGAGTTCAATGCAATATGGATGTGCGATGAGCTTCTAAGTGTTCTAGATCTAATATCCCATGTGTAATCACTCTTGGCAGCCATCCGCCACTCGATTTTAGGGTTAAGTGCCAACCATGCCCTCGTAGCTACTGATTGTATAGTACTCGAATGATATTCATTTGGGGGTCATATGAAACCAATGTTGGTATGAATGATGATAGCATTCAAAGAATATCATATCATCCAAAAGTCTCACTTCCTCGAATATATATTGTAGTTCTAGATACACATGTATATGTTGAACAATCCCAATTTACACTCCAAATAAAAACAGCAAAACCAAGACAAAATCTACATAGCTGCAGCTCCAATCAATGATTTATCATGTACTCATCAATGGTCGTCTCATCGTCGCCTTGGCTTCGTCGCAGACCCAACAGCCTTTCGCTTCGCAGCCTCATACGCTTTCCGCATATCCGGCTCATCTGCTGCCTCATCACTCTCATCGTCGGTGGTTTGCGAGTCTCCAACAACAGTACCCATAATCCAATCCATAACACCCCATGGGCCATAGTTGCCCCTTCCACCCATCAACAAATGCATATCTGTGCGACGGGCAATCCCACCCAAAAACAAGTTTGTCGGCATGACAGTATATCCAGAGTATGCGAAGGTCTCCTCGACAGAAATCAACAGCAGGTACAAAAGATATGTAAGCATATGGAAGCGGAAGATGATGGCTGGTGCATAGGTGGGGATGAACTTGTTAACTAGATAGACAGCCGGGTGGTCGTAATGCGCGGTCAATGGGAACGGAGCAGCCAATGAATGGTACCAAGACCGGTGCCAGTTGGAAAGTATAGGAGATCTCCCTGAGTGAAGAGCGTAGCGGTGAATGATATATGTGAGGAGCTATCAAAAGCAGAATGAGAATGTCAGCAAATGGGACTACCAAAGAAGACACAAGCTAGAAACATAGTCTGGGAATTCTAATAACTCACTTCTCGCCCAAACATCGCCAGGCTCAGATCCCTACATATCTCAAATGGCATAGGAAGCTTCAGTGATACCTTGAGCGCACTGCGCTTGCCGAGCGTCCGAACCAGTATCGTTTCAAGTATTCCCTGCACAACGATACCCAAGAATAGATTGAATAGTGCCCACCCAGCGATCTTGAATTCCTTCGCGTGGATTCGACGTCGCCTCCTCCCACCTGGCAAGCCGGTTGCGCCTTGCGCCTTGATGAGGATCGCAGCCGACGGGGTCAGGATGTCAAAGAGGAAGAAGACAATAGACGGCAGTGCGTAGAAGAGTACGCGCACGGCGATCGTCCCGAACAGTTCCACGCGGAGCCGGGAATGCGACAGTACCAGTGTTGACCAAGTCATGTAGAAGAACAGGAGGTTCAGGCTGGTGCTGTAGGATGACAGGACCGGAATGAGGAAAACGGACAGCACCGGTATTGAGAAGAGGGCCTCCATCTTGACACGAGTTTGCGCGGCGATTGCTGTTAACAGTGTTGAAAGACTCGAGGGTGGTTTGCTTGTATCTTGTGCTATCGCTATCGCCGAGTCTTTCGATGGAGGAGCGAGGGTTTTGTTTCTGCTTTCCCAGCAATTTCTTTTTTGTGCCAAAAATAGTGATCTGTGATCAGTTGCCATTCATATTTGAAACAAAGACTTTTTAAACCCCAGTTTGGGCAGCGCAATTGGGGACAAAGAAATTTCGAGGTCGAAAATGGGGTGGCAGGATAAACGATAAGGTTGTTGTTTCTACATCGTACGTCATCAGTCCGGGCCCCGGAAAATGACTACATCAATGAAAGGTTCGAATTGCTACAAATACGAGAACAGACAAGCCATTATTTTGTACTGTACAGTAAGAATATGCAACAAAGGATGAAAGGAATTGAAGAATGTTTAGGTGTTCGGAGGCGCCATGCAGACATCGCTCATGGTATCATCATACAAGAAGCAGTCGCTAGAAGAATACACCCGATCGCTATGAAGCCGGAGCACTGTTACCGTTCGGAACCCCGTTCTGCTTTCCCCAAGTGAACGCCTTGCTGCGAAGGTCCGGAATGACCTGGAGGAATACTAGGTTGCTGAGCCAGCTGAGCATGGTGTCACCGACAATGCTATTCTTCGGGCTAGGCCCAAAGGCAGTGCCTTTCATAATGGCACCAACAAAATTGGTAGTGATCAGGTACTCCCCGCGCTCCAGGGCACTGATAGAGATCTTTGCAACCTCCAATGGCGTCTGGGGCTTGTCGGCTTCTTCGAGTTTCTTGGTCAATTCAGGCTTGGTCTTTTGCTCGTTGTCAAAGCCGGGTGAGAGGATGCCCATGGGGAAAATGGTGTGGATCCTGACATCCGCAGCTGGGGCGTCATTGCGGTGCCGCTGGGTATAGGCTCCGTTGTACATTTCGATTTCCTGGCTCAGAGTATCGGATAGAGAACGAATGGCTGCCTTGGCAGGCGAGTATGGCGAATAGCCAGCGATAGGAACAAATGCAAGGGTAGAACAGGTAAAAATGAGATGTCTCCGGGGTGTTCTCATCTGTTCACTCGGGGCAACGGGCTTCAGCCAGCGGCGCAGGGTGGCATGTGCTGTGTTGGCCGCAGTCCAATAGACTGCATCCATTTGCTGCCGGTGCTCTTGGATGGGCACATCGACAAAGAATCCCGGGCGAGATAAGCCCGCACAGCACCAAACAATGTCGGGAGCAGCCCCTGAATTCCACGTTGTGACTTCTGCGAGGACTCTTTCACTCTCGACGGGATCAGAGAGATCAGCGCTGATATAGAGGAATTTCTGCTTAAAGATATTCGCTGCCTTGGCCTGGATAATAGGTGAGCTATATTGATCAACTGATTATGAAGGGATGTCCGACCTTCATCTCATCGACGGCGGTCACCAGCTTGGAGACAGTGCGCGCAACCACAACAACGTTTGCGCCTTTCGCAGCTAGCTCGAGTGCGACAGCTTTGCCCATACCATCGGAGCCACCGGTTATCAACACTGTCTGTCATACCTAGTCAGAACGTACCGCGTTAATCATGTAGTCTTACACATACCTGCCCGTCGACATTGAACTCATTTCGTAGCCCGTAACCAAACATTTTGGCAATAGTATAGACAATGATAGTGCAAAAGAGTGTGGAAACGCCTAATATCAGGGTGGACGTATTATTATACAAGGACTGTAAGGAGGAGAGAAGTTGAGGCAGATGAAGACGAGCAATTAACGCGTGAGGATCCATCGTGGCTGATTGGCAGTTGCGTCTGTCAGTTGTCCTCGAAATGGAAGGCACACGGGGCAGTAAATAATTGTGTAACGATACGGAAATACCCGAGATCGTTCCCGATGTCTGTTTTTGACGGTACAAAAGTTGTGGGATTGTAAAATTACCCGTATTTTGATTTCCAAATGTGCAAACAGAGCAAACGCCCCACTCGAGGCTAGCGCAGCCAAGGCGGTGAGGGATCAAAAAATAATTTTATCACAGTTTATCGGCCAGACTTCGAGTTGGCTCATTGTCGCTTGAATTATACACGCAAAAATGGGCAGCAAAAAGAGAAAAGCTGGTCGTCCAGCGGAGAACAAAGCTCCTGAGCCCTCTAAGTTTGACATCGAAGAGCGATTCGACGACTCGGAAGATGACTTCCAAACCGGCCGCGACCAGATTCTACTCGAGGAAGGCCCAGAGGCGAAGAGACGGCGCAGAGTTGCCGAGGAGGGTATGTGCCTTTGAGGATAAACTGAGCTTGTGCGAACGGTGTCTTACTGATTGTCACAGAGGAATTGATCCAGCCTTCAGACGAAGAAATCCTTGGCTACGAATCCATAGACGAGGATGACGATCTCGAAGACTCAGAAGAAGACGACGAATATGATGATATGGGTCAGCCAAAGAAGGGTGATGCAGAATCCGAGGAAGATGAAGAAGGCATTGCTGCCTGGGGTTCATCGAAAAAGGATCTTTATAACGCAGATCAGATCGAGACCGAGGTTGATGCATTGGAGGAAGAGCAGGAGGCCAAGCGACTACAAATGAAGCAGTTGCAGGCTATGAATGAGGCCGATTTCGGGTTTGACGAGTCTGAATGGGTGGAATCCGGCAAGGGTACCGAGGACGGCGCCGACGCTGGCGTGGTAACTGAAGTGCTTCCACAATTGGAGATCACTGATGATATGGACACCGATGAGAAGCTGAAAATTTTGAAGTCGAGATACCCCGAGTTTGAACCCCTAGCGAAGGACTTCGTGGACCTTCAAAGCTCCTTCAAAGATCTTCAACAAGCAGCCTTGAAGGCTTCCTCAACAGACGACGACTCAGAGGAGCCACAGCCATCCCCAGTGCCTGTGGTGAAATTCCGTGCGTTGTCTGCATACCTTGGCACGATCAGCATGTATTTCATGCTCCTTTCCTCCCCATCTCCCGACGCGACTAGCGAGCATGTTCCGATGACCCCTGCCGAACTCCGACAACACCCTGTCATGGGATCGCTTGTCAAATTCCGGAAGCTTTGGAACACTGTCAAGGATCTCGAGGAGCTTGAGGAACCCGTTGGGGAGCCTATCAAGGAGACTAAGACCGAGAAAACCAAGACCGAGAAGCAACCAAAGACCCAAGAGATCAAGAAGCCGAAACAGAAGAAGCTCAGCAAGGCCGAGATAGCACAGGCAGAAGCCGAAGCTCTTCGCGCCGAGCGTCTCCGCCAAACAGAAGCTGGCCTCGCCGATCTCGAGAATTTGGCCACCGAGCCTTCACGGAAGCGCAAGACACAAAAGATCAAGGCACCTCTCAAGGATGATGACTCTGACTTCGGTGATGAGGATGCCCTCACAGCCCATGAGGCAGAAGAGAAGGCCAAGCAGAAGCGCTCGCTCCGTTTCTACACCTCGCAACTGGCCCAGAAAGCCAACAAACGTAACGCAGCAGGCCGAGATGCTGGTGGAGACGCCGATCTCCCATACCGCGAACGTCTGCGTGACCGTCAAGCCCGTCTCAATGTGGAAGCCGAGAAGCGCGGCCGCAAAGAACTCAACCCCGACCAGCAGCTGGGCGGTGACAGTGACGACGAGGATCGTCGCGTCGCCAAGGAGCTCCGCCGCGGTGAGGGTGCCAAGGAGGGCACTGATGACGATGAATACTACGACATGGTGGCATCTCGCTCCAAGAAGCGCAAGGACGACAAGCAGGCTCGTGCAGATGCCTACGCTGAGGCTGAGCGCCTTGGTGGAAAAATCTTTGTGCAAGAGGAGGTTGGTCCAGATGGCAAGCGTGCAATCACGTATCAGATCCAGAAGAACAAGGGTCTGCACGCGAAACGCAGTAAAGACTCGCGTAACCCGCGTGTTAAGAAGAGAAAGAAGTACGAGGAAAAGAAGAAGAAGCTTGGCAGTACTAAGCAACTGTACAAGGGCGGCGAGGGCCGCGGTGGATATGGTGGTGAGCTTACGGGTATCAAGAAAAACCTGGTCAAGAGTGTTAAGCTGTGAATGTGTGCTTGATCATAAAATTCACGGTCTTGTGTGTATGTTTCCATGGCGTTCACTGCGGGCAGTTTCAGGCATTCGATGTGTAGTTATATAACCCCGATCTCATCTTCTGGTTTACCCGAAGTTTCAAAAACCGTTTTATTCATCTCAATCCATCTTCTCTTATACGTATATAATGTGCTTGATCCATCAGGGATCCTAGCTACTATCTCCCCGATTGCTACGAATGCAGTGAAGGTGGGCAAGGATTTCATTCTCCTAATGGAATATATCGACATCGCGGGTTCAGCTAATTGATGATGACCTAGGGCGTAAATATATGTTGTACTTTGTAAAGATATTCGTGATATCATTGGCCTCCATGCGCTTGGCCCCATACTAATAAATCCTTTCACTCGAACAGGCCTTCGAAGACGGCCTTGACATGGTCTGAGTCACCTTGTGAGAAATCAATCTCTAGAAAATGTCTCACTAGGGAGTTCTTGTATCGAGGTTGTTAGTCACATTCCATTTTTCTTTTATAAAAAAGATAACTCGTACCGCTTCTTCTAGGTCTTGCATCTCCTCTGAAGATAGAACCGAACAGGCCACAATAACGTTCTCCCCTCGTGCGGAAAGAGACGTAAACTCATTTGCGCGAGATATAACAGATGGGTCGATACCGTTCATTGCCGCGCACCTATACCAATATTGAAGTCAATCGATTCGAAAGGAATGCGGACATGATAAGAAGCAGGACGTACATGGTACCAAAGCTCTGGCTACTTCGCCCCGGACGAAAACTGTTCGAACTGTAAGCATCATTTACATACCATTGACCCAGGAGCCAGCATTCCTGTACATACTTATACAGATATGTAATCTGGTCCTCGGCTGCCTGGGTTTCTTCGCAAACTTGAACTTCCATATAGCCAAGATAGAGTCGAGGCCGCAAAGCGAGGAGGTTGTTCTCGAAAATCTCATGAAAATGAGTTGCTGCAATGACTTTAGGGGGCCTCTCGAGGCACATTAGATAATCGAGTATGCCACAGGCAAGGCCGATGCCATCTAAATGCGTTAATTAGTCTGAACGAAAAGCTATGGCTAGATAGGAACGGACTGCTTTCGGTAGTTCCCGTCCCGAACTCATCGATGACGAGCAAGCTTCGGTTCGTAACTTGTTTCAGGCAGAGGGAGATTTGCTGCAAATCGTTCATAAATGTGCTTTCGGCCTTGAGACATGTTAGGTTGCCCAATCCGACACTTTATACAAAGGATTTGAGATACCTTGGAGACACTCTCTTGAGTATTGATCTTAGTCAAGATTTTGTCTGTAATCCCCAATTCCGCGCTGTCTGCAGGGACAAAGCTGTGCCAGTTAGCCTTTGTATTACTATCTTAATAGAAAGGAACATACCTCCCAATCTGGGCTAGGTAGACAATCAGAGCGACCTAATAGTAGGTCAGAAAATGTGTTTCACAAAGACAAAATTCAGCTTACCTGCTTCATATAGATACTTTTTCCTGAGTAATTCGGTCCAGTCAAGAGCAACATGCTGGGATTGGAATCCATGGATGAAACAGCTTCATTGGTCTCGGACTCATTTCCGCCCATCAGCAATGTGTCATTTGGCACATAGGACGGAACGGTCAATTCTTGAAGAATGTGCCTATCATCTGTCAGAGATGTCGAGGGATGATCGTTGAAGAGCTCTTACCGGCCACCCTTGATTCTGAGTACATTTTGTTCAACGATTCGTGGTCTGGTCAGATTATAGAAGCTGGCTCCCTGTGTGAGAGCAAGAAGGCTGTGAAATTTGTATCAGCGGACCTCACATCATGTCCCACAAAGACTAACCTATCAATCTCTCCACAAATATCAGAGGCATCGACGAGCACATTCTCATATCGAAGAACCCTCTGCGCTAAGTCGTATACAATCTCGATTTCCTTCTCTGTCAAGGTAGGGTTTTTTATTAGCTCTTCATCCCCATTGCTTCCCATTAATTTAGCAGGCTTACCACAGATAATACCGTATATATCTCCCAACTTCTGATCCATCTCTCTCATGCGGAAGTCTTTGAAATACGCCCGATTTTCCGTGATGAACATTAATTCCCATTCATCATCAGCACTAGTATACGCCGCAGCACCATGCTCATTGAGTGGAATGGCAACATGGAACCCAAGCTGAGGAAAGTAAATGACATTGACGTCGACGTCGAGAGTCGCCGGAATCGTTGCGGCAATGTCGAGAGCAACGTGCTTGAGAAGGCTGTTGAGACCATCGTATCTGTCTTTAATTCTGTCAAGCTCTCTATCAATTCCTTGCTTCACCACCGTTCTTCCTTGTTCTTCGGAGTTATCAATGTCGACCTAAAAAGTCAGATGCGTTATTAATTCTATTAAAAAGGGAACTTACAATTTCTTGAATCATACGACCAACTCTGTACAGCTGGGCTGCTTCAAAGACCCTGAGAGCCTGCAAGTTGTCAATACAAGAAGGACTGGGATACCTATTGGAGATTAACCTTGCTTCGGACAGTCAGGATGTGCGCGCCCGAGGTCTCCCGCAGTGCATCATTGATGTCGATAGCGTAGAACGCAAACTGGTCAGTCGCCTCATTAGTATCGCAATGAAGAACTATCACTCTACATAGACAAATGATGGCAAATCAAACATACAGCAAGAAGAGTAGCCCAAACCGTACTTTTGAACCCAGTAACCTTAGCACTGCCAGTACTAATTCCCTTGCGAAGATTGAGCATGATAGGTCTGATGTTTTTAATGTGTTTCAATGCTTTGGTCATCTTCTCCAACGAAGCAAGATTGTCAGGGCGGGAGAATAGTCCTATGAAATCGTGTCGTTCACGAATCGCATCTAGATTCACGCTTGGACGGAAAAATGTCTGCTTGAGTCTTGCCCTACCCTGAGGCGTGTATGCAAAGTGTTGGAAGAGCCCATAGACCGAAAGACCCTCTTTGCCTGAAGCAGACTTTTTCCCAGGTCCCTGGTTGAACATATTCGGGTGTGACTCCGACTGGATAATCTGGAGAGAGGTGAAAGTATTGCTGTTGATCCACATCGTATCCCGTAGATTGAACATCTGCAGTGCTCGAACCCGATACTCATTCCCTTCTTCGAGGGGGCTGGGTGCCGCGGCTCTTCGTCGCTGCAGGTAAGTGAGTATGGCTCCCGCGCAACCAATAGTCACGGGGTTATCCATGTCAACGGAACTTGAGATATGCAGCAGTCTTCCTTCTTGGAGTGTGAAGCCCATCTCTTCTGGGTCCACTTCTTCCGGTCCGGCAAGACCATTCTGGGGCACGAAAAATCGGAGGCCTTGTTCGTGCGCAGAGGAAACCCCTAAAGCAAGAAGTTTGCTTTCTGCATTGGAGTAGCTGAACTCCGAAGTTGGACGAATGTCTATCTGGTAAGGAAGGTAGGCAGAAGAAACTAGACAGAAATTATCAGCATTTGCCCGCACTGGAAAGGGTCAAATTGTTCCAGTGCAAGGGAAATGTACCATCTTCTTGTGCAAGGTTCGGATCTTGATTCTGGGAACTAAGATCAACCCGCGGAGGTGTCAAGACCACTGTAGGTTTTATCTGGAGAAGCACTGTAGATGGCCTGATTAGCACTTCTAATCTAGACTTGAACAAATAATTAACCCACGAGCGTCGATTGTCTCTATATCCCCCGACCGACTGTCACCTAGCAGATACATCTTTTCTTCTTCGGCTGAGTAGTATGAGCACCCCACAGTTCCATGATCCTTCATGTCGATGGCAGCAATGACATGGTCATCGAAGTCATCATCGGTAGCTCTTACCGACCCACCTATTTCGATCTTGGTATCTGTAGGAAAAGGTGTGTGCAATTGACTTGCTGATGAAATGATAGGGGTTCGGGGAGGACCACTTGAAATGCTGAAGGCTTGACTAGCTGGCGCCCTGTGGCCCAGTCGTCGCCCAGATGTACGAGGTGTAATTGGATGCCGGGAAGCTGGTGTTCTCTTTCTTTTTAATGAAGGCATTTTCCCGCGGCCCACGGAATTGGGATACTTAGAGATGGGATGAGAGAGGGAAATGATGGGGTTGGATGAAACGGTGGGAGTTGGCCTAGTCACCTGTCCACGGGTCGTTCCTCGAGCCTACAGCCTACATAAAACAAGCAACTTGATGAATATGAATTGTCTAGAATAGACTATTGTACAAAGCCATAATATATGAGAGAAGACCGGACATGCAATCGAAATATTCGCAAAAAAAGCAGATGCAAAAACATTGTATGTGCCACATAAGAACGCTAGATTTCATGTTGTCATTTATTCTTCCGCGGTCTCCGCAGTTACCACAAGGCCAGACTTAGACTCATCAAGAGAAACTCGGGCAGTTTGACCAGAGACAATTTCACCTCGGATGATCTTATCAGCCAAGCGGTTTCCAATCTCCTTAGCAATGAGACGGTTCAAAGGCCGGGCACCAAATTTGGGGTCGTAGCCTTTCTCGCACAGCCAGTCCTTAGTCTCATTGTCAACCTGCAGAGTCATACGGCGGTCATCGAGTCTAGCCTGAAGCTCTTTGATTCTGATATCGACGATGTCCCGGAGAGCATCCTGGGACAGGCGTCTGAAGATGATGAATTCATCGATTCGGTTCATGAACTCAGGTGGGTATGCGCTCTGAACCACATCCATAACAGCCGATTTGACCTTTTCTGGGAGCTCGGCATCACCGGCGTCATCTTTAATTGGGTACAAGGGGTCTGCTCCGACCAGGATACTAGCTCCAAGATTCGAGGTCAACACAATCAGGGTGTTTCGGAAATCAACCTTGTGGCCTTGCGCATCTGTCAGGAAGCCCTCATCGAGGACCTGCAGCAGGAGCGCTGAGATATCACGATGAGCCTTCTCGAATTCATCAAATAGCAGAACAGCGTAAGGCTTCCGTCTGACAGCCTCGGTGAGCTGACCAGCATCATCATATCCAACATATCCGGCAGGAGAACCAATGAGTCGACTGATTGTGTGCTTCTCCTGGAATTCACTCATGTCAAACCGTAAAACTGCAGTTTCCGTGGAGAAAAGGAACTCGGCCATCTTCTTGCAGAGCTCAGTCTTTCCAACACCGGTGGGACCAAGGAACATGAAAGAGGCCATAGGGCGATTTTCTCCGCTGAGACCAGCTCTCTGCATCCGCACAGCATTTGCCACAGCAGAAAGCGCTTCATCTTGTCCGCGGACTGATTTTCGGAGAGTGTCCTCCATATGAATCAACTTCTCCACGTCTCCAGCCATGAGCTTGTTAACGGGGATGCCTGTGGTCCGAGAAACGACGTTTCCAATGTCATCTGCAGTAACTGAGTCGTGAATCAGAGTTTGATTATGAGGATCCTGTTCAGCGCCTTCTTTGGGTAGCTTGGCTTCGAGCTCTGGGATGGTAGAGTATCTCAATTCTCCAGCCTTGGCAAAGTTTCCTTCGCGTTGAGCTTGTTCAAGTTCAAACCGAGCGCGTTCTAAATTCTCCTTGGTGCGTTTGATGGTATCAATTTCGGCCTTCTCCTCTTCCCAGGCCTCGGTCAATTTACTGGCCTCCGCTTGCTTGGTCTTCAGGTCTTCTTGAAGCTTCTCTCGCCGTTCGCGGCTGGCAACATCGGTTTCCTTGCGAAGAGACTCAAGCTCAATTTGGATGGTAGTAATGTCACGTTCAAGTTCCCGAATCGAGTCGGGTTTCGACTCCTGTTGCAAGCGAAGAGCCGATGCAGCTTCATCGACAAGATCAATCGCTTTGTCGGGCAGGAATCGATCGGTGATGTAGCGATTACTGTAAGTGGCTGCAGCTACTAAAGCGCCATCTGTAATTCTGACACCATGATGTACTTCGTATTTGTTCTTGATGCCCCGTAGAATGGAAATAGTCGAGGCGACCGACGGCTCACTCACCAGAATAGGCTGGAACCGTCGGGCAAGAGCCACATCTTTTTCAATCAATCGATATTCATTCAGAGTAGTGGCACCACAGCATTGAAGCTCGCCTCGCGACAAAGCAGGCTTGAGAAGATTACTAGCATCAATGCTGCCCTCAGCCTTGCCAAGTCCCAGCAAGGTGTGAAGCTCGTCAATGAAGAGGATCACCCCGCCTTCTGCATCCTCCACTTCCTTCAGGACGGCTTTCAGACGCTCCTCGAAGTCACCCCGGAACTTGGCTCCTGCAATTAGAGAGCCCAGGTCCAATGAGACAACCCGTTTGTTTTTGATGCTCTCGGGGACATCTCCTTGTACGATACGCTGAGCCAGCCCTTCGAGAACGGCGGTCTTACCGGTTCCAGCGGAACCGATCAGTACGGGGTTGTTCTTAGTTCGCCTGGACAGAATTTGGATGGTTCGATGAATCTCGGCATCCCGTCCAATGACTGGATCCAGCTTGCCAGCTTTAGCTTTCTCCGTAAGCTCAACACCATACTTTTCTAGTGCTGATTTCTCGTCCTCTCCGCCGCTCATATCCATACGGTGAGTACCGCCTGGAGGGTGTGGACGGCCCCCGTTGGCATAGTTGCGGACAGATATAGGGCTATGGTTGATGGCTGGTGGTATGATAGAGGTGCAGGGTAGTATGCTTGATCTCGGGATTGGGGATAGAAGCCGGGTCGAAGATAGGCGAGGCGTTCGCAGAAGCCGACTGCGGGCATTGAGGGATAATCTCGCCGCCATAATGAATATTATAGATTTGCCAAAAAAAAAAGTGTAAAAAGAAACCTAGGGTAGTTCAGGATCGGACATGTCACTGTTATACCTTAAATACCGATAACCAAGGTCCATCGGGAGGCTTCTCGAACGATCCACATAGTACACGCTGAGTGGCGGAAGGAACCAGACCTCCGTCACCAGTCAGTCACCTGACTAGTCTAAGCTTCGTCCTGAAGTCACCAGTTGGTCACATGACTTGTGTAGGTAAGCACTGTCGCAAGTAAGTCACCTGACCAGTCTTCGCTCTTTCACGTTTTTCCGTGACTCCGTAAGAGATTTTCCGTAACAAAAAAAATCCCTTCCTTTTTAACCCCTCCTTCATCTATTTTCCTCTCCTTTTTTTCTTCTCCTTCCAGATACCAACACACCTCTCTTCACAATGGGTTTCACCGACTTTGTCTCTGATGCCGGCCTGACTCGTAGGCGCCCCTGAGATTTTGTTATTTCGAATCAATTGGTGACTGACTGTGCCCCTCAGTGGCCGACCACTTCCTGTCCACTCGGTCCTACATTGTTGGGTATGAATTCCTTCCATTTTCGCTGCCTTTTTTCTCCTCTCTTTCCTTTCCTGTTATGCTTTCATGATGAGAAACATTGGTCCGTGTTTAGGAGGCGGATTAAGACCCCGCTGGATGACTACAACCAATCGCGAGCAATCGCACCTCTGATCCTGCTTTACTATGCTACATTATTGAATCGTTTCATTTGATGTGAACATCAATGCTGACTCTGTTCATCAGCCACGCGCCCAGCCAGGCCGATGTCGTGACCTTCAAGGCCTTCCCCGCCGCTCCTGACGCTGCCAAGTACCCCAACGTTGCCCGCTGGCACAAGCACATTGCCTCTTTCGAGCCCGAATTCCCCACCCTCCCCGGTGACTCCAACGCAGCTTTCACTGTCTACGGTCCCGAGACCACCACTCTTCCCTCCAACCCCAAGGACAAGCCCGAGGAGGAGGATGACGATGAGGATCTCTTCGGCTCCGACTCTGAGGAGGAGGACCCCGAGGTCGTTGCTGAGCGCAACAAGCGTCTCGAAGAATACAAGGCCAAGAAGGCCGGCAAAGTCAAGCCCGCCGCCAAGTCTATCGTTACCATGGAGGTCAAGCCTTGGGGTATGTATTTTTCAAGTCTCTTCCAGTTCAAGTGCTAACAAACATTTCCAGATGATGAGACCAACCTTGAGGAGATGGAGGCCAACGTCCGCGCCATTGAACAGGACGGCCTCGTCTGGGGTGCCTCCAAGTGGGTCCCCGTCGGCTTCGGTATCAGGAAGCTCCAGATCAACCTTGTCGTTGAGGACGATAAGGTCTCCACCGATGAGCTCCAGCAGAAGATTGAGGAGGATGAGGACCACGTCCAGTCCACCGATATCGCTGCCATGCAGAAGCTGTAAATTTGCGATGCCCATTTATGAAGCAGGAATTGTGTGACGGAAATGCGTGATGTCAAAGGAATCCTTTACGAACCTAGTCCAACTAGAAAGCTGGTCCATAGTGACCAGTCATTGATGAAAAATTCAAAAAATTCATGACCATTCACAGTTTCACTGTAACTTGCTATTTATAGGTGTATGATTGTCAGACAGTAATTGTTCAAATCAAGTCCCCAGAATCCCTATTTACAGGGGTGGTAACTGCTCGGCTTTTTATGCACTCGATGTCTCACAAATCAACCCTCAAGATATATATAGCTTCTAACCGATCAATATTCTCATGGACTCGATCACATTCACCTAACTTGGTCAATTAACTAACTACTTGTTTTTCTTTGACGTCGCTGTCTCCTTATTCTTTTCTTATGGACAACTGCCACGTTAGAAAGACGAGGACTCCTACATGTATTTATGTCTTCTGTGTTGATAAAGGCAAGCTTTATAATGATTTGAAAGCACGTCTGAACAGACATGATTGGCTATCTAATTCAAATGGTATGTAATAGATGATATCTCGATATATATTCCCACCACCCATAGCAGATTCCTATAGAAAACTAAAAGATGGATACATGGGGAATATGCTCCTTATGTTCTGTCTCACGGCTTATTCTATTGACAGCTAATTATACCGTGGATAGCATGGACCGTGTAATTCAGAGAGCCTCAATCCTCATATTTCTAGTTCCAGACCGGCAAAGCCTACAAGGTCTAACTACGTGTTTCCCCTCTCTCTTGTAAACCATATTTTCTATCTGTATGGCTACCACCAACGGAGGTTCGAGACAAAGCAAAGTCCTTTGTCAACCACAGAGATTGGACAGCAGAGTCGAATAGTGTTACCCTCGTTCAGGGCTGGTCTAGTAAGTGTTGCCCATGCATTGCAGAATTAACCGAAAGGAAACATATAAGGGAATAGGCCTGAGCTTCAGCCAAATACACCGGTTTATTTCATCAATTGAGTCTAGTATGTCTGTTTTGATAGGGTTGTCCCGAGGTCTAGTTTCGGGTTGATATCGCAAGGAATGAATACAACGTTCACTGCATATGTAGGTAGTGAGGGAGATACACCTCCTTATTAACCAGAGAAGACCCCGATCCATTAAACATCTTCAATAGCAGTATGAAAAATGCAACAGATATGATAAATCCGAGCCACTTGGAGTCAAAAGTTGATTAGGTAAACCACCTGGAGCGGGCCTCCACGAACCTCCCGCCAACGCCAACGTATCAAAACGGCATCACAACACTGTCTACAGCCAGTCACCCCAGGCTTCATCTCAACACCAATAATACAGTGGTATTTATCAGGAATTATCCATCGATAAGAAGAGTTCACAGCAACTGGGCTCAACCACTGACCTCCAACCCGCAACGCAAAACCAAACTCACCACCCATCATGAGCTTCCTCTCCCGCGTGGTGACTTTCTTCGGCCTCGTCCTGATAGTTCATGCGTACGTTCTCCGACCATCCACTCAGCAATTATATACACTCCTTGAGCAAAGCTAACAAACCCTTCTGCAGAGGCTACTCGGCCCACGAACATACTGTCCTTTACAGCAGCCTCACGTCCACTGCCCTCCCACAAGACATCATCATCGAAACCCTCGTTTCGGTATTAATTGTTTCAATCGGACTGGTCTTGGGCGCGCAGAAGTTGAAGCCGATTAGCTGGCGCGAGTGGGCGGGCGAGATTGAACGGAACGGCGGAGCGCGCAACCCGTACCTGAGTCTGGAGGAGCGTTACGGATTCTGGGATATTCGGGTGAGTTTTTGGATCTACTTGGATACATGCCTTGGAACTACTGGATTTGGATTCATTCAAGATATGAATTTGTTGCTGGACAGCATTGTTTCGGGCCTGGAATATTCGAAGCTAACATTTGGATAACATAGGCCAAGCGAAAGGAGTTTGCGGACTGGGTCCGCGGTCAGGATGTGTCGATCAAGGAGTGATGGTTGAATATTGAGTTTCCGATTATGTGCTGCAGTGGGGGAGAGCTGTATAATATGCATTGCGGCGAGGGAGTTCAGTCTTCAATTGAGATCTTCAGCTTGTTGCTGGCTACGATATTTGGAACCAATGGCTTTGTGCTCTTGGCAAGTTGGAGAATAACGTATGGCATGTGCCGGCGATGCAGGGGTGGCAACTTGCATCTTCGTGTGATATACTGCGTACTCTAGAGGCGACCGAGAGGTCGCACAAACATTCCACTACTAGTACGCCTGCCCGGCTACTTGTGACCTGGGTAAGTGGGATCATTGCCAGATATAGACGCTTTTGGCGCACTCGGTTCGCATTCCCGCGCCACACCGCTGTAGGATGGCGATGCATAGTCTAGGCCATCAACTGACAGCATGGCCTCCACTAATATTGGCGTGACTAGGGCAATAAGCAAGGGGTTTGATGTCGCCTATACGGTGGCCAAAAGCAACCTTATTCCAGAGTCGGATGCTTGGCCCGATATAACTAGAGAATCATCTGGTGATGAGTAGAAGGCAAGTCGAGACCAAGGTATACCCGTATTGTCTTCTATATTGTAGACATATGGTACGACCTAGTCACACAATATGCACGTCAATAGTACTACCTATTCACCTAGCCAGAATAAAGACCGTCTGCAGTGCTCTGGGATCAAGCTTAAACCCCATGCACGATGGGAGCATATGCCGACCCTCTTTGTCCCCGTTGATATTGCAGGAATCTGTTATTGTTCCTGTCAAAAGAGAAAAAAGATATAAATATACAGATCCCTACTGGATGGGTTTAACCGAGCCGCTGACTTGTCTCAAAGACCCACCTTAGTCTGGTGATTTGAAGAGTCCGCGGGCTGGTTGTGAGGCAAAAGTCCTAAAGTCGAGATAATTAGTGTACGGAATAATTACTACGTGGGTAGAATCCATAAATTAGACCTCAAAACTGGTTATATCCTTACAGCATACAAGGATAATTTAGTGATACCGTAATGCCAAGTGTATAGTAGAAGAAAGGATAGAGAGCTGACCTCGGGATACCTGTTTCGATAAAGTGATGTCTCACTTAGAAGGCTGGTTCGAGCTCCTTAGCTCCAAAATAGAATCGCGCCATTTGAAGCCCCAAAAATATTAATTACTCTGTACGGAGTAGTTACAGTATGTTTAGTCTACTATGTATAGTGAGTCAGATGGGAGAATAATCGCTTCGCTTCGCTCCGCAATCAAGAACTGACCGGACTCGTATGTCCACACAGTCGATGATATGTCTCTCCTAACTTCCATGGCAAGTAAGCTTCCACGCTACTGAATAATTAATTCGGCTGAGATTGAGACATGTCGTTATTATCGCCAAGGCTATGTTTGTTATGATTACTTACCGTACAGGTGATCCGACACTAAATTAGCTAGGCCTGGTGCATATTGCCACCATGTCAAATCTGCCAACTATTCCCACTATTATTATTCTACCTTGATTTCAAGAGACAGAGAGACACATTTCATAGTGATTTGCTGTTAATTATCCATGCCAGCACCATTGTAAAGGTGAATGTCTCTCATAACTCCACCCTCAAATACATACATGTAATAAATGAACGTGGGGGAGCTTACGGATTGGTGTGACCCCAGAGATCGACATAAATAGAACTGTAAGACCTTGCAGATCCCAAATTGCGCTAGATTCAGACGGCGATGGCTGACTGGAGGTATCCATTTCAAAAGCCATTTCGGGGTCTAACATGTGTGTGCACTAAACAGTCTATAACATGCGACTTGTTTCCCGGGACAACCCCAGCCTTATAATCCCACCTCCCCCCAGCCTTTGTCTAAGATCACATTTATTTCTCTCCCTCAACATTCTCCATACTCACTACGCATACATCACTTCATCTACCAATAATCTCTAATCCATCAAAATGCGTTTCTCCATCGTCTTCACCACCCTCTCGGCCATCGCCCTGGCCAACGCCCAGAGCAGTGTCACCACCGAGGTAAGCGGAAACAAAAAAACAGATCACAATGCCCGAATGAAATAAGCTAACCTATTTAACAGACTGTTGACTACCTGACCCAGACAAACTCTCTCGGCGTCGTGACCGGCCAACCTAGTGTTGTCACTTCCCAACCCAGTGTTATCACCAGCCAGGCCGCTGCCGAGACCTCACAGGAGGCCGCCGCCTCCATCCCTGCCGGTCTGACCTCGCCCGTCGCCGGCCCCGGAGCCACTCAAACCACTGTCACCACCGGCACTGGTACTGGCACCACTACCTTCGTCACAGAGTCCAAGGCCACTGTTACCTCCACTGGCACTTCCTCGGACGCCGCGGCGGATTCTTCCAGCTCTTCCAGCTTGTCTGCTAAAGCTTCCAGCGCAGATTCCAATGCTTCCAGCGCTGATGCTAGTGCCTCCAGCGCTGGTGCCAGTGCTACTAGCGCGGAGGCTAACGCTTCCAGCGCCAGTGCCAATGCTTCCAGCGCCAGTGCTAGTGCTTCCAGTGCAAGTGCTAGCGCTACTGCTTCCTCTACCGGTGCTGCTGCTATTGCCACCGCCGGCCCTGTCGGTCTCATGGTTGCCGGTGCTGCCCTCGTTGCTTTCTTGTAAGCGAACCAAGAGTCTGTGATTTGGCCACTGGCAATACCCCGTCTTCTGTTTTACTATGATGTCCACATCAAGCTCAATTAGGCGAGGATTTGGTCGTGGTCGTCGGTCGGCCATGTTGTTCCAGTCTCTGGATCAACAGCAATGAGGATCATGAACATGCGAAAATCGATTATTTTTCTTTGGCGGTTTGTTATTATCTTTCCAGGTTTTCTATGGAACCTGTAATTGTTTTCTCATTGGGTAGGACTCGTGTGTTTCACCGCGTTGTACTCGGAGGCGCATATTCACGGCGCAGCTGTTTCCCACTTCTTTTTACTATATTTGTGATAAACTTAATGCATTCCTGGGTAAATAAGAGTTTTGATTCCTTGTGTGATCATGTGTATTAAGTCTAGAGATCATACCTGTAGGTTTGATAAGGTCAACAACAGCTCGCTGGCTTATATTTGCAGTAACAAAAATCTTCATTGCGTATGACACGCTACAACATACTAAGTCAGTCGTATTAACGAGTACATACAACGCTTTTTGGCTTCATAACTCCTGTATGTTTTATCAGTCGGTAGACATTTGCCAGCCTGTTTGCCATGATTGCCTCTATGGATCTGAGATATCCATCGATCATGCGGGGCTTTGATGAGAGTGCTTCAAAGGAAGAAATAAAGGAGATATCACCCTCATAACCTTACCCCTTTATTCCTAACTTCTGATATATGTCTCGTCAGATAGCAAGGGCTATAGTAAGGACGTGGTGGAACATAGGGCAATCCCAAAAGGGTAATATTAGTTACGCGCACATTACGCGACAATGGTCACGTGACTGACGCGCTACCGAAAAGGTTAGTGTGACCTCCACTCAAAACAAACCGTCGACGAAGTAACCATCTCTTATCATTGTGATTGTGATCCTTGTGCTTTCACTGGTCCGGATCACTTTCTGAATTTGCATTCTTCTCCAACTTAAGTTACCCTGTATCTTAATACCCCACAAACCATCCAAAGCTCCAGCATGGTAAGTTGTCCCTGTTCAACCATTGACACACTGGTTTCCCAGCAACCGGTGTACGCTCGTACTCTATATCTGACATGGATACCTAGCCGTCGAACTTGCGCCGGCTAGCTGCCGACCATGCTGCCTTACACCGCGATCTTCCGCCGTACTACTTGCAGCCGTCGGATGGTGATGACCTGTCACAACTGAACATACTCCTCACGGGCCCCGCGGGCACACCCTTTTCACAAGGATTATGGGAGCTCCATCTCAAGATGCCTGATGACTATCCCAAGAGCCCCCCAAAGGCCACCTTCAAGACGAAAATATGGCACCCGAACATGGAGGAGCTCACCGGAGCTGTCTGTGTAGATACGCTCAAGCGGGATTGGCAGCCTAATCTAACTCTGCGCGATGTATTGGTCGTAAGTTGAACTGCATCAGTAGAATGAATTTCTCCAGATAACTAACCTTATCTCTATTCAGACAATCTCATGTCTGCTTATCTACCCTAACCCTGACTCTGCCCTCAACGCTTCCGCAGGCGCTCTTATGCAGGAGAACTATGCCGCCTTTGCACACCAAGCCAAGCTCATGACCTCAATTCACGCCCCGATCCCACTCAACCTCAAAGCTGCAGTGACAGAAGCAAAGCTCCGGGGCGAGGAGGCAGGCACCACACTTGAAGAGAAAGAAGAAGACGCAATCATTCAACGCCGGCGGAAACACGCCCGTACCCACACAGCTGCAACGAAGAAAACCACGCGCAACACCACTGCATTTGAAAACCCGTCACAGTCCTCATATTCTCCACAATCCTCCTCAAATCCTTTTGCCCAACCCTCACCACCCATAACAGACAACGCCACGAGCGACAGCGACAGCGACGACCCCGCTACCGCAAGCAAAGAAAACAACCCAACTCTTTCCCCTTCGCCTGTCTACTTTGCGCCCCCAAGTCCCCGTAAAACCGCTCTGGGAAAACGCCCCCTCTCCGTCCTCTCAATTCCCTACCCGGAAGACTCCGATGCAGACATGATGCTCATAGACTCGGACAACGACAACGATGCCCCCGCCATGAGCTCCAACGAACGAAACATCACTGCAAACACACGTTCCCGTACTTCATCACCACTCCGGAAAACACCCAAGCTCTCCATGCTCTGTGGGGGAGTCAACGCCTCCGGCCGTCTCCGCGATGAGGTGCCAATATTCGAAGATTTGCCCCAATTGGCCATGCCAGACTCTCTACGCAGGCTGAGCGGGGATGGAAAAGAAAACCGTGGATCTGCAACTGCGCGTGGGCTGAAAGAGAAGCGTGAATATCACCCCATGAAGACGCCCAATGGCTCTACTCCCCTTTCTCTAGCACATGCCCAACTACCTACGCCGTCACTATCATCATCGTCGTCATCTCTCTCAGGGTCCTCCTCTTCTGGAATCTCCAAGAAAAAAGCCACGAGCGGCACACACAGGCGCCTTGCCGTCAGAACAAAGCCGCGCATTGGTATCCGTCGGCTATAAGAAATCCATCCATTTTCCTGAACTGGAACTTGATTTGACATTGGTGGATTCTTCTTGCGTTGCTTTGAGACCTCCGATTCATCTCGATAACTCTACTTTGGATTTGTTTTGAGTTGATTCTTTATTTTTGTTCTCCCTCTATCTACCTACCCCGTTAGCGACATTTCTTGATACCCTTGATGGTCTGAATTCAATCGGACTTACAAACTGCATGGAGCAAGGAGCGAGAAGAACTTTATGGAGCTGGTTCCATTACATTGCATTGGCAATATCAGGCTGGGCAAGGTGGCCCTGGGCTTTACAATTTGCCTTGGCTTGGACAACATATTCGTCTGATTTTTTTGTTTAGGAGTTTGTTCAATAATTCACATGACATCCATGGATCAATCTTTTCGATATTTTCATCACCATATCAGTAGGCTTACCGCAAATCAACCTTGGAAGTCATAGGCAACTTTATAACAAAGACTAAATTGTACGCAGAAGAAGAGCCCAGGATGATGGTTATGAGTTTGTAATACCATAGATTAATGGAAAGGTTTTCCGAGACTATCGAGCTGTGATGTCCTTCCTGCTAAGTTCCTAAACATTCTCAGAGAACGAGAACAAAGAAAACCAGGCAAGGTCTGGCACTAACGGATTTGCCCAGTCTCAACTAAAATGCTCAAAAAAAGACAAACAACCGCTTTGCACATATAACAGGATAATTATAAGAATCCCAGGACACGTCAGAAAGATGATGGGTAGAATTTGGGATAATTGGATGAAACCGCCGAGAAAAGACCAAGGAAAGATATGCCGATAATGATATGTTCGATCCGCGTCGGGATTGGATTATGTCCGTAGGCGTGCACGAAACACAGCATCCTTCGCTTGAGCGAAGAATCTGCAGGGTGGCATGCAAGAAATATATCCCATGAAGAAAAAAGAGCCGCGTTCAGACCTCTACAGGGCGTAGGGGTTGACAGATCGAACAGTGAGGCATCTGGAATAGAAATAAGTTAGTTAGGGACACCCATGCTAGAAAAAGAAAAAAGCTGAATGGGAACACTTACGGAGGACTCTTGCTCAGGTCAGTCTTCAAGATGATGGGAACACGGGTCATCTCTGTGACATCCTGGATGAACTCTCCATCCACCTCGCGCAGCTTGAACAGGTTCAAGTACTTCTCTTTGTTGGTCAATTTGTTCTCGGGTGCATCACCAGTTCCGGAGGCAATCTTGGGATCCGAGCGAGTACGGTGAGGTGCCTGCTGGTGGTGGCCGTTACGTGTAGGCGATGGCGGCATGCTCTGAGTCGAGCGATCGGCAGAGTTGAGCGACACACCGGCTGTCATTTCAGTCACCTCATCCGCATCTTCGTCGTCATCGAAAAGGGCATCGACGTCGTCCGCAGACATTGTGCCGGTCTCAGTTTGCTTACGCATGGCCTCATCACGCTCTCTGGCCCGCTCTCTAGCGGCTTCAGCATCGCGGGCAGCCGCTGCGGCTTGAGCAGCGCGGGAGTTGCCGGGCTTGGGACGCTCGTCCTCGGGAATATATGCGGACGAGGGAACACCCTTCTCCCAGTACAGCTCGAGTACGCGACTGTCCTTGCGGTATTCAGCCTTCTTGAGCGGCAGCTGGTCGCAGTGCACACGCTTTTCGAAGCCATATTCCGGAATAAGGACGTCGAAGGCAGACTCGTAGACGCAGAGTACAATGCCCTCGCTGATAAGATCACCGCCAATCTCCCGACTTTTGCGGTCCATTTTACGGCACGCCTCAATGTGCACACTCTGCTCTTGGGCATTGAGAGCCGAGTCCTTCTTGTTGTTGCAAAGATCCGCAGTCTTGTTCAGTGACTCAATATCGTCATTGAACTCCACGGCACCCCCGGAGAGCACAGCCTCGAGTTGACGATGCACAAGGATATCGGCGTAGCGCCGAGAGGGGTTGGTGAAGTGGGTGTAAACCGGTACATTGAGCATGTAGTGCTGGCGCATCTCATCGGGAGCACCATTGCTGACATAGTACTTGGCACGCTGCATGGCCTTGGCAATGAGAGTCTCCATACCCTGTATCACGTGTTAATATGTATTTATGACTGGGAGAACAGAAAATGTGCTTACCTTTCGAAGATCCACATCTTCGACCTTGCAGAGAGAGCTCTGGAGGCTGCCACTGCTGCTTGAATCCATTTCGAAGCCAAGGCGATTCATCCGCTCAACAAACAAAGTAAGGCGACGAGAGTTGGGCGAGAACTGACGACGCAAGAAAGCTCTCTCCGGCATAGCGCTGACAAGCTTACGAGCAACAAAGAAGTTGGCCTGGTGGCTCAGCTCCTCAACAAGTTCGTGTGCTGGAGTTGACTCGAAAATATTGTATTCGACTGGCACATTCTCGTCATCGAGCTGCTGAAGCAGACGCTGCACAGGAACGTTTGATACGCGGTTACCGAAGCGGGCTTCGCGGAACTTGGCGACAATGTTCTGAGTGTTACTATTAGCATGGGGGAAAATAAGAAGAATGGTAGGATCAGAAAAAACTTACATGCAACAAGCGGATGCTGTCGGCAGAGATGCCACTGGTGTTGACATCAGACTTGTCCTGAACAAGTGCATTGACTTGGTCGTAGTCAAGACGGCCAGCACTCTTGATGACACCCTTGCCGATCCAGACATCCTCATCCACCACACCAGTGGTGGGGTTGGCCTTGAAGACCACACTGACCGTGAGGCGATCTTCGCCAGGGACGAGGGAACAAAGCTCAGTGGAAACACGGGTAGGCAGCATGTTCATGATCCGATCGACTAGATAGACTGCAGTCCCACGCTTCTTGGCCTCACGGTCTACTAGGGAATTACCCTTGACGAAGTGAGCAATATCGGCCACGTGAACACCGATCTCGACCTTGCCATCGGCAAGGCTCTTCACATGGAACGCATCCTCGAGGGACTTGCTGTCGGCGGGGTCAATCGTAAAGATGGTCTCTTCACGGAAGTCACGTCGCGAAGCAAGGGCGTCTCCCTCGCTAGAGACGGACCAGTCCTCCCAGCCGATGCTCTTCAGCACAGCATCGGAGAAATCATCCGAACCGAAGTTGTTGTCGCGGAGCAGGGCATCTGTCTCAACCCGCAAGTCACCCATCTCCCCAAGCTGCTCAACGAGAGTACCGAAGGGGTGCAGAGAGGTAATAGGCCACCTCTTGATAGAAGCAACAAAGATTCGGTTGGCGTAATCCTGGTGCTTCTCAACGAAGTCCCGAGGTGCTTGCTCTGTGGGGATGGCAATAAGTGGAACACGCTTGTCAGTAGGCTTAAACCAGACAATCTTTGGCTTATCCTGGTGACGATCATTGTGGGAACGGCCATGAGCGCCATCTCTGGCTTGCCGCTCGGCCTCCTGCTTCTCCTTTGTAGCCTGGCTGCTGGGACGCAAGAGACCTAGGGTTCCTGAGAACATCTGGCCCGCAACACGCTCAATGACCGCAACAACATGACCGGCGTACAAAGGCTTCTGCTCGTCGCTGATCTCGTCCTCCTCACAAAGAAGAAGGCTCTGACCCTCGACCTCGACATCGTCATTCTTCTTCTGGGTCGGACGCTGGCGAAGACTACCACGGCGACGGATGCTTCCATCCGGGCCAATTTCCTGTCTATCGCCGGCAGAATCAGAGCGACCAAGCTTATCATTTCCAGCAGTACTGTTAGACCGGGCGTCGGTGATATCCTTGCGCTTCTTCTTTTCTTCCTTTTCTTTCTTCTGACCCCACACCTCGTCGACATCGAGAAGCTCGATTGCGACATAGTCACCCTCGAGGGCGCGGTTCCGATCTTTGCTACCGCAAATGAAGATGTCGGCATCCAGATCGTCGGTGGTCACATAAGCGTCGGAACGATTCTTTTTGTTGACGCGCAAAACACCAGCGACCAATTGTCCATTGCTAAGGAGTGCAGGCAGGTTTGCCTGGGGGAGGTAAGGAGTGAAAAGAGTCTTCCGCTGCTGTTGCTGCTGCTGTTGAACAGACATCTGCGGCGGGGCATGCTGGCTCGCCTGGAGACCACCCATACTTTGGGCGTTCTGCTGAAGCGCTTGGAGCTGAGCCAGCTGGAGGGGGTTCAGTTGCTGATTACCGAACATCTGAGGTGCCATCATGACTTGGCCCTGAGGAAGTTGGATAAGCTGAGGCTGGCCAAGCTGGGGCTGGCCGCCATACTGGAATTGACCAATAGAGCCCATGGACTGGTTCATCGAGCCGCGCGAGCGGTGACCGGGCTGGAATCCACCCTGCTGCTGACCGATGGGTCTCTGCTGATCCTGGCTCTGATTTTGGTTGTTGGGCTGGCGCCAGTTACCCTCGAAGTTTCGCGAGGATGACCGGGCATGGCCGCCGTTCTGGCTGGGTCGTCGTTGATTATCAGATTGATTGGTTACTGGCTCACTGGCCTGGGGGAATTGGAACCCGCCTGCACCGCGACCGGAAATGGCAGCCCGGTTACCACCGATGGCCATCGATTGGCTGCGGCCATGGCCACCAGCTCGCATATTTCCGGCCCGCTGGAAGGCGGGTCCCTGGGGGGCCGGGGAAGTGGATACAGGCTTGTCATCCGATGAAGACTGGTTATCAGAACTACCTGCACCAGGAGCAGGAGCTGGGAACTGGAATCCCGAAGCTGTTCTCTTCTGCTGGGCCAGCTCGGCGGCTTTCTTGGCCTCAGGAAGAGCAAGCGAGTGGCGGCGCTGGTGACCACCGCCGGGAGGGCCTCCACGACCGCGACCGGCGTTCTCATTCTTGTGGTTATTGTTGTTTTGGCCCTGCTGGTTATAATCGGCGTATCCCGACGCTCCGGAAGACGGGGCAGGAGGTGGGCCCATGGGAAGACCAGGGAGAGCAGACTGGTTGCGACGGTGCGAATGCTGGTTCGGTACGTTCATTGGTACTCCAAGCTGCTGCTGCTGTCCCCCCTGTGGGAATTGGAATGCATTCACTTGCTGTGGGGAGACACCGCCCATGGAGGCACCGGGTTGAAACGAGGGCACCTGGCCTAGTTGCTGGGGCTGCAACAGCCCCATGTTAACGTATTGTTGATGTGTCGCAGCAATTTGTTGCTGCTGCTGCTGGAGCAACTCGATCTGTTGTTGGATGGCCAGTTGTTCCACTGTAGACAAGCTCAAGTTAGCTGATATGATGGGACGAATGGTTATATAGTAAGCGGTCACGAGAGCGGTCACATACTCATCAACGGGGTGAGCTCAGATGGACTTCTCCGATGAGCAATATGGAACTTGCGGCCACCGGGGCCTTGAGGCCCAGATTGACTCTGTTGATCCATGATCCCAAATGACAGAAGCTGGCAATTACTGTAGAATGTAATGTGTGTATTGGGCGGGGTGAATCCGGCGACAGGAGAGACTGGTACTGCGCCAAAAGGCAAATGAGCCAAGTGAGATGGATCACGGCCGACCAAAAGAAGTTTGTATGTGCGGATTGTTGGTTTCAATACGTGAATTATCCTGGAAGAGTAACAAAGAGCGGATCAGTAAGGGTGCAAGATGACAGAAGCAACGAGAGAAAACAAGAAGAGGGGGACAAGGCAATGTCAGAGCGAATATCAACAGTACAAGTCCCGAGGTAAGGGCGGACCCAATGGAAGCTTCCATCTCAGGGGGGAAAGAAGCGGACTCGACGATGACCTCACAACTAACAATGAAAAAGCGGCAAGGGCAATCGACGCCGGGTGAAACTTCCAAAGTAAATGCGTGGAGTAGATCCCGATTCTTCTTACCTGCAAGATGAAACTAATGACGACCTCCGAACCCTAGCATTCCAAAATGACGTCTGTAGAGCTCAATGTGGGATGATCGTTTTTTTCTTCTTTACAAGTCCAAGAGGCGACGAGGGGCAACCGGATGATGTTAAGTAGGAGTCGAGGCAATTGCACGTTCAGGGCAAACTTGGATCGAGCAACACGGTAGCAACGGGATGAAGCTTCGAACAGGAGTTGGAAGGACCGAGGGGATGGAGCTGTGCTGGAAAGCACGACTGCAACCGACAAAAAGGGAATTCAGACAAAAAGCACCTCGACGGAGGATTGAGGTTGGCCTTAAGCGAAGAAAGCCGTTAGAACGAGCTTGTCTCCGGGATGATTCCAAAGTTCTAAAACGGGAATTCAGAGCTGATCCTCGAAGAGAATGACAGTAAGTACTGAAATTATAGGGAAGGATAGAATAGACGATGAAACCATCGACTAATTCGACTCGAAGGAGTGATATAGGGGGGAAGAAGAGAGGGATGGGATAAGAAGAGAGAGGAGGGGGGGGAAAGGAGAAGAGGAAAGGTGATGCTGGAGATACAAAGAGGTGTGGGGAGAGGGCCATTGGTACGGAAAGCAGAAGGCGTGTTCGGAAATGACCAAACCACGTTTTATTACAGCGTTTAGCGCAATAACCCCGAAGTGGATCGTGTAAATACCCTAACAGTTATCCGTCATACTCCGCTTCATCAGCCGTGGATGATCATTGCTACCAGTTATCATCATCCTGATGCATCCGTTGAAATGCTTTGAGGACCTACTTAGAGTATCTAGTATGGTAATGGGAGCCTATAAGTAAATAGGGGTGTCTAGTCTGCAAATCGGAAACATGGACTCTTCCCTAGGAATCCGTACATGGATTCAAATATAGACAGCTAGTGGTGAGTTGGCTAGTCTAGGGTCTTTTTAAGGGTATGGGAACAGTATCCGCTGAGCTAATTATTCAGCATAGCCCAAAGAAAGGGTAGCAAGCTCAAGTCCGGTACATATCATCGGAGAAACATGGAACACCTCGTATTCCCTTCTCCCAATTATATAGTGTAGGTCAAAATGGATGATGCTCACGATGATGTAAACGTCAACGTTTCCAGGCGGGAGCGCGCCAGGGAACCGAACCGGCTCGCGGGTCTTGCTTATGTACTCATTTGTCTTGGGGGTCTAGAAGGCCCTCTTTGGCTGCAAAATAGACTGGCAGTAAATAGTAGGAGATAGGTTGATTGATGTGAGTAATTGAGATTCAAATCAGATTGATATCACTTTTTGCTGTACTTCGTAGTTATGTATCTTAATCTTCCTAACTACTAGGGCAAGCCTGTTTAATAGCCTGATATTCCGAAAGTACCGATATAGCAAGGCGGTGATAGAAAGCGGTGAAAGTAGAACCTTGGAGGTAAGATTGAACTTTACAGGTAATTTATTTTCTTTGGCTTCATAAGGCTCTGAACGGTTGAGGAAATATTGAAGCAGGTGCATCGATGTACGTTGAATCGTCGAGTCGCTTATTATTGGATGGTTATGCAATGCAGCCAAACGCTTGATTTTGTTTGTGGCCCCTCGAATGGTACATGCTAATCCCAACCTTCACATAGCTCCGATCTCCATGGACCCTCCTTTCTACTAGTTTTGACGCGACAACGTCGAATATTTCGCTACACGCGCAATTTACTTTCGTCCTTCGTCGCATTTCCTCAGAACCCCTCGTCCAATTGCTCTCACGCTGTGCCGTTCCCTCTCTACCTTCAAATTCAGATTGATACCAGCTTGGGATATTTTGAGATATTGTTCTATTCTCGGCACTTCTGAACTCTACTCTTCGAGCTACGGATATGATCCCAGTCACTTGAAACCTCCATATTCACTTGATCACACGTTCCCGTCGCTACTCCTCCGAACCTTCATAACCTCTCCGCAAAACATTCACCACTCCTTCCACCAGGAATTTTTGGAACACATAAATAAATCATTTACTCAAATGTCGACCCCTACAATGACGCGATTTCGGAATCATGTCCCACCACTGGACAGCCCGTCCAAGCAGCTTATGCTGGACCTCGTCCGCGATCTTGAGCAAGTCAAAATCTTTGACGCCGATCTGAAGAAAGTCCACGAGTATGAGCGCAAAACGTTTTATGAAAATCTCGACCGGATCGACCGCGAGCGTGAAGCAGTCCATACAGCTGCCCTCGACCAGGCCGCCGCCTTCCACGACCGCGTCCGCGAGGAAGCGGAGACAACCTTGAAGGATCACCTCCTCGCCGAAGAGGAAGAGCGTCTGCAGAAGGAAGAAGCGATCCGGAAGGAACAAGAGCGCATCGAACGTGAGAAGACTGAAAAAGCACGCCGCGAACGAGAAGCGGCCGCGCGCGTCGAGGCCGAACGCCAAGCCAAAGAGCAGGCCGAGAAGAAGGCACAGGAGGAGGCGGATAAGAAAGCCGCTGCCCTTGAAACCGCACGCAAAGCCGCGAACGAGGAAAAACTCCGCAAGGAACGAGAAGAGGCCGACGCACAGAAGCTCAAGCAAGATGAGGACGCCCGAAAGGTGCAGGAACAGGCCGACCTAAAGGCCTACAGTCAACAGCAGCAGAAAATCGGTGGTGGGAACCTTTCGGCTGAAGATATCCGAGTGCAGAAACGTTACGTGGAGCTGCATAAGACTCTCAAGGACATGCGAAAATGGCTGAAGGACATGGGCCAAAGCCAATCTAACCTTAAGGCGACTATGGGCAACTTACGACGCTCGATCAAGAAATCTGTCGGTCAGCTTCGAGCTGGAACCGGTGCAAATAAGCAGCAGGTACGAATCCCCCCACACTCGCCGAATGGTTGTTTGGGTATTGATTATTTGAACGAAACGCAGATTATTCAGCTCAAGACTGAGCTTGAAAAAGCTCTCGCCTACCCGGAGCCAACAGTGGATATCCGGAATTTCTTCGCATTCCCACCTGAGGAGATTGCCAAGTCCGAGAACAAAGTACCGGCAATGCTAATCTACGGATTGAACATCCTCGCAAAGAGCTTGATATCCTCTCTTCTAGCCGAAGCCTCTATCAAGCAATCCCACGCTGAGCCGATCGGCATCATTGCTGCTCAGATATTCTCGTTCGATATATTCACGTATAAAGGGCTCCACATGTCCGACATCATGTGGGCCAAATACCGTGTCATCTGCCCAGCCCTGTGGGGATTTACAGGCAACGACAAGACCGAGGGCGGACGCCGTGTCCTGGGTTGGTGGCGTTCACCAGACACTGGTTCATGGGTTAGTGAACAAATTCACATGGACCGCATGACCGCTCTGGGTGCGGGATATGCTGCCATGACGCTTCGAAATTTCGCGAAGTCTCCACGCCGGAACCCCTTCCCTAACACGATGTTCTGGGCCACTATCCACAAGATTTTGGCAATTCCACCTCCAGAGTTACAGGAAACCCAGGTTGCTCTCCTGGCAGCACTCCTTCGATCATCAGGCGAGAGGATTCTAGGCTTCTTCGGACAGTATGGACTAGCCCTCATGCACTATATTATAGTCGATCTGCCCCGTAAGCTCGGGCGAGAGACAATGGCTGTGACTCAGCTGAGCACTCTCAAGGAGCTCTATCTGAAGGAGAAAAATCTCGCGTTGTAATATGAGCTGGCTGGCGTTTTGGGGGGATTTGGAACAACTTTTAGGATCACATAGTATCATGTTGGAGATTAAAAACAATAAGGCGTTTTGTCATTGTCTAGACCGGCGATCATCGTCGGATATTATCATACCCTCTATGAATCATGTCAGAAACACTTTGTATGATAGAGCTTGTTAACAATAGCTGAAAACTTACAATGAATGTCAGCTCGATGTAAAAAAAAAAGAGAAAAAAAACGTAGCACCACATGACGTGTTGGGAAGAGGTAATCTCAGGGTCTAGAGTCCTCAACGGGGTCAACAACATGGGGATTGGGAATGGGGATTGGGATTGGGGACTTGGATTGCGGACTGGGGTTGTGGACTGGGAATGGGGACAAATTTGAATATTTCACGAGAAAGACAATGGTAGATAGGCTAAGGACTTAGCGTCGGTTGTGTACCAACACAAATACGCGACTACGATACATCAATTACAGTATCCTCTTCTCCAACCTCGTGCCACTGGCTCAAGGATTGATGAAAAGAAAATATTCCATAAATGGAGGTGCCAAAGAATGCGCCTGTCAATGACACGAGTGCCATTGAACAGACTGTTCCGCCGCGATGTGCAATGCAGGGACCAGCCTGTGGTGAACTGTCTTTTTGATCACAGTCACCCAAACAAGGTAAGTATGAAGAAGAAAGAAAAGAAGGTGAAGATCCGGGGGGAGGGGACCCTTATATACCCTCTCCCAGGGAACTGCGCCACACAATAGAATGTTTGTTACATTTGCATATGTACTAAGCTAACCCTGGATTCACAAGCCACAGAGCACTGCCATGCATCTAACATTCTGACAAGCCCCCACTGACATATCTCGTGGCTCAGTACGCAGTATCCCGTATACAACTCAATCCCAATCTCAACTAACCCAGTGTACAACAAAAGCCTACATATTTGATGTTTCCACCATTTCCAGATGCTCAGTCCCAAATAATACACAATACGAAATCCGCCCCCATTGACTCCTTGCAGCAGCATCCTGTACGTTGGCTCTACGTACCCCATTCGTTCGCCACATATCCACACTTTCGAATACTATTTCCGCTCGTGCGACTTTCTCTAACGCTGTCAATACTGGCTCGGGAAATGCCGGCTGTTGGATTTGGGTTCTAGGAATTGAGAGGAATATCAGAGCGTTCTGGGGAAAGGAATAGGTCTCTGAGTTGAATATCGATGGTGGTAATGAGTTTTTGAGGTAAGGTACGTCTATCTACTCCGTATGTTACTCCGTATATGCATACCTTTTGCGCGTGTCCTTCTATGAGAATAGTCATTGTACGCTTGAATGTCTGCAGGTTGTTATACAGCAAAGAATGTTAGATATATTTTTGATACAGCTGTGTAACAATAGAGACTCGGCTCATTCGAGTCTCTACCAACTTCTTAGTGACGTTGTAATCTCGATATGGTTCAGGATGGCTTACTCCCGGCCATAGAGGCGATAAAGAGTGTTGTGTAGGGAGGTCGACCTGGCCAGATTCTAGTGAACCATAGGAAATCCGGTTCCAAAGACATGTCACTGTGGTTCTCTTCGAGTAATAGGATAGGGGCGGTGTGACCAAACACAATGTGATTCTTTGCCATCCGATCGGTTCTCTCCACATGGGACTTTCCAGATTCTGGGCTTCTACCTTGGTTGGCATCTGGGCTTTGTCAAGGTGATATCACGACTCTGCAGCTGCATGTAAAATATGAAAGATATCAGACTTAGCTCTTAGATACAAGGTCTTGCTGAGATATGAGATGGAAATATGATCCGAGGAGCAGAAATATAGGAGAGGGTTGGGTATAGGAATGGTATACTCCGTAGTTAGGCCGACAAAGTCACAGTCATACATCACCAAAACATATCCGGACCCTTTAAAGGGGAACTGTTTCATCCATGGATCCAAGAATAGTTTCCTTCCTCCTGATTGGCTCAATTCTCACCCCCTATACACAATTAGTGGGGACCTTCCTCCACATTAGGCAAAGCCCCAGACCCGTCAGGGTCTAAAGGTCTAAACCCTCATTTCCCCCCCAATCTCCAATCCTCTGGGTCTTTCTTCTTGGTCCCTGACGTACCTTCGTTTGATTTTATAACTTTTTACATTCTTTTCAACTTTCGTTTTCGTCACTCTTTGGTCGAATACCCTCTTTCATCGACCTCATCTTTCACAATGCGTGCATCTGGTGTTGTTTCCCTCCTGTTGGCCGCGGCCCCGGCCCTGGTCTCTGCTAAGGGCACTCTCGGTTTCTCCCTCGGTGACAAGAACGCCGACGGTACCTGCAAGTCTACCAGCGACTATGAGGCGGATTTCGATGCCCTGAAGAGCCTGTCTACTCTCGTCCGTACTTACTCCGGCACTGAGTGCAACACCCCTCAAAACATCCTGCCTGCTGCCAAAAACAAGGGCTTCAAGGTCGTTCTGGGCATGTGGTAAGTTTTTTGTTATTCCTCTCACCCCCTAATCGGAACTATTCTTATAACAGACCTTTTACTTCTTTAGGGTGGGCAAGCCTACCGATACCAATAATCTTTTGGAGGAGCCCTCCTTCAAGGGAGATTGGGCCGCTATCCAGAAGGCCATTCCCGGTTACGAGGATGTCATCCATGCGATCACCGTCGGGTCCGAGACTCTCTACCGTGGTGACTTGACTGGACCCCAGCTCCACACTTACATCAGCCACGTTATGGATAATGTGCCCAAGGGTGTCCTTGTCGGCACCGCCGAGAGCTGGAACAAGCTTGCTGACGGCACTGGCGACGCCCTGTTCACCCAGGAGCCCGTTGTGACATATGTGTAAGTGGAAATGTAGAAGAAATCGGCAACTCTGCCCACTAATACTGACTCTCTCTGTAGCTTGGCCAACGCCTTTGCTTACTGGCAGGGTACTGCCGCCGACAAGGCCTACCAGACCTACTTCGATGACATGGCCGGCGCCATGGAGCACATCCAGAAGATCGCCGGCGACAACGCCGACAAGATCAACATTGTTACCGGTGAGACCGGCTGGCCCACCGATGGCGGCTCTGACTATGAGGCTGCCAAGGCCGGTACCAAGAATGCTCAGACCTTCTGGAAGACTGGTATCTGTGGCATGCTCGACTGGGGTGTTGACCTGTTCTACTTTGAGGCCTTCGACGAGTCCTGGAAGCCCGATACCAAGGGCGACAATGGCGAGATGAAGGATGAGAAGCACTGGGGTCTGTTCACCGCGGACCGCAAGGTCAAGTTCGACACCTCCTGCCCCAACTAGACGACTTGTGACTATTTGTTCGCTTCATCCGGGTGTCTTTGCTTTGATACCTTGCCCGCGACTAGCGGTTTATTCTTCGGATTGTACTGATTTATTCTGGGGTTGCTTATCTCCTACTCCAATGGAAATATGGCTACATGGCTTAACTGCTTTGATTGTATAAGTAAATAATAACATGGGCATTGCTGCAGCGTCGTGCTGAGTTCAATTAGCAGTTACAATACAAAATATGTACTTGTATTATCAGCATCTGACCCTTTCGGAGAAGAGCGCGGGTAAGATAAAAAAGAACTCCGCGTCCAGTTCAACATCGAGTCCTTTAGACTAGTCTCGGGGCGGCAACAGATATTACCCGACTCCCGTGGACAAAATCTCACCAATCAGCATGAAGATACGCTCCTTAGAACCATTTTGTTGTACGATAGACGCTGATTGGCTCGTGACAAGACAAACCATTAGTCATGCTGCGAATAGGGTCCGTGGACGGCGCCCGGGAGTGGTACGGTACAGTCAAATCCATGGAAAGCTTTTCTTCTACCCCTGAATCTCTGGGAACTCCAGTTTTCATTGTTTACTCTACTTCGAAAGCAGAAGCACAGTAGTGGCCATGAGCATTCAACTTACAGTCAATCCTTAATTCTGGATCTAAAAGGTAAGGGTACATGTGCTATGCGTAGATATAGCAATTGACTTTGTCGGGAAAGCCAAGCCAACACAGCTAAACCAACGGCCTCGGTCTGCGCTAAACAAATAATACTAGTGAGCGTTGAATGGGCCTATCGTACCTGTACACCGCATTAGCTCGGGCTATCCACACTCTAGGAGGTACCCAGTACGGAGTACGAAGATCCAATACCCGTGACGTCCAACCTTTTTTTCCCCTTAGTTCCCCATCCTGGTCTTCGATACTTCAGACTTGACCGTGCTTCTGATCTCTCCATTACTTTCATTCACTTGCAAAGTGTGCCTATCCCGAAACCAGAAAAAGACAACCTGTACATTATCTGGCCCCAGGTTGTCTTGCCAGCGGTGGTCTTCAATTCCGGTTTGATTTCCATGCGTCAACATTCTGGACGATAAGCGGAGCGGCAAGCAAGTGCTTGCTGCAGGAGTCGACACGGAAGGTGTGTATACGCATTGATATTATCTCTCTTTGAACCCTTCTCGGGACTGTGAAATTGGTCTCCCTATTTCGCGCTACACCGTGACGTGGACTTTATTCTTCAACTCCCTTGATTCAATCACTCTAGATCCCTCCAAATATGCTAGTCTAACCACCTCAATGTCCACAGATCTAGATCACTCCGTATTTTCCGCCTTCTCGGCGCCTTCTCCACAGTTTCAGTCGCGAGACACGCGCCTCATCCGTGAATCGCGTCTGGCTCCCTCACTACTCTTGTCGTCTCCGCCATCGGAAGACTCGAGTCCGTCGACCGTTGGTTCCCCCGGTCAACGAACCTCTCCGCGGAGCATCACCCTTGAACCCCCGCCTCTCCCATTCCTATCCTCATATCGCGCAACCGAAGGATCTGGGTCCTCTTCGCCGGATAATCGCAAGGCGGAAAGCAGCATCTACTACACCACCGCGTGGGGATCCCCATATGCAGCACCTAGCACTCGGAGACTGTCAGTGACCAATAGCCAACTCGAACTCTCCGAGATCGACAACGGATCTGGTCCCAGCTCGCCCGTCTCGTCAGTAGCCAACCACACGGAGCTGCGGAGATCGAGTATCGCGAACGACGACATACTTGTACCCGTGGACCGCGATCTCGTCGCCAATATCGGAGATAAATCGATTCGGGACTTCACGCAAGATTGGATCAACCAGTACCTTACTGGTCAGCCTAGAACGGAGCGGAGCAATTGGCTTAGCGACGACTCTGGAAGTGAAGCGCCATCGTTTATCACTGCGAGAAACCACTTCGCTGACGACGCTTCGGACGATTGGCTTGGTTTGGAGGACGACTTTCGTTCCGACGATCTATTGAAAACTCCAACGCTCTCTGATTTCGTCGGGAAGAAGGCCGCTGCGCGTGCAAAAGGCAACAAAGGTCAGCATAAACGCGCTGATACCTTGCGGCAGGAGGATTTTTGGGGTTTCGCTTACGATAAAGATCCACCGCAAGACAACATGTCAAATTCAAACACACCTACCGTCGAGGTAAACTCGCCGATAGACAAGCCGTTACCTCCTCCGCCTGCAGATGCGATGGAGGACGCTGCACAGATGGAAGACCCGTTCAACCCGGGTCCATTAAAAATACATGTCCCTGATATCAGCAGGGCAGCCACCCCGACACCACGACGGAGAAAGAAGCTGAATTGGCGTGGGAAAGCCTGCATAATCGAGCTGCCAAATGACGATAGGAGAGGCTCGGAACCTGGGTATCGTCTCCTAACACCGGCCGACGTTCAGCAGCGAATGCAAGAATGGGAGGACGAAGGATACGATGTTCGTGGATTCACCATTGGCGATTCCGAGGACCCCTCCACAATGACGACTCTAGGAGGTCTCAGCCGACCCTTATATCCCGACCCATATGACCTCCATGAAATATCCAAGAGCCAGCCACTTGTCGTCAACTTCCCAGACAGGGCCAAGTGGGAGGCTTATATCACCGAGCTCCAAGAAGAAAAGCTACGCGCCCTGGGAGTGTCATTCGGCGATGATGAACCTGCACAATCCATTTCACCGGATTACTCGTTAAACCCTAGCGGCACGCCTTTCCCAGGCCTTGTTACATCCCCGCCGATTCCTACTGCGTCCGCAGCAAGCAATCCCCTCGGCCATATTCACCCATTCTCGCCTCATTTCAATCAATCATCAATGCCTACGCCTGGTGGTATGGGAACCATGGCATCACCTTCGCAATTCGGTATGCAGACGCCATTCATGGGTGCGGATCAAAATATGATGGGTGGATTCCCATTCCAATTTCAGCCCACGCCTCCTGCTCAGGGAGCTATGACTCCTCAAGGCTTCATAAACCCCCGGCAGCCAACTTCTTCGGCTGGGCCAGGGGCCATGGGCAACTTTTCCTCCATGCTATCACCAGTGTCTCCGCTACATGACCAAGGGTCTTTCTACCCGGCATTTAACGATAAGGGTGTGTTCGATGCTCAATTTGGCCATGGTATGCACCAGGAAGGCCTGCCATACCAGGCTCCTAAGACCCCGGTCAATGGACACCCAGATAATTTCCACGCATCGAGTGTCGAAATTGCCCAGCCTACACCTCGAGGTCACGGTCATAATCTGAGCGAGACTCTGCAAAGAGGGCTGGACCAGATGACACATACCGATTATCATTTGGAAGACTCGATCGACCGGCAATTAGAGGATGATTACCGTGATGTCAACGGCCATGCAGGGCTGAATGCCGGCATACTGAAGTCGGGCTGGGGATTGCCAGAAAACGAAAACCACCCACTCCCGCCTCATCCCTTCGCCCAGCACCAGCTTCCTCAGCAAATCTACGGAGACCAATACCAACAGAATGGTCATGATGGGTCTGACCTCGACACAAATCCCAGCGTCGCGGGTACGCCACAGACTCGCCAAGGACCGTGGCACGAGACACAGGCCAGCGGCCACTCCTACCACGGGGGCCATCAGTCGCAGCTCTCGAGTTCATCACTCAACGTTGAGGCCAAGGCATTCAACCCTAATGCATCATTCAATCCCCAGCCTGTGCCGTTCGGAAATGACCCATTCCAGTTCGGCAGAAGCCAAGGACTTGGTTTTGCCCCGCCTCCCTCGTTCGTGCCTGGTAGCACTGTGAATGTGAATGGACCAATGAGTTCTAAGCTGAACCACAATGCCAGTAGTAGTGGCGGATTCAAATTCTCTGCCGCATCGTTCAATGTTGACGCACCTGTTTTCAACCCCAACTCCTCTATTGGCCTCAACTCGAATGCCAGCTCCGAGCAGCCTCCGGCTAGTCGCACCAAAATCTTCGGCGACATTGACACCAGCAAGATTACCACGCCCGAGAAGAAGTCTAAAGCTATTCCTATTGTGCGACCTGATGAAATCGAACAGGAGACCAATGACAAAAAGCAGGCCGTTGAAGACGACACCAATGGTCGACCTGTACCGACCGACCGCCACAAGCGTGCGTGTCGCGGTGTCGGCAACGCTGAGGGCGAGGCTACATATAGTAGCTCGACCCAACCTCTGGGCGAGGCGGGCAATGCTCAAGCTTCGAGTGCGCTGCATGTCGTCGCTGACGGCAAGGAGAATGCCATTCCCAAAGAGAATAATCTGGTAGACCGGACGGGTACCCCTGTCAGTGAAGCTGATACTTGGACTTTGTTCGATGCGAAACGTGAGGCCGAGAACGGGTCTCAACCCGGATCGCCGATCCGGGCGCGGACCTCTAAGGACATTGTTATCGAAGAACGTGAACCAAGGGAGCCTGCAGCAGGAGATGATAGGTCTGTCACTGTCTCGAAGGATGTCGACCATGCTCTTCATGGATCTAAGAGCTCGACCAAGACCACTATGCTATCGCCTAGTGCCCAGCCTTTCGAGTTCAAGCCTGCTGTTTCTAAATTTGTTCCCACGACTGTGCAGCCTTCCAGCTTTGCTGAAACAAAACCCGTTGCAGCAAATATCGTCAAGGAGCAGCCCATCGAAAACACTCTCTCGAGTCCTGTTGAAATGAAACACAAGCAAGCTGGACTCATGGATTCTCGATTCGCTGTCACTGGCCCATCTAAGAATACAACCACGTCAGATCATCATGCTAAACCTGAGTCCAACGCCCCAACCCATGTGGAACCAGACTTCATCACCCGCAAGCATAAGCACTACGACAGTCATTGGGACTCCGAGAACGACTCGCCTGACGACGAGGAGCTGAATGCAATTATGGAACAGCTAAACGATGACGACGCCGATGTTGGCATCGAGCGCCACGCGACTCCTTACCAAACGATCCACGCGACCCCCTTCCAGCCGCGACACGATCACCTCACAGAGTCGATGGGCGGTCCCACGAAGGAAAAGCGGTTTGGCTCTGCGGATGCCCGCAGCGAAGCACCCAGTCCGAGCCCTGGTGGAGTCCCCAAGACCTACAAACTCACCGTTCCCAAACATGGCTCGGACATGGATGCCAACAGCAATGCTACCTTCTCTCCGCAGAAGAGCCTTATCTCTCGTCTGCAGTCTCCTGTTCGCCAGCTCTTTACTGAAAATGACCATGTCAGTGACTGGGACGACATGATATCGGCCGGTGAGGACGAGAAGTTCATGAACCGTAACCGCTTCTTCGATCGCCGTATCAACGATCTTGTTGGCTCTGCGATCGATGATCGTTTGGGCCCTGTGGAACGTGCCTTGGCTGTCATTCAGCAGTCGGTGGCTTCTATTGCCAGTGGCACTGCAAGCAGAATGGTCTTCCGCAGCACATCCGCTGAGATGGAAGACAGTGATGCTGATGATGAGGACGATGATGGTCAGGAAGCTTCGGTTCGCGATCGCTCGCCCCACAATACGAGGGAACGTAAGCTGGAAATGCTCAAGAATGTCGTTATGGAAGCTTTGATTACCCATGACATCCCTCAACGCATTTCCCCACACTCCAGCCATCACGAGATGTCGCAGCTGAAAGAAAGCATTGCTGAACTGCAGGCTCTCACGATCAAGAAGCTCGCTCAGGACCCTGTTGGTGATATGCGCGAGATTCTCGAGGAAGCCATGGCCAAGCAATTGGCTCAGCAGATCGCCTTGCAGAAACCCCCGAGCCCGCGCCTGTCAGAGGCCGAGGAGATTGGTGCCGACAGCCTGATGCTCCAGATCGAGGGCCTTAAGGGTATGTTGCGAGTTGCCGATGAGCGTGCCGAGCAGGAGTACAAGGATCGCCGTGACGCGCAGGATGCTATGACTGAGGTCCAGCGACTATTGAAGCTTGCTAGGGAAGATGCTGCTCGTCACAGTGCTGCTGCAGAGGATGCCGAGTCTCGTCTGCTCCAGTTCAAGGAAGAGAAGATCCCCTACTTTGAGAAGATGCAGTTCCGCACTGAGTCTCTTATGGAAGAGAGCGAGACTCTCAAGGTTACTATCGCCGAGTTGTCTACGAAGAACATCGCGCTTGAGGGTACCCTCGACGAGTACCGTCTCTCTAGCGATAGCTTCCGTCGTCAATTAGAAACTACCAGAGGTGAGAACAAGTCTCTTCATGAGACCGTTGACCACCTGCGAACTCGCATTGAGGATAGCATGATCTCGCGCCAGAACCTCACTGAAAAGTTCGATCGTCTCCAAGATGACATGATCAGTGTCACTGCTGAAATTACTCGCGATCAAGCTGTCTGGCGCAGAAGGGAGGAAGACCACACTGCCAGGTATAATGAGCTGCGCGCGTCACACTCCCGCGAGCTCAAATTGCGTGAGAAGCTTGAGGAGGATGTCTACGAATTCGAAAAGAAAGAACGGGAGGCCACAAAGTTAAGGTTCGTCCATGAGCAATCTCAGCAAGACAAGGCTAGACTGGAGGAGTTGGTCACTAGCCTCCGGGCGGAGAACCATGAACTGCAGATCAAGGCTGCCCGGTTCGAGCGAGAGTTTGTCGAAGCCCGTGAGAGCAGCCGCGTCGAGATCCAGCGCACTCGCTCCTCGATGGAGGCAGACCTCGAAGCTGCTAACAGCCAGGTCAACATTGTGCGTGCCGAGCTGGAGGCTCAGATTATTCGTCTGGAGACCCAACTTGATAACAACCGCATGGATACCGATACCTCTCGCGAGCGCTACGAGCTTCTCCTCGAGGAAGCCAGGGACTCAAAGGCCACCGCCCTGGCAGCTAAGGATCTTGCCATCGATGAGACCCGCAAGATGCATGAGCGCATTCTCAATGACCTCCGCGAACGTCACGCTCGCGCTTTGCATAACTCTTCAGAGGATCGTGCACGCGGGGAAAGCCATAACATGGAGCGGATGGCTTTGTCCGAGGACAAGGCTAAGCATCTCCAAGAGCGCGTAAATCTCCTCGAAGAGAAGGTTGAGATCGCTCAAGCTGCTGCCCGTGCTGCTGCTGAGGCAGCCCACAGCGCCAAGGCAAAACCCAGCTCGGTCGCAGCTGCCGCAACCTCGCACTCGCGGGCGACGCCGTCCATGTCATACAACAAGGGATCTGAAGAACCCGAACGGATCTCCCCTCAAGCCCTGCGCGAGTCAATCTTCGTCCTTCAGGACCAGCTCCAGCAGCGCGAGACACGTATCGAGGAGCTTGAACAGGAAGTCTCCGCGATAGATAAAGATGCGCCAAATAAGATCAAGGAGAAAGACACCGAGATCACCTGGCTGCGTGAGCTCCTAGGCGTCCGCATTGACGACCTGCAAGACATAATCGACACTGTGTCCAAGCCCGCATTCAATCAGCAAGCCGTCCGCGACGCAGCCATCCGTCTTAAGGCCAATCTCCAAATGCAGCAGCAAGAAAAAGAACGGCTAGCATCCGGCAACCTCCCGTCCCTCGCCGACCTTGCCGCCTCACCCCGCTCCCTCCCCCTAGCTGCAGCTGCCGCTTGGGGAAATTGGCGAAAAGGCCGCGAATCCGCCGCCAACGCCTCCAATCAGACCCCGTCAAAGCCCAGCAACGCGAGTACTTTCCTGTCAGGCCTACTAACACCCCCGAGCTCCCACGCCCGCGGGAACGGTACTGGCTCGCAGACTAGTGCTGCCGCACGGTTTGCGCAAACTCGCCCCTTGAGAAGCTTCAACTCAGCCCCAAAACGTGGCGCGGTTCGCAGTCAGGTACCTGCCATGGAGCCGCCTCAGACGCCGCCTCTTCTCCGTCGCTCGAGTTATGACCATGATGCCGAGCCGGCGAACTACGAGGATGGGAGCTTCGCGGATGAGAACGAGAGTACCGTTGATGGGATGGTCTCGGCTTCGCCAAGGGAGAGGGATAATGAGAGTCCTTTTGGGCCTACGATTGATGAGGCTGAAGCCGAAGAAAGCTATATCATTCAAAACGAAGCTGACGCCGACGCTGACGTTTCCTCTTCTGATGAACCCTCCACTGAGGAAGAGTGATTCTGCTGCCCTTGATCTTACCTATAGATTTTTCTGAACTCCATCTCCGCTCGGTGTTTAATTTGGTTTTTTTTTTTTTTTTCTATCGGCAGAAAAATTCCCACAGGACGAATCCTCAATCTGTGATATCTTTGCTATCTCTGCGTTTGGTCGGGTTTCTCTCCTCTCGTTATATCCATATTCCCCCTTTCGACATACATACATATCTTCCGGCTTCATGGCCGTTGATCAATGTTTGCGTTCTCGGATTTGATACCACCCCGTTATTCCGCTTGCCTCTTACCTCTCATCTCCCCAAAGAACTTGTACATTGAATATCCTACTTACATTTCTTTTTCATGTCCTATCGTTTACATGCCTTCTATACATATTAATAGTCAATCTCTGTCATTCATTATTTTTTGACTGTTCTATATTATCATGTACCCCCCCTTGTTGTGATATTGTCGGATGTAGCTTGTTGATATACATGCTTTCCCGTTGTGTTTCTTGTAGCTTATCACTGTTCGAGTGTTTACTATTTCAAAATGAATTCAGACTTTTTACCACTGCTACGTTACTCTTCTTATGCAAGTGTTCAGTACGCTTGTACATAACTACAAAGACTCTCGCTGTTTGTAGTTGACGTACAATGTAACGATATATATGTTGCGGTATAACTTTACAAGTGTTAGATTCTCATTCGAATAGATGCCAATCCTTCGAGAGACCCATTGAATCTAACCATAACATAATTATTCATATCACAATCTAAATCCACCCAACTCCAGTATACAGCCAAGACTGAATCTCAAGGCGGAGCGGTGTTTACTGAAGTGGTCCGAGCGCCGCCAATTGACACCTTGCGCGTTGACGTTGACGTTGACGGCCAACACCAACATCACCACCCACGCACTCGTCAATCACCCCAGACTCATCGGAGCCGAAATATTCCAATATGAGATTTTCAACAAGCGCAATCCTGGTCACCGCGCTGGGGTGGATCACCGCCGCGACCGCACACACCATCCAGCTCAAGTCTCACTCACGAGAATGCTTCCACGAGTCACTGCACCGCGACGATGTCATGACTGTCACTTTCCAGGTTGGAGATCGGGAGTTTGGAGGGAGCAATAACATTGAGGTTGATTTCTGGGTATGAATTATCCCGGTGTTGCTAGGGAGTCCGCTTCTGCTCTGATGGTGGCTCTGGCATGGGATATCGGATCTATAAACCGAGAGGTCTATGCCTACCTACGGACTAGGCCAGCTGCTAAATCATGATAGAGGAACGATTCAAAATAAGCTAGATGCTAACGCTCGGTCGTCGCAGGTCGAGGATCCCCTGAGAAACCGCCAGTACTTCAAGCAAGCTGTTGCCTCCGACGACTACTCCTTCACCGCACAGCTGGACGGGAAATACAACTACTGCTTCAGCAACGAGGGCTGGACCTCCAACTCCAAGGAGGTCTCCTTCAACGTCCACGGAATTGTCTACGTGCCCGAACATGAGATGACGCAGGATCCCCTCGAGGTCGAAGGTAAGCGTGGGAAATAACAGCCGACGGAAGATGAAGGATATTGTGACTGATCATCTGGTACCATCTAGTCCGCAAACTTAGCGAGGCTTTGACGCAGGTAAAGGATGAGCAGTCGTACATCGTCGTGCGCGAGCGAGTGCACCGCAATACTGCAGAGAGCACGAACGGCCGCGTGAAGTGGTGGAGCATGTTCCAACTTATGGTGGTTATTGGCGAGGGTGTGTTCCAGGTGTGGTGGCTCAAGAGATTCTTCGAGGTACGTGGGTTCCTTTGATTGAGACACCGGAAGATGATATACTAATGCTCCATATTTAGGTCAAGCGCGTGGTCTGAACAAGATTTACCCTCTTTCCTTGAGCGAAAACATCTCCTTTTCCCTTTTGTTATGCATCGATGAGCGACAATTGTGGCTTTTGGTATTTCTGCGCTAGTTCGTTTTCAGCGCGATTCACCAGGATAAATTTATCACGTTTTCACGCCACGGTGTCATGCGATCATCAAGTCTATATAATATTACTCTGTACCACCACAGTGACTCAGATGACCCTTCATGTGGGACTTGTATGTGTGCGTGCGTTGTAGATGCCCTGAGGATGCAGTGGCAAAAGTACCGCAGCCCAAAAATGCATGACTGCGCAACTTTTGATCCAATTGATAGTCTCATGTTGGGTTGCAAAATAATAAGCTCTATACAAAACACATGGGATTTCTCGCAAATATTTTATCTCACTATACATTCACCCGCAACTCACCAGAGGCAAAGTGTTCTGTCTGCAAGGGAAGAAATCTGACTATTGAGGACAGGAACCAGCTATACCACGACCACCTTACATGGTATTTAACCAAGTAAACAGTGATGAATGGCCTGGAAAACTCTAGCTTCCCCTTGGACAACCCTGATTCCAGAGATCCGCTTTTCCATATTGTATAGTAGGTCGCATTCTCTTATGACCAGCTTTTTCTCGTAGTCGAGTCTGATTCTCCCCTCTTCTCCCTTCCCGGTAACTTGCAGTCGATATGCGAACCTTCCCCTCGTATTCGTTTCACATCCTGCTCCCTTGCGTCCCCAGCCCCCAGAATGGGGGTTTCAAGGCCACATTTCACCTACCACGGATCTCATGATTGCTTTTGCTTTGATTTATCAGACATGTCATATGCTGCTGACTATTGATTGTTGTGGTATAGTCCTCGACCTGTGTTCCTAACCTATCACGGGTCCGATACTTGCGCCTGTCGGCCCAGAAAGCATCTGCCCCCTTGGCTCTAAGGAGATATGGGAGCTGAGAGCTCTGCCATTTGGGTGCCATGCGAGTACCTTGACTGTTCTGTCAGTAATAGTTGCTGTGCTCGGGATGTTGGCGTTGGGCGTTCTAGGGGTTGGATAATTGTGGCTTGTGCGCCGGACCCGATGGCGTTGGAAGGCGGCGAAGTATGGACAGGCTGACGAGGAAGGGCGGAGGTCACTAGGGGGTGAGTTTGGGATCTGGGACTTGCGTCCTTTGTTGGTCTCTTTCCTCAATGGTGTCGAACAGAGGGTCAGATTGAATTTGAGTAGGGGGAAGAAGCAGAGACAAGGCCGCTGCTGGAGTAGACTAGTGCGAGAATTCTATATTTATGAGAACATGAAATGCACCCAATGTCCGGGATAGCGCGTAAATCTAGCCTATCGGATGTTGTTTCTGGTGTGTTGCTATATAAAGGAAAACTCAAGCCACACAGTCGATCATCTCGCGTACAACTAAAGCAATCTCATCGGCAGTCTGCTTCTTTCTTGGAATTGTATGTCCTGCCCCATGATCAAACAGGTCCGCAGTATCTGGATCGCACATATTGTACAGTGCCATTGACCCATCAAGGAACGGATCCGATGCACCGACAACATGGCAAGTCGGAATAGTGATTGGCTCTTCATTATAGTCGTCAGCCGTGAGAACTTTTCCAGTCACGGGGTGTACCGGTGGCCATCCGCTGAACATAATCGCACATTTAAGTCGAGGTGCCCGACCAAGTTCCTTCTCTCTTCTTTGCTCCTCTAGAATAAGCGATGCGGCAATTAGGGCGCCCTCAGAGAAGCCAATCACACCATCAATGTCGCCTTCACTGTCAAGAATGCCGACCAGACGGTCCATGACCTCAGCGATACATGAAAATGTGGGATCGCCAGCCGCCTTTGTGGCGACTTTCATTGCCTCTTCCGGGGTGTCGCGTTTCGGGAAGTCACTCAAGTTCGTATGGACCAGTGGAGGCTCATCAACCTTAATGAAGGTATAGTTGGGCGGCGGACCGAAAAACCCGGCTGATTCTGGGGGAACATGCACCTCGGTGGTTCCCTGCGTGTAGTGGAAGCTGGCATTTCCATTGGCCGCGAGGGCATCGCAGAACGGGCCTGTACCCACTATTAGTTCTCTCCGACGTTCATCGCATCAAATGCAGCTTCTTACCTAGCTGTGTTTTGAGAGCCTGTATAGTCGGCGTCAGATGATTTTATTCCACGTGACAAAATGCTTGACATACCTTGGCACTGCAATAGCCACCTGGGAGACATAGAAACTTCATCGCGATAATCAACTGGGGAATATCTTCGGAGAAAAAAGCGAGGTGGAATACCACCCGGAGGGTTCTATAAAGATACTTGCTACGCGAGGAGGCACCAATAACAAATTATGCCATCAGGAATCTGCCAGGGTCCCGGGAGTTTGCCCCTGTGTTTGGAATGTACGGAGAACGCACCCTCGCCTTAGCAAGGGCATCGGAGAAAACACTATCCAGACCATTGCAAATACATGGACAAGGTCAGATGTACTGATCTCGATCTACAATCCTGGAAACCTCTAACGAGGAATCGAGGGGATACTTTCATGCATGGATGATCCCATTGACGTCCCTGCGAGTTGTTAGATTCGTCATCAAGGAAGACAGACATAAGCGTTCTCTCGACCTATCATTGCCCGATTCAGTGTTTAAATCCCCTGTTTCAATCAGGAAACTACTGGACAGAGATCGGCACGCGCACGCTTGGGTGTTTATGCAAGGGCGGTTCGCACTCTATGTTGTACAAACCATCTCGACGCCCTTGTTGTTTACTCTCTGCCTTTCAGGAAGTACTTGGATGGACCGAGTGCCTGTTTCGAACGCTCTGTGATTGTACTATTCTATACATATCTTTTCTTGCAAATCCATATTTGTCTCTTTGGACACTTGTTGGACATTGGGACACAGCCAGGTACATAATTCGACATCTTCAAACCAAACACCGAATCTATCAAAGATGCGCCTTCAACAGCCCTCCGGGACTGGAACTCCAGTTGCCGAGAGCGCGAATGCATTTTTGCACGAAGCACCTAGTGAGATCGCCGATAATGCCACAGGCGATGTGCCCAAGCGAATGGCCATCATCGGCATGTCCTGCCGCCTCCCAGGCGACGTTTCCACGGCCGAAGAGTTCTGGGACCTGTGTTCTCGAGGACGGAGTGCTTGGTC